TTGACAAAGTGGTGGCTCAGATTTTTGGGGAACTCCAGGAATTCCTTCAGCAGGAAAAGAACCCTGAATCTGTTGCCGCGGTTCCCATGAAGGAAGGAAAACTTGTCGAGTCTTGCACTTTTGAGGATTCATCCTTGGGTAACACAGCTATGTCATACGACATTCCAGTGATCCGTTGTACGGAAAAGCACTTGAATGGCCTTGATGTATCAAGCTTGGAAACCTTAGAGGGAATGCTATCTTCAGGGGAAAGTCTTGACTTGTGGGGGAGCCTGCCATGCAGTCCATGGTCTCAATACCAACATCTATGTGCCCATAGGTATGGTAAGGCATACATCAGACGCCTCAAGAATGCACGTAGTATCTCCAAGAAGCTGGTAGGGAACTATTGCAAACTAGCTAGGAAAGTGCACGAACAGGGGGGTCGGATTGCCTTTGAGTGGCCTAGAAATGCCACAGGATGGCAATTGCGCGAGCTGCAACGCCTTGTTCGAGACCTGAACATGTTCAGTTGCGATTTCGACGGTTGTGCAGTTGGTTGCGTGGACGCAAAAGGACTGCCGCACTTGAAGCGATGGAGGGTGGTTACCACATGCTCGCCTCGCCAAGGCCCTGAAATCTAAGCACTGCAGCCATCCAAAGGGTTTCAAACATGCCACTATTGAGGGCCAAGCTACACGTAAGACTGCAAGGTATCCATTCCCAATGTGTGAGCTGATATGCTCGGCGTGGTACCCTGAAAAGGTGTCGGGCCATGTGCTAGCAATGCCGGTTGTTGAGGTGATGCCACAATCGCACCGCGAGCGTGAAGTACTCGCACCAGCATTGGCCGCTGCGTCCGACGCCGATTCTGAGCCAGAGATGCCACCGGAGGAGTCTACCGTGAGACTCAGAAGAGAAGCGCGAAGCTTCGAGCATCAGCTGCTACACGCTAAGAAAAAAAACCAATGTGAGCACTGCTTGAGAGGTAGGATGCTAAACAAGTACAAGCATCCAGAATCCTTTGGCAGACTCATACAAGCAGACAACATTATTGTTTCTGCGGAACATGCAGGGATGGGAGGCGAGCAAAATGCGCTTCTAATAAGGGACCATTACTCAGGTGTGTCCATAGCAGCCCACAATTAGACCGCTCAGAAGAATCCAATTACTTGTCAATGAAACACTTTGCAGGAGCTGCTTTGAACGGAGCTACAGACACGGTACGGTGTTCAAGTCAGACACCGCCGGTGAGCTCACAAATGCCGCGCACCGCTTGTGTTGGACTGTTGATCCATCGTTGACAAGGGCTTGGCCGCACAATGCATCGTGTGAGAGGGACATCCGCTCCCTGAAGGAAGCTTGTAGACCATCTCACTTGCAGGCCGGGTTGTGGAGAAAGCTGTGGCCAGTGTCTCTGGCATACATGGCAAAAGTTCGGTCGTTTTGTGAAAATGCTCCCATCTACCCCCATGAGGTAGGTGGGCCTGCGGAGGAAGCCAAAAAGGGCAAGAGTAAATGGGAGGTTGCCACGGGGAAACCCTTCAATGGAACCCTCTACCCCTTGGGGGCACTTGTCATTTATCATGCTAAGAGCAGTGATGGCATGGCAGCGCCAACCACACGCCCTGCCATCTTTGCGGGATGGAAGATGGAGCCAGGCCTTAGACATAGGGACGTAGTGCAAGTTCTAGACTACGAAGCTCTTAGGCAACTGTCTCATAAGTATTGGGTTCCAAAGGATGTGCATCAGAAAGAGGTTTACTTTCCACCTGTTGGATACACCCATTACAACGTGCTGCACAAAAATCCCTTCTTGATGTTACTGATCAAATGCATGAGCTTAGGAAAGCGGAGTTTGACAGATCACTTGAAAGGGGGGTACTTCCGTATGAAGTTGCCATTGATGCGGTACCGTACTCAGGAAAAGATGGGGGAAAAGCCAGACACTCGTACATCACTTTCGGTAGGCTCGCCACTCACAAGAGTGCAGGGATCGCTTTGATAAGCTATATCCCAAAAGCTCGCCGGCGGAGACCAAACCGGAGGCGTCATCAGACGCACCTGTGCCAGAAACTCCTGTGCCTGTGCCACCAACGCCAGGATTCGTTCCTGTGCCATCCACGCCAAAGCCTCGGATCAAGGAAGGTGATCCTGGCTACGATCCCAGACCTGAAGGGCCAGGGGATCCAGGATACATTCCGCCTTCAGCGGAGGCATCTTCCAGCAAGACTGCTGCGATTGCGACGCAGGAGCCATCTTGTGACAAGGACTCACTTGAGTTGGACTTGTATGCACTCGTAACTAAATTGCTAGATAGAAAGGAATGGATAAAAGATCCTAAAGCCGTAGCAAAAGTCAGAGAGGAATTTGACGGCGTAACCGGCAAAGACACGTGGGATCTCGACTCGGTCGATGAGCATACCAACATCGTGCACAATGCCAAGCTAGCCGGCAAAACTGCCATATGCAGTCGTAAATACGATGAGCTGCCAAAAGAGTATCATCAGCTAAAAGGGAGGATAGTGTACAGAGGAGACAATGCTAAAGACCAGAATGGCGCTCTCGCCATATATCAGAGTCTGTCAGCATCCCCGGCTACTATCACAGCCGCTAACGCTGTGATAGCCTTTGGGCAGCTCCCCGGCAGCACTACGACTAGCGCCGACGTTGTGAAAGCATATGTACAAGCTCCGTTAGGAAGTTTGCATGAAACATGGGTGCGTTTGCCTTGGGAATTATGGCCGGAATCTTGGAAAGGTAAGTACAAGAAGCCATTGATAAGGCTACGCAAAAGCCTTTACGGGCATCCGGAGTCGGGCGCACACTGGGCTCGATATCTCGAACGGGCCGTCGTGAAGCTAGGCCAGCCTGTGGATGGGCATCCTTCAACATTTTTCTTCAAGGAGCGAAACCTCTGGTTGACTGTTTATGTTGATGATTTGCTGCTCTCAGGAAGCATCGCTTCACACACCCCCTTTTGGGAGGAATTGGGGAAGGTTATCGAGATCGAGGATATCGGTGATTTGGGAAGGTTCCTTGGTAGGCACCACGAACTTGTCAGAGTAAATTGTAGAGAGGGCATTGCCTTTAACGTAAGGGAATACATGAAATCTGCTGTTGACATGTACTTGAAACTCAGTGGTGCAGAGACCATTAAGGGAGCTCCAACTCCATTCCTTCCAAAGGGATCAATCCTTCCAGAAGAATGGGAGGAGAAAGGCCAGCTCGAGGAGCACGCATGTGCAGTTCTCATGAAACTCCTGTGGGGGGCCCGACTAGGCCGCCCAGATGTGCTAAGGGCAATCACTCATCTTGCCACACTTGCCAGTAAGTGGAGTAAAGCGTGTGATCGCATGTTGCATAGGCTCATGGCGTACGTGTCACAATCCACAGACTACACTCTGGTGGGGTACATAAATGACTTGCCGGAGGACTTGTGGCTGGAGATATACACAGATTCGGACTTCTCAGGCAGCCCTGATTGCGCTCATTCAACCAGTGGCGCATGGCTGCAGTTGCGTGGTCCAAACTCTGTGTGGCCCCTTAGCTGGGCATCCAAGAAACAAACTGCAGTCTCTCGGTCAACAACAGAGGCAGAGGTCATTGCCATGGCCTTTGGTGTGTTCTCAGAGGCACTTCCTATGGAAGTGTTGTGGGGCATGGTCCTTCAGAGAGAAATTCACACTATCATCTACGAGGACAACGAGGCGACCGGGAAGATTGTACGCTCAGGGTTCAGCCAAAAGTTGAGACACATAACCCGCACTCATAAGGTTAACTTAGGACGTGGTTGCTTCTCCGGACCGTACCCTGAAACATGTGACATCTGTTGACCAGATCGCAGACGTGTTCATGAAAGCAGTTGAGCAGCAGGGCTGGCAAAATGCTCTCAGGTTGCTCGGCATGACCACATCCGTGCCCGAGACCGTGAGGCGTTCCATGGCCGGTTTCAAGCTGCAGCAGGATCAAAAACCACAGTAGGTTTGGCTTGTGCGCAAAAGCACAGGACTTGATCGGACTCAGCATCTTGTTGAACTTGAAACGATCGTCAACCGCTGCCGTTAGGCGCGATCCAAACCATGTGCGAGAAGACACTTGTGAGGATAACTTCGTGTGTTCGCCCGCTTGTGTCGCACCCACCGGACATCAGACCAGGGGGGTTACTTGTGAATGCATGCTAACACTTGTGATCACCTTAATCGCAGACAAGGCAAAGGACGCACGTCATGATGTGTCAGCCTACAACAACATTAGTGGTTGTGACTGCTTTGGACGCATTGACAGTTGCCACCAAGGAATTTTGCACGAACCCAGCATACGGCTGGCAGCTCAGGCCCACTGGCAGTGTAATCGCACTGATCTACATGTAGAGAGGGGGGAGAAGAATAACATCAACTCAAATGGTCATTTGGACCATACTCTACAGTGTGATCACGTGCCCCGGAATCGCAGTGCCATAGGTTTCCATTCCTAGCCTGAACTGTTTGCATCCTTACATTTGGCTCAAGGCAAAAGTCCGTGGGCGGGGGCGGGTCGAATCCCTTAAGTGTTCCTCGTTTGCGGTTGCCATAGCATACACTGGAATCTGTCACTTGACAGTTGCTTGCACGGATTGCACAACTGGGTTCGGGCGGCGGATTCTTTTTCTTCCAATTCCAATCATTTCCCATGAGCCAGACTTGACTGACGGTTGTGGTTGGACACCGCCCTGGACTACGACTGGGGTGTGCGAGGGTGCCCTTTTCGGGGTGACTTCAACAGGGTGCCAATCGGAAAACCCTGATTTTGACACATGCCATTTCTTTTTTTGAATGTATGGATTCAACTTTGGAGGAGAACCGAAACCTGGTTCTCCATTGGTTCAACCTCACTGATTGGGGCTGTCCTCCTTTTGCTGGGCGCTTCTGTGTTTTTCTTTTGTTTTCTTGGTCTCGTCAAAGCAAGTTGAAAATGGTACCCTGCACAAGCACACACAGACACAGACTCTCGTTTGGCAACCAAGCCTTACCCGGCGCCAGGTGAGTGACAAGATTCAGCTCATCAAGAACATGCTTGACAAGGCTGGGCGGTCACTGGCAGCGCATGGTGCGAGTTAAAACCCCCATTGCTGCAGGTCTGCTGGTCAAGCTTGAGCTCACTAAGAAGCTGCCCATGATCGTCCCTTCTTTCAGGTTACCCTTAGTTGGTGGTTTGGATTGGGGTTTGGGGATTTGAATGGGTCCCTGGTTCCTGTAGAGGGAGATGGGAAACCACCCCATTTCACGACCAAACCACCGGGCTCCAAACCAAGTAGAGGCAAGCTGATTCTTTCATGGGTTACTCCTTGCCGTGATGTGTGCAGAGGTCGAGGATCTTGGATCGAATCGTAAGACTGTGACCCGCACCACGTCGGCCTTCGAGGCGTGTTGGAACACGGGCAACCCGCACTGTCGGGTCTGGCTTGTTGATTGCCGGTCGATGTCTTTGAATTGCACTTCCCGACATTCCTAATAACATCCTACTAACACAAGCAGGAACAACATGCCAACGCAAGCAAAGAAGAAGCAGGAATATGTCAGTTTCATAAGAGCAAGCAACTTAAATTCAGCAGAATTCGACTTAAATCCAGCAGACTTTATATTCCAAGCAGATACATAAGCAGTGAACAGCAGTCTTCAGAGATTTATGCGCGTGATATTGATCGAGACTATTTAATGATCAGTATTATTCAAGCACATTATGTCCGAGCACACCAGAATACGCCCAAGCACACCAGACCAAGCAGACAATAGTAGAGATGATAACTGGCCTTCTTGTAGATACACACATATCCAGCGGCATGAATAACCCTCCATTCTTAATCCCTTGCTAGGGAGTGCATGTGCCAAAACGTCTCACTGGGCTCACTGTAACGTGTATTCAGTATCAGAAAAGCCCGTTTTGGCCCCAGGAAGGGGAGATAAGCGGTAACACCCCCAGTCACCAACGCGCGGTCTCTGATCAGGCCGTGCTTTTGCACGGCTCAACTGCCTTGAGGCGTTTTTTGTTGTTTTTGGCTGTTTCGAAGGCAAGAGGACAAGTCCAGGTGCCGATTGGAGCCATAAATCAACATGCTTTGTGTTTTTTTTTTTGGGAGTATCCTCCCGAATGGTTGGTCAGAAGTTCCCACGTACATGCCAAGGGCGTCACCCGTGTTTTCCCCCTGTCCCGCAAATTGCCCGTTTGTTCAGCGCGGTGCAGGTGGATGCCATGATCATCGGCGGCGGCATGGCCTTCACCTTCATCAAGGCACTCCCTCTCGCTCTCGCACTCCCTCTCGCTCTCGCACTCCCTCTCGCTCTCGCACTCCCTCTCGCTCTCTCTGTCTCTGTGTCTCTCTCTCTCTCTCTGTCTCTGTCTCTCTCTCTTTCGGTCTCTCCCATCTCTGACTCTCTCGCTCTCTCTGGAGCCTGGTTGTCCACATTGTCCCGAAGCCTGTCTACTCGGCCTTTGGCAGGTTGGCTCCGGCCGTCTGTTTCCAGCAGTCAGCTTGCAAGGGCACCAATCCTAAGCATGTATTTGGGAGATTCCGTTATCTGGAAACATGGCTTTGGATTCTTTCACATGGCAGGGCAAACCGCGGCACATTGAACGTTCTCAAGGAACAGGAGTTCTTTTATTTCTCTTTGGGTGGCTTTGAAGATCACCTTTTTTGGGAAGTTGCAAGTGAGCTTCGTTTTGGGGGGGATCTTGAACGACACAAACAGGGGAGCCGTGACCAAGATAGTCCTCCCAGAAGCAAGCAAACCTTCTTGAAACGTAGCCCTCGGGAGAACAAGCGCAGCTGCGTTGCAGTCTTCGGAAATGTGGTGCCTTTTTGCGGCACGTGGACTGGGAGGTCCTTCAGGGCATCAGCATTGGCAACTCCCTCTTTGACGAGGAGAGTGCGGGGCAAGGGGGCAAGCGGGGTCCGTTGCTCGGTTGCTTTGGATTTGGACGTCTTCGCTGCTCCAGCCCACTTCATGCGTGACCGGGTGGTGACACTCTATGCAGCATTTGCCAACGCTGGATTCTGCAGGGCTTGTCAGGCGGTTGCATCGAAGGTGTGAAGAAGAAAGGGTTCGCAGCTGCCTCAGCTGACTTGCAAAGGGCTGTTGTAATCGCTGCTGCATCAATACGTTGCCTACAGAATGCCTCGCTTGCTTTTAGCCTGCGACGTGCCGGATGAGTTGACTGACTGAGTGTCAACACTGTTTGGAATCAGCGAGGCAGAGGTGAATGTGTTGGAAGCTGGAGACAAGCCCTGCCTTTGGCAATGGGGTTTGGATTCCTTACCGCCGGCGCAGCATGATGAGAGCTCTCCTGTGTGAATTGACAGTATGTCGTGTGGGCTTTGTGGGACTTGCATGCTGTTCAATGGCTGCTAAGTTGCTGAGAGGCATACTGAGTTACTGGGATATGTTGGGCTTGTACGAGGGCAAGTGCTTGCAGCCCGCTATGTGTCAGACGGGTTGACCGACTAAGTGTCAACACTGTTTGGAACCAGCGAGGCAGAGGTGAATGTGTTGGAAGCTGGAGACAAGCCCTGCCTTTGGCAATGGGGCTTAGATTCCTTACCGCCGGCGCAACAAGTATTGAGAGCTCTCCTTGCGGCTTGACAGTCTCTCGTGTGGGTTCCCTGGAATTTGCATGTTGTCCAATGGCTGCTAGGTTGCTGAGAGTCATACGGAGATACTTGGATATGCCGGGCTTGGTTGAGGATTTGGCAACTGCTGGCAGCCTGCTATGTGTCAGACGGGTTGACTGATTGAGTGTTAACACTGTTTGGAACCAGCGAGGCAGAGGTGAATGTGTTGGAAGCTGGAGACAAGCCCTGCCTTTGGCAATGGGGCTTAGATTCCTTACCGCCGGGGCAGCAAGTATGAGGGCTCTCCTTGTGGCTTGACAGTCTTTGGTGTGAGGGTTTCCTGGGTTTTGGATGCTTTTTGATCACCTGATGGCTTCTAGGTGGCCGAGAGGCATGCCCAGATATGCCAGGCTTGGATGAGGATTTGGCAAGTGCTTGCAGCCCGCTATGTGTCAGACGGGTTGACTGACTGAGTGTCAACACTGTGTTTGGAACCAGCGAGGCAGAGGTGAATGTGTTGGAAGCTGGAGACAAGCCCTGCCTTTGGCAATGGGGCTTGGATTCCTTACCGCCGGCGCAACAAGTATAAGAGCTCTCCTTGCGGCTTGACGGTCCATCGTGTGGGTTCTGTAGGAATTGCATGTTGTCCAACGTTGCTGAGAGGCATACAGAGTTACTCGGATATGCCGGGCTTGGTTGAGGATTTGATAACTGCTGGCAGCCTGCTATGTGTCAGACGGGTTGACTGACTAAGTGTCAACACTGTTTGGAACCAGCGAGGCAGAGGTGAATGTGTTGGAAGCTGGAGACAAGCCCTGCCTTTGGCAATGGGGCTTAGATTCCTTACCGCCGGCGCGACAAGTATGAGAGCTCTCCTTGTGGCTTGACAGTCTATCGTGTGAGGGTTTCCAGGGTTTTGGATGCTTTTTGATCACCTGCTGGCTTCTAGGTGGCCGAGAGGCATGCTGGGATATGCCAGGCTTGGATCAGGATTTGGCAAGTGCTTGCAGCCCGCTATGTGTCAGACGGGTTGACTGACTCAGTGTCAACACTGTTTGGAACCAGCGAGGCAGAGGTGAATGTGTTGGAAGCTGGAGACAAGCCCTGCCTTTGGCAATGGGGCTTAGATTCCTTACCGCCGGCGCGACAAGTATGAGAGCTCTCCTTGTGGCTTGACAGTCTATCGTGTGAGGGTTTCCAGGGTTTTGGATGCTTTTTGATCACCTGCTGGCTTCTAGGTGGCCGAGAGGCATGCTGGGATATGCCAGGCTTGGATGAGGATTTGGCAAGTGCTTGCAGCCCGCTATGTGTCAGACGGGTTGACCGTCTGAGTGTCAACACTGTTTGGAACCAGCGAGGCAGAGGTGAATGTGTTGGAAGCTGGAGACAAGCCCTGCCTTTGGCAATGGGGCTTGGATTCCTTACCGCCGGCGCAACAAGTATAAGAGCTCTCCTTGCGGCTTGACGGTCCATCGTGTGGGTTTTGTAGGATTTGCATGTTGTCCAACGTTGCTGAGAGGCATACAGAGTTACTCGGATATGCCGGGCTTGGTTGAGGATTTGATAACTGCTGGCAGCCTGCTATGTGTCAGACGGGTTGACTGACTAAGTGTCAACACTGTTTGGAACCAGCGAGGCAGAGGTGAATGTGTTGGAAGCTGGAGACAAGCCCTGCCTTTGGCAATGGGGCTTGGATTCCTTACCGCCGGCGCAACAAGTATGAGAGCTCTCCTTGTGGCTTGACAGTCTCTCGTGTGGGTTCCCTGGAATTTGCATGTTGTCCAATGGCTGCTAGGTTGCTGAGAGTCATACCGAGATACTCGGATATGCCGGGCTTGGTTGAGGATTTGTTACTGCTGGCAGCCTGCTATGTGTCAGACGGGTTGACTGACTAAGTGTCAACACTGTTTGGAACCAGCGAGGCAGAGGTGAATGTGTTGGAAGCTGGAGACAAGCCCTGCCTTTGGCAATGGGGCTTAGATTCCTTACCGCCGGCGCGACAAGTATGAGAGCTCTCCTTGTGGCTTGACAGTCTAGCGTGTGAGGGTTTCCAGGGTTTTGGATGCTTTTTGATCACCTGATGGCTTCTAGGTGGCCGAGAGGCATGCTGGAATATGCCAGGCTTGGATGAGGATTTGGCAAGTGCTTGCAGCCCGCTATGTGTCAGACGGGTTGACTGACTGAGTGTCAACACTGTTTGGAACCAGCGAGGCAGAGGTGAATGTGTTGGAAGCTGGAGACAAGCCCTGCCTTTGGCAATGGGGCTTGGATTCCTTACCGCCGGCGCAACAAGTATGAGAGCTCTCCTTGTGGCTTGACAGTCTATCGTGTGAGGGCTTCCAGGGTTTTGGATGCTTTTTGATCACCTGATGGCTTCTAGGTGGCCGGGAGGCATGCTCAGATATCCCAGGCTTGGATGAGGATTTGGCAAGTGCTTGCAGCCCGCTATGTGTCAGACAGGTTGACTGACTGAGTGTCAACACTGTTTGGAACCAGCGAGGCAGAGGTGAATGTGTTGGAAGCTGGAGACAAGCCCTGCCTTTGGCAATGGGGCTTAGATTCCTTACCGCCGGCGCGACAAGTATGAGAGCACTCCTTGTGGCTTGACAGTCTATCGTGTGAGGGTTTCCAGGGTTTTGGATGCTTTTTGATCACCTGCTGGCTTCTAGGTGGCCGAGAGGCATGCTGGGATATGCCAGGCTTGGATCAGGATTTGGCAAGTGCTTGCAGCCCGCTATGTGTCAGACGGGTTGACTGACTCAGTGTCAACACTGTTTGGAACCAGCGAGGCAGAGGTGAATGTGTTGGAAGCTGGAGACAAGCCCTGCCTTTGGCAATGGGGCTTGGATTCCTTACCGCCGGCGCAACAAGTATAAGAGCTCTCCTTGCGGCTTGACAGTCCATCGTGTTGGTTTTGTAGGATTTGCATGTTGTCCAGCGTTGCTGAGAGGCATACTGAGCTACTCGGATATGCCGGGCTTGGTTGAGGATTTGATAACTGCTGGCAGCCTGCTATGTGTCAGACGGGTTGACTGACTAAGTGTCAACACTGTTTGGAACCAGCGAGGCAGAGGTGAATGTGTTGGAAGCTGGAGACAAGCCCTGCCTTTGGCAATGGGGCTTAGATTCCTTACCGCCGGCGCGACAAGTATGAGAGCTCTCCTTGTGGCTTGACAGTCTATCGTGTGAGGGTTTCCAGGGTTTTGGATGCTTTTTGATCACCTGCTGGCTTCTAGGTGGCCGAGAGGCATGCTGGAATATGTCAGGCTTGGATGAGGATTTGGCAAGTGCTTGCAGCCCGCTATGTGTCAGACGGGTTGACTGACTGAGTGTCAACACTGTTTGGAACCAGCGAGGCAGAGGTGAATGTGTTGGAAGCTGGAGACAAGCCCTGCGTTTGGCAATGGGGCTTGGATTCCTTACCGCCGGCGCAACAAGTATGAGAGCTCTCCTTGTGGCTTGACAGTCCATCGTGTGGGTTTTGTAGGAATTGCATGTTGTCCAACGTTGCTGAGAGGCATACTGAGTTACTCGGATATGCCGGGCTTGGTTGAGGATTTGATAACTGCTGGCAGCCTGCTATGTGTCAGACGGGTTGACTGACTAAGTGTCAACACTGTTTGGAACTAGCGAGGCAGAGGTGAATGTGTTGGAAGCTGGAGACAAGCCCTGCCTTTGGCAATGGGGCTTGGATTCCTTACCGCCGGCGCAACAAGTATTGAGAGATCTCCTTGTGGCTTGACAGTCTGTCATGTGGGTTTTGTGAGTTTTGCAGTTTTGCATGCTGTTTCTAGGTGGCCGAGAGGCATGCTGGGATATGCCGGGCTTGGTTGAGGATTTGGCCACTGCTGGCAGCCTGCTATGTGTCAGACGGGTTGACTGACTGAGTGTCAACATTGTTTGGAACCAGCGAGGCAGAGGTGAATGTGTTGGAAGCTGGAGACAAGACCTGCCTTTGGCAATGGGGCTTGGATTCCTTACCGCCGGCGCAACAAGTATTGGGAGCTCTCCTTGCGTCTTGATAGTTTATGTGTTTTTTCCTAGGTCTGCATGATCAATATCAGGGCACCATGACGGCTTCCAAGTTGCTGAGAGGCATGCTGGGTTTGGCAAGTGCTTGCAGCCCGCTATGTGTCAGACGGGTTGACTGACTCAGTGTCAACACTGTTTGGAACCAGCGAGGCAGAGGTGAATGTGTTGGAAGCTGGAGACAAGCCCTGCCTTTGGCAATGGGGCTTGGATTCCTTACCGCCGCCGCAACAAGTATTGAGAGATCTCCTTGTGGCTTGACAGTCTATTGGGTGGGGGTTTCGTGGGTTTTGCATGCTGTTTCCACGTGGCCGAGAGGCATGCTGGGATATGCTAGGCTTGGATGAGGATTTGGCAAGTGCTTGCAGCCCGCTATGTGTCAGACGGGTTGACTGACTGAGTGTCAACACTGTTTGGAACCAGCGAGGCAGAGGTGAATGTGTTGGAAGCTGGAGACAAGCCCTGCCTTTGGCAATGGGGCTTGGATTCCTTACCGCCGGCGCAACAAGTATTGAGAGCTCTCCTTGCGTCTTGATAGTCTATGTGTTTTTTGCTGGGTTTGCATGTTCAGCAACAGGGCACCATGATCGCGGCTGAGAGGCATGCAGGATTTGGCAAGTGCTTACAGCCCGCTATGTGTCAGACGGGTTGACTGACTTAGTGTCAACACTGTTTGGAACCAGCGAGGCAGAGGTGAATGTGTTGGAAGCTGGAGACAAGCCCTGCCTTTGGCAATGGGGCTTGGATTCCTTACCGCCGGCGCAACAAGTATGAGAGCTCTCCTTGCGTCTTGATAGTCTATGTGTTTTTTGCTGGGTCTGCATGATCAGCAACAGGGCACCATGATGGCTTCCAAGTTGCTGAGAGGCATGCTGGGTTTGGCAAGTGCTTACAGCCCGCTATGTGTCAGACGGGTTGACTGACTTAGTGTTAACACTGTTTGGAACCAGCGAGGCAGAGGTGAATGTGTTGGGCTTGGATTCCTTACCGCCGGCGCAACAAGTATTGGGAGCTCTCCTTGCGTCTTGATAGTTTATGTGTTTTTTCCTAGGTCTGCATGTTCAGCAACAGGGCACCATGATCGCGGCTGAGAGGCATGCAGGGTTTGGCAAGTGCTTACGGCCCGCTATGTGTCAGACGGGTTGACTGACTTAGTGTCAACACTGTTTGGAACCAGCGAGGCAGAGGTGAATGTGTTGGAAGCTGGAGACAAGCCCTGCCTTTGGCAATGGGGCTTGGATTCCTTACCGCCGGCGCAACAAGTATGAGAGCTCTCCTTGCGTCTTGATAGTCTATGTGTTTTTTGCTGGGTCTGCATGATCAGCAACAGGGCACCATGATGGCATGCTGGGTTTGGCAAGTGCTTACAGCCCGCTATGTGTCAGACGGGTTGACTGACTTAGTGTTAACACTGTTTGGAACCAGCGAGGCAGAGGTGAATGTGTTGGAAGCTGGAGACAAGCCCTGCCTTTGGCAATGGGGCTTGGATTCCTTACCGCCGGCGCAACAAGTATTGGGAGCTCTCCTTGCATCTTGACAGTCTATCGTGCGGTTTCTGTTGGCTATTCACGATGATTCAGTAACTGGGAACCATGATGCCTGCTAGGTGGCCGAGAGGCAAGGTGGGATATGCTGGGCTTGGTTGAGGACTTGGCAAGTGCTTGCAGCCCGCTATGTGTCAGGCATCGCAAGCCAGACAGTTTTAGGAACTTGTTCTTCTGTGAAATGGATGCGCTTTTCAGGGCAATAGAAGTTGCCTTGGCTTCCTTAAATGGACACCCAAGCTTGGTCAATCTGTTCGGTGGTGGAGCAGTTTTGCGCTTTGACCATTTGTTTGTTTGATTGCTTAGGGAACCCCGACCCCCTTTTTGGGTTCCGTCTCTTCATGTCCGGGGGCCTTCCTGGGTTGTTTTGCGCTTCGAAGCGCAAAGAAAATCAAAGGGGCGCCGTCCGTCGTTCGGCAGCGAGTCCCAAATGTGGCCATTTTCCAGTAGGGTTCCATGCATCGCCTGCGGTGATCTTTGGGAAAGTGGGTCCGCGCCCATTTTCCGAACCCGTGCCGGGTATCCCCGGGCCGAAAAAGGCGTATTCGAGTCCGGGCGCGTCAGGAGGGCGCCAAGATCGTGCCGGAGATCATGGAGAAGGCGAAGGCCAAGGGCGTGGAGACTTGGCCTGAAGGGTGGGGTGGGTGGGTGGGTATCGGCGGGGGGTATGGGTGTGTGTGGGTGGGTGGGTGTGTGGGTGTGTCCAGCGGGGGGGGGGATTTTTTTTTGAGGTGCCCCTATTTTGAGACAGGGACAAAGATCAGGCTGGAAGCCCCGGAAATTAGGCAACGCCTAAGTGGTCCTTCTGAATTCCCTTCAAGACAAACCTCGAAAAGGGGGTCCCCTATGTTGGGTCAAAACTACGGTGAGTTTGTGGTCATTGCACTTTTTGACTACCCCAAGATGGGGTTCTGCTTTTGGGGGTAATGAACCCGACCTGTGTTTAAGTCTGGAGATGTGGGATCTCTATTTCTTTTTCATGTCCTCGCGGGGAAGCAAGTACTTGTGACCATGGCGCATATGGGTTTGTCTCAAGATAGGGAGTCTGGTGGCTTCCTTTTGGTTTTCTTTAAACAAGCCCAAAAATGTGCGTCTGAAGAAGCGGCGGTCGATACTTGCCGCCGTTTTCGATAAAGAGGATGCCATGGTGCACACTCACCAAAACACCAGTAGGGAATGGGCACAGAATGCCAATGTCGGTTGGGACACACTTGGTTTCTCTACGTCCTTCAAGGGGAACACCGCCTCCCAACATAGATTGTCCACCAAAGGTTCCCAGGCGAAAAGCCCCTTGGGATACGACCTCCGACTTGCTGTGAGCTTCACCGTTTCTCAGCCTCAGTGGGCGACGCCTCGTTTTAGAAGAGAGAACGGTTACGCCCTGCGGGCCCTGTTTTTACAGACAGAAGCAATTAGTATCAAAACTACCCACTATAAAAGCACACGCTGATTATTATTTAAGTGAAAGAGAAGAACCGCCACAATATACGTTTTCAGCTGTAAAACCCGGGCGCCCATGGGCCGTCCCTCGCTCGTTTAGAAGCCCCTCCCTTTGAAGCCCTCCGGAGAGCTTGCGCGAAGGAAAAATGGCGGGGGGAACGCCCCAGAAACCGGGCGGCAGCCCGAGTCGGTTAAAATCAGTCAGGGTGCCGTTTCTTTTCTTTTTTCTTTTCCGCGGAAGGAGGCGAGGGAAGTCAAGTAGTCAAGTGTTTAGGCCTGGCTTAGAGCGGGTCTCGCGGTGAAGGGTGTTGGTTTTTGGTCTAAGGGCCCTCTGTTCCGCAACGACTTGGTAGTATACTCCTAGACCGGGATGGAGTTTTTGTCGGAATTTGGATCCCCTTTGTTTTTTGTTTGGTAATGTTGACCCCATATTATAAATCAAACCCAGTTCATTAACAAGGGGGTGTCCTGGGGTTTAGTGGGGAATCAGACCACTTTTGGCCCTATCAATAAACTGGGGGTTGACTATTATGGGGTCAACATTCGTGAAATGGATCCCCTTTGCATGTTTGCTACGGAAGATTCAGATCACCTTGTTTTTTTTTTGGGCGTCCCCGTTTCTTTTTCTTTTTTTCTCCCCCTAAACCCGAGAGAAATCCGTCCGAAATCAGTATCAGTCTTCCACCGTCCGATTGAAAGGAGATCGTGCTGCCCTCGGACTTTGTTTGCTCCTCCAAGTTCGGCGAGGCGGCGGCGAGAGACTTCTCCGGCCAGGGGCGAGAGAGGGAACGCTCTCGGGTGGCACGGGGGAAAAAACAAAAAAAAACACGTGAGGGGAGTTTTTTTTTTTTTTTTTTTCGGTGAACCGGGGTGCAACACTGGGCTTGGGTTTTTCTTAGTGAGTGGAGGCAGAAGGAAACCAACTTTGAAGTAGAATAAGCAAGCTCATTTGTGCCCCTATGCCATTTGAGGGAAACCTACAGGAAGGCCAAAAGAAGCACGCCAACACACGCCTGTTCCCGTGTTCCGCCATGTTCGGCTCGGATTCTCAGGATTCCTTGAAGGGTTCTGATAAACGGCTGACTGAACGCGTGACTCAGGTTTTGAAGCCAGCCAGCTTCACAGGCGGCAGGTAAAGGGAGAAGCGACGCAAGTTCATAGCGTGCAACTCTGGGAAAAAAGCTGCGCATTAGCTCACACACCATTGGGGCTGCTGGGTTTGGCCTCAACGTAGCAGCATGATCGATGGCTTCAAAGGACAATGTGTCTCAGAAGGGGGCGCAACCTATTTTTGACAGCAGCATGATCATTTGCCCTGATCGTTGAATCGGATTCAGCTTTGGCATACCAGTATCTCCAGAGCGCGTCGGGAATACACCCATGAGGCTTGGGTCTAGAAAACGATTGGGATACGCTTTTTGTGGACACCACCTGTTACTGTTCTTCCTTTTTTAGTACTTCAGTTCTCTTTTAATATCCTACAGGGGTGGATCCACAGATTCGGCACATCCAAGCCGTTTTCTACTCCGGGCGCGGGTCGAGGCCTCCCTTGGTTCGTGAGTACCCCGTATTTCCCCGAGCCAAGGCGAGCACTGCGAACAAACTTTCGGATCGGATCCGGGGCTGAAGGGCCTCCGAAATCTGATGGGAATGCTCGGGGGTAGGCGTGGGAAGGCTCATCTTAGGGCCTCGGCGTTTTTTCCATCAGAGAGGAAGGAGCCTTCGATGCTGAAGATTGAAGGCTCCATTTGCTTTTTGGAGGGGGGGGGGCAAGGGGGTATTTGCCGGAACCTACAGTCAACGTATGTGGCGCAATTTGTTCAGGCTGGCCATGGTCTAGAATGTTTGGGACATTTAGGACAAATGCAGCTTGCCATATGCTTTCACCCATTTATATTTACACAACCTACCACAACCTAAACACCGAAAAGAACCTATTTGTTAGAACCCATTTGGCTGTGAATTTTAATAGAACACACACACACACATGGGTGTAAATGCCAATATTGTTTTTCTTTTTGGCGTCAGGGCATGCCTAACTGGGGGATCAGGCCCAAATCTCTGGAACTCATCCAACGGGTCGCCCGAATTCCTCCATTCCTACCAGCATTAACTGCGTTTTGGACAGTATTTGGGCGTTTGGACAGGGAAAAACCAGTTGTTGGGACCCCGGTGCTGGTTGAAGAAACTAAAGCACACGTTCTTGCCGTGAGGATCCATCCGCAACTTGGGTCACCCGAGTTTTGGGGAGTTACATGTCCGAGCTGCGGATCGGTTCAGGACGGGGAGATCAAGACGGCCACGTTGACGTCCGGAATCCCCGAGGGTGCCGGGGGGGGGGGGGGGCGGGTGTTGGGGGCTGATTGGTTTACATCGGCCTCAGGGGTCAGTCGCTCACTTTGTGCAGGAAGTCTGACCAAGGCTTCGCAAGCTAAAGATCCGACCCAAATGCAGGTTCCATGTTTGCCTTGGAATCCCAAGCCGGAAAGGGTTTTCTCCAAGACAGCTGCATAATGAGAATGTGTGTGTGTGTGGAGTACTGTGAAGACAAGTAGAGAGTTGACCATACGGGAGCTATGCGGGTGACGAGGGAGGTTTTGAGTTTTACCTTGCAGTATATTAAGACTCTCTTTCTCACGGGCGGAAGCCCTGCATGCGTGCTTCTGCCAATTGCAGGACGCGTTCTTGTGGCACGCTTCAAGAATGGCTTATGCGTTCTCGAAAGAAGGCCAACTTGGTCGCGCAAGCACTATTGGTCACTGAGACTTAACTGAGACTCGACTGAGAAGATGCTCTCGTTTCTTTTGCCCCAGCGAAGTAAGACCAAAGAATCGAAGCGCTTCCTTCTTTTGCTATCGTGACAAGAAATCTTCCAGTGCGCGATGTTTGCACACATGCGACCTGCCTGCTACTGGCCAAAGTGAGAACCAGCAAATCAAGAACTGCGAAACTCTATGCTCCATAAATGCGAATTTTTACCGGTCAAAAGAAGCTTTGTTCGTCAGTTGTCTAAGAATGAAGAAACGGAGTGCTTGTGATATCAACTTGGGCACTCTTCGCGAACGCACAAGCGAGCCTTCCACTGTGTGACGCCAAGTGAACGCGACCTGTTTTCTGCTGAAGTGAGAGCCAGGCCCCGCTGCAGATGGCACACCAGAAAGATGATGCCTTCTTGGCGTTGGCTGATGACGCACTGGGGGAACTTTATGCTGCGTCAACGCGAATGCCACAGAGCATAGTAAACGCGAATGCTTTCGTAAGGAATAAAGACACGTAGCCCAGTCAAGTTGGTTCTCTTTTGTGACGCTGCCAGACGCACGCTTGGCTGCACTTGTGTCCCACCCCTGCGACCCTGCGAGCACAATGTGAGGAAATGTCGCAACAAAGTGAGATCAGCGCCAACATGGAGCAGTTCACAAGTTGCTTCTTGTCACGATTGCATCGCCGTATCCCCTTCAACGCCTGACAGAAAGAGCACATGTCTGGCGGCTAGAGTTTTTTGAAAAGCGCAAGAGGCCTCTTCCAAAGCCGGGGCCAGGCTTTTCGAGTGTCTCACAATTCAAAGCCTCTGACGTGAGGAACTGATTGGATTCTTTGGTGTGGGTTTTGGGCAGACCTCCTTTGGTACGAAGTGCTGACACTGGGCAATTTCTCCCGAGGGCATGGGGAATTGCGGGTGCCGAGACACAACTAGTTGTGGCCTAGCAAGTGGGTTGAATATGCAAGCAGTAGCCTTTGTTTTGTGCCTGAGTTGGTCAAACCAGACTATAGAGATCTCTTCCTGCAAAGAACCGCAGTAAGAAGCGGTCCGAGCGTCCGAAATCCGTGTCGTGGCACCGCGTCCAACTCCCGGGGCTTCTTAAGCCGCGAAAGATGTGGCGCAGGCTTCATGGGCCGGGGGCCTTGGTATCGAGGTGGGGAGAGGTTGGGATGGAGGGGGCCATGCGCAGGGCTAGCATGGAAGCTCCCAGCACCTGGACGACGCATTGAAGACCATTTCGCTCCTGGTCTAGGAGCTTCCATGAAATCGTCTGGAAGATACGGGGTGTGCACCTCGAAGTCAACGGTGGCTATCCCCCAAATCTTCCAATGGCCCCTTGTTCAACTGGATGTTGTTCGATTTCTCCAATGGAATTTTGGATGCACAAACTCCAATGTTGTTCGAACCTTGTGGATGCGTTCTGCCAATGGACCCCTCGATTTCTCCTTGTTTGAAGCTCCGGGCTCCGGTCGCTTGCGCGCGGTCGCGGTCGGCTGCCTGGGACTTGAGGCCTGGACTGCGGCCCCGAGAGCATCAAGCGGAACGCGGAGACCATCGCCAGGACGAGGGAGGGCCGGGCGAGCGGAAGGCCGAAGGCCGAGGCCGAGGGTCGCCGAAGGCCGAGGGTCGCCGAAGGCCGAGTTTGAAACCTCCTTTTGGGCGGGCGTTCGCCAGAAGGGTTCTGAAGAGAACATTTCGATGAAGATTCTAAGAAGATTCTAGGGAACATTCTTGGGTTGTGTGGGGGGGAGGGTTATCATAGCCCAGATTTGGCTTTGCTGGTTTGAAAGGAAGCCACTACGAAACCAACCAATCTTAGAATGCCCTTATTGGAGAGAACTCCATGTGCGGATTGGCTCGGATGGCTGAAGCCAAATTTTTCAAGATGCGCCAAGATGCTCCGCGCCACTACTGATGAAGCATAGGTTTTTTGGGAGGGGGTGTTGATGCTTGGTGGGGGGTCCTTTCACTCAGGGTAATGTCGATTCCGGAGGAATCAATTTGGCGGATTGATAGGACACCCCCCAATCGATCATCTGGGGGTGCTCATTCGGCAGGCCGTTGGCTCTTGGTTTCAGAGCGGAGTTTGAGTAAGGATGAGAAGGGTTAAGAGTAAGCGTCGAAATATCGGGGGCCTGTGTTTCTTGCTGGGCATTTTTGCTGCCCTTTCCCCCAAGTGGGGGTTGGAGGATTGGTTTCAGGCCCATGTCTTATCCAAACTCCTCGCATTCTTGGACCGGGCACAGGTCCTCCGACTCCTCATCCATGGCAGGTGGCTCTTCTTGACTTTTTGGCAGTGTCCGCAGCTTGGGGTTGCTTGAGCGCACGAACTTCGGCTGAGCAGTCCCTGTTTCATTTCAACCTGACCCCGGTTCAAGGAAATCAGCAGGGTTCCTTCCATGTTCGCTTCCATGTTCCCTTCCATCTACAAAGGAGAAACTGAGAAGCTCGAATGCAACAATTGGCTCGAATGGTGTTGTCTCATCCCCCCCAAGAAGGAAACTGGGAGCCCTTCAACGGGGGACTCCGCCAAGATGTTTTTCTTCTTTTCTTCCACTTCTCTCTTGAGACTATCCTCAAGAAGGAACCTCTTTCCACATTTCAGGCGCAGTCTGCCCAATCTTCTGCGCACACTTTTCCGCCGTGCCCCCCCTTCCCCCCATCCCCCAATCTTCCCTTTTTTCTAGGGGTTTCGCTTGGGTGGCACTCCATTCCAAAGGAGCAAAACCATCGTGTGGAACGGGCCCATGGGCGTCTTCGAGATGGCGGCTCGGGGCCTTGGTTCCCATCAAGGCTCGTTCAGGGCCAACACCCTGCCAGGGCTTCGCTTGCCATGGCTCTGAATCAGTATTCGACTTGCAACGGCATCGACAAGTGGAACTGGGTTGCGGGGGTACTTTAGGTCCCACATAAGCCAGATTGTAGGATAATTATGAGTAATGATTGAGCCTCTCATATTACTTGGATGTTCAGCCTCCGTCAGGGAAGTAAATCTGTGCTACCACGCTATCAGGGACCCCCAGTTATTCCAGTCTTACCTCCTGAGTTCCTGGACTTTATACTTTTTTGGAAGACCATTTTAGTGGCAAACAACAAAGTTCTCAGTTTTTTTTTCGCCAATCCACTGAGGTGAGTGGTTGTCACCTACCCGGCAGGTTGGACAAGTATATGGGGTTGAACTGCATCGTCGTGGACCCCGAAACTGCATCAGTTGGTTTCCCCGCTGGTCCAGCATGTATAGTACGGGAACCTCTACCACGAGTTTCGGCTAGAGATGGCGTTTTGAGTGACTCGGCTCGCGTTTCTTTTTTGCACATGTGTAGCCCCCTTTTCACAGAAGAGTCGTCATCCCTCGGTTCAAAGCTGGGCGGCTTGTTCCTGGTCGCTGGTACTTCTCGTGAAAGATGGGAAGCCATTTGGGTATTGGTCAAAATAAAGCCACCAGGGGACCGCAGGTTTTGGTCCACGTTTCCATTTACCTGGGTTCCATGTTGGGCACCTATTTTTGACCCACCGCCATTTGTTTCTTTTTAAACCGGGCCGAAACCCCTCCGGCCAAAAAAGGCGCCTTCATTTGGGTGGGGCCTGGGAGATTCTGGGAGGCGATGGTCAAACGACTCCTGTACTCAGGTTTGGTGTGGTGATGAACTTGAGGGGCTTTAGATGAACCGCAACCATGATCCAGACGGAGTTTTGACCGTGGCACGTGTGAGTATATGCCTTACTTGGGGAGCCCTTAACCTTGGTGGACGTCATTTACAGGTGCCGTTGATGGATTTGGTCGAACAGCATGGCCACCGCGTTTCTTTGAGGGCAACCATGACCGTGCGAAACGCAGAATATATTTTGCCTGTTCGCATCGTATGGGTGTTTTGACCCTCATACGGGGTTTCCCCAAATTCGGTATAAGCTATGGGTGTGGGTCAAACATGGGTACCCAAAAGGCCCAAAAGATGCCTGGTGGTCTGATTTTGGCCGTGGGTCAATACCCATGGGATCCCATTTTGGGGCTTTCGGTGCATCACCCATTTTAGAACATATCTTAGTGGTTGGCTTGAATCGGATGTTCACTGGGGGCTAACCGATTTGGGTTTTGAAAAGCCCATGGCCATGCAGTTTTTGACAAGCCCCCGGGCACCGAAAATGGCCCCAACTTGCGATCGTCGCGACGCCTTCTGTGCGAGCGAGGCCTTTGAGGCGGGCACGAAGAGCCGTGCGCCGAGTGAGCCGAGCCGAGCCGATCAAAGGCTGATCCAAGAAGGTCCGTAGACGGACCCAGAACTCATGGTAATTTCACCCATAAGCTAGGGGTTCATAGGGTTCGTGCACGTATACATTCAGCTTTTTGAGACTAGGTTTTGAGTGCGCGCGTGTTTTCTGAGGTGCCCTTATCGGGGTTGGTGCAACCGATTTATTTTTTTGGGGGTCTTCGACACATACCCAACAAGTAGGTTACAGCCGTGGTTTGTGGGGCAGCAGGCATGGGTTCCTGAAAAACATGCAGTGAAACAACCTACTTACTTATGTGGAGAGGGTTGAACATGCAAGTAGACAGGTCTTGTGACAGATTGTGTTAAACGCTTCTGGTTTCCTTTCAAGATCGTCTTGATGTCCTTTCAGGATCTTGCCTTTTTTGGTTTCTGTTTCATTGTATTGGGTACATTTGTCCTTTTGGTGTCCTTCCGTGTTTGTCAAATCTTCGTTGGGCTTCCTGTTGAGGTTGTGCCGGATTTGTTTGAGCTTCTTGTAAAATTGTCTCGCGTTATAATTCCTCTTGCAAGTATCATTTTTGCTGTCTTTCTTTAGGTTTCTTCATTTTGTCGGGCTTTCTGGTTAGATTGTCTCGATTCTGTGGTTATCCGCTGATTTGACGATTGCTCAAGTCCGTTTGGTTTCCGTTCAAGATCATCCCAAATTCTGTTGGTATGTAGCCATATAGCCATATGAGAAACATCAACGCACTTGTCATTTCCCTTGACATGCATTTCTAGCTCCTTTGGCTTCAGCTTCAGATGGCCGTAACATCTCTTGGTCTGCAGATGGTCCCAAATGATCCTGGTTTACTTTAAATCGAAGCTTTGTCCAGATTCATGTTTCCTTTTACAATTGTTCCAAACTCTTGGGGGTTTCCTTTTCGGATTCCAAGTTCCTTTGGTTTTGGCACATCTTAAAGCTTTTTTGGAGGCTAGGTGCTCTTTGTTGTTCTTTACAGGGAACCCAACGAGAAGCTGCACAGGGTAGAGCCCAAACTGGCCAAGTTGGTGTAACTTCAGCCCAGCGAAGTGTACGCGAATTCCCATGAAAAATCGGTTGTGTTCACCGGTTCATTTGGCAGTGGCTCAAACAAGTGTACCAAAATTGCCCCTAGGTAAATGGAAACAAAGACCAACACCTGCGCAACCCTCTCTTTAATTTTTTTGAGCCACACCCATTTTCGCTTCTGGGCCAAGCAAGTCCTTTCACCTTGTTTCAGCCCTCGCTCTGATCATCAGCTTCTCCTAGCGTCGGCCGAAGCTTGGGAGCTTGAGTGAGGCATGATGGACGAGATCGTGAAGGCCACAAAGAATGGCACCGTCACGGCCAGGTTCCCAGAAAGGCGGCCACCCGGAAGAAAAGAACAACCCCAAAAAACAAAAGCCGGAAAAAAAACAACGCCAGTTGTAGAGGATAGGTGGTTTGGAGGTCAGTTATTTACCCACAAGAACCAGGGTTTATGTTGGGGTCAACTGGTAGAAGGCTTGGGTCCTCTTCTTAGGAATATATATATATATATATATTCTACCACGGGAGCAAGATAATTCCCTCCAGCACATGGTCGTTGCATAGTGGTTGTATACCCCAGTGTTTCGTTTTGGTGGTTTGGGGTGGTTCGGGGTGGCCTGGGGGTAGAAGCCATCTTAGACTCGAATGAGAGAAAAAAAGTAGTGATGGGGATGGACATCGACCAATTGAAAGTAAGGCCAGCAGGGACGTACATGGGCATGAATTCAGGGACCCTGTGGCGGTGGACGTCAGATTTCGGCGGGAATTCACGTTCACCAACCACTTTTCAGGTGGTTCCCTGTTAGAATTCATACGCTAGTATGGTTGGGTGGGGTTTGGCGTTCCCTGGAGAGTCCGGTGATGGGGGGAGGGGGTTGCGACAGCACGGATACAGCACCTGTAGCACAGCAAGTCGGAGGTCATATTTGAATGGGCCTTTTGCCACCTTTCTTTTGTTGCTTGTGTAGGGTCGCATATGTGTGCTCTGTTTGCATCCTCAATTTGTCTTGCAGCCACTTAGGCTAGTTGTTCCCCTTGAAGGACATAGAACAACAAAGCGTGTCCCAACTGACATTGGCATTCTGTGCCCATCCCCTAATGGTGTTTTGGGGAGTGTGCACCATGGCATCCTCTTTGTCGAAAACTCTATTGGGCTTGTTTCAAGGAAACCAAAAGGAAGCCACCAGACTCCCTATCTTGAGGCAAACCCATATGCGCCATAGCAAAAAAGTGCTGTCACTTTTGTTCAGGGTTTTCCTGCGAACAAAGCAAGAAGCAGGCCGCAAATAATGGGCTAAATAATGGGAATGGGGTTGTGGGGTACCGTTCAACCAAACTATGTCATGATCATGGAGAATGAGGTACCGATCCACAGTCTGCATGGAAGCTGAAACTGGGGCGCTTCCGCACAGTGTTTCTTTAACCTGGGCCTTCTCAAAGAGGTGCCATGCTTGTTTGTTGCGAGGGTCCCCTGCAAATTCACCTGGAACTCCGGCAAGCCTTCCTTCCTATGGAGATTCCGTTCCTATGGTTGGGTTCCTATCCTTCCTTTGTGGGTCGTTGGTTTTTGAAGACTGCCCCTTCGAGTTGGTTTTTTCAAAGACGCCAAAAGGACAGCGCCGGAAACCAGTGTGCCCGAGGTCATTGGGGGTGGTGATACCGCCACGGCCGGGAAACTCAGGATGCGTGCAAGTGGGCCCCTGTTGGATGGCTTCCAAAGGGAAGCACAGAAAACACGCATCGTGAAGATCTCCCTTTGACACACACAGAGACACACACACACACACAAGGCTTTGAATCCAGTGTGTTTGTGACAGCTTTCAAGGCTTACACGACGTGTTGACTACCGGGATGCAATTGTTCTTCCACCAATGAATGGTATGGAGGTTTGGAGACTCCTCTTCCGAGGCCAGGGTTTGTCCGAGCGCGTGACATCGGCTTGGGTGTCGCAAGACTGGCACGTGGGGCCTCACCAGCTATGTGGTACTTTGGTCTGCTCGCGCGATATGCCCCGGCGCGACCTCTGACCCTGCCGGACGTCCGACGTCTTCCGGCTCTGGCCTCAGGCGTGCAAGAAGTACGACACGGAGGACAAGGCGCGCCCGCCCGGAGATTCGAGGAGTGGGAAGAAAAGTGTCCAGTGGGCATGTTTGACACTGCCCCCCGAAAAATCAAGAAAAGACAAACAAACACAGAGAAAACAAACAAACACAGAAACAAAAAACACACACAAAAACAATATCATGTTCGAATGATCCTTCTTGTTTGAATATGCGTGGAATCCACTCGTTTCAGCTCGATTTTGCGTTAGGCCGTTGCCAGTGCCATCCATTTTGAGCGGCGGGTCAGTGAACGATTCCAAGAACCTCGCTCACCTGAATTGGGGTTTGTCAGAATTTCCCTAGGAGTTCGGGTTCCAATTTTTCCAGTTGGGGTGATTTCCAGTCGCGAACCCGATAAAACAGTGGCGTTTTTTTGCAGCAATCAAGGGTGCGGTTCTTTCGTTTCGCTCGAATTAGTTGGTGGGGTTGCTCTCAATATGTGCAGGGTATTGTTGTCCAGTCCAGGCGGCTAGGTGCTCTTTTCCCAGGCATAAAACTGCTTTTCGGACTCTGAGCATCGGCTTTTCGGCTTTCCTCGCCCTTTGCGATTTGCCTTTTTTGGTTTTCTTTGGACCCGTAAAAAACGGACCATGCCACTTTACCCCGCACGGGTCACGCCTTCGACTCCTCCCAGGTGACCCACTGCAGCACCGGGGGCGGAGCCTCCTTGGAGCTTCTGGAGGGCAAGGCGGGAAGGGAGGACCATTCCGCTTGCGTCGTCTGATTTCCATGTTGGCCTTGAATGTTTAAGAGCTAGGTCCCTGAGTAGTGCCCTTTTCTACCCCTTTTTGGGGGGGAGGGTTCACCTACAAAAAGAGACTGCATGAAAATAGACGTCCAGAAAAAAGTTGGTACCCTTATTCTAACCTCTCTACTGATGTCGGGGTCCCTTATGAAATGATCTGCACCCAGTTGAGCAGCGTTCAACACAACACACCTTCGCCATTTTCGGTGGTTCTACCTGGTTTAATAGGGATAATAGCAGTTCTTGTATTATTCTTTATAAGCTTGTTGGTATGGGTTTCGGGCGCTGCTCGATTATACCGGGGGAGTCAGGAGGCACTCGTTCGCCTTTTCACATGGGGTCTTTGTCTCGTGTTTTTCCTGCGCGCCAAACACGCAAGCAGAAGCTCGGAGCACTTGGATGATGTTCTGGAAGTTCAACCTACACAGTAAGGAGGTTTCCACCATAGTTATATGGGGCAGGAGGGTTCGGTTCCCTTATAGCCATGGTTACACCCTACATAGCAAATGTGTTGAACATCCAGTGGGCTCAAATTGAAATCTTAGCCAGACTTAGCTTCGCTTCTTCACCTCTTGCCTTTTGAAGTTTTCCTTCTTTTTTCCCGTGCCAGCAACAAGTTGTCATTTTTGGCTTCCTGACTTGTCCAAAACCAAGCTTTCAAAGTTTTGAAGTTTTGTTTGTTGCTTTTGTTTGGTGGTGGCTGGAACCCAAACAAGAGTCACTTGTAAAACCCCTGAGATTCGAACCAATCGGATCAGGCTTCTTGGGTTTCCATTCGGGTACACAGATCCTATGTTCTGCTTCATGTGGGTGGCGATCCGTCCTTTTTGAGTTGGTACCCACGAGGAATATCGAAACCATATTGTGGGTTCCCGGTCTGCCACTTAAAACCGAAGTCTCGGTTGTTCCACGCCGACCCTTTCTTCCACCTGGTGTTCCCTTTGGTCCAATTTCAGAGGTCCCCAAAAGGTGGAAGCTTATTGCAGGTCCTTCCGGCAAGCGAGAATTGAAGGAGCCATTTTGTGGGTCTCCTACGAAGAGCCATCAGTCCGCCCCCGAACTCGTTTCGGGATGACGCATTCGTTCCCAGCAGAATCCTTTGCCAGGTCCTGCCGGGTGTCGCCGCGCTGGATGACGCTGCGACCTCCGCCGCAGGTGGGACGGATGGTCGCCTTCGGACCATATGGGGTGATCTCAAATTTGGGCACCCTCCAACGTGGCTGGCTTCCTAGTGTTTTTTTTTGGGGCGGGGCACCCTTGAAAAAGACAGACCCCTATGTAGCGGGCTTGGAGAAGGGGGGGGAGCCCACAGAAGGTTTTAAGGGCTTGAGAAGAGCTAACTTGGGTTCCCTCCCTTCCCCTTCCTCCCCTTCGTCACCCATTCTGTAAGACTGAATTTTCCAAGAGACCTGGGGGTTGGTGAAAATTGGGCTTGGTTGGTATTGCTTGAGGCGGCACTTTGGGACCAGGGTGGAAAAAATGGCAATATTTTTGTGACCCCCCCCCCCCCGGGTTCTTGAGCACACCTGAAGCATGTGTCAGTTCATCTTTGGGGCTTGCCTAAAAAGCGCGTCCCCTCCAAACAGATTCTTCCAACAAATGTCATTCTGGGGGTTCCATGCTAGTTTGCAGGGTCCAACATGAGGGGAGGACCTGCGTTCAACCGCTCCCCATGGAGTCGCCATGACCCGCAACAAATAGGGCAGTAGTATTATTTTATCCAACAACTACAGCTTCAAGGGTCCGAAGGAGATAGGTTGGCTGCTGACGTCCTTTATATATATATATATATATATATTGGCTTTTGGTTGATTGAATATACATGATATACATATGTTAATATACGTGTCTATGTACACATATATAGATAAATACAGTGCCATTATACAGTGCCATTTTGTGGGAAGGGTCGATCCTTGCAGAGAAGTGACACGCGCCTTCGCGCAAAATCGAGGCACCACCATCCTCCACATCAAGGCGCGGGAGATCTTCGACTCCCGCGGCAACCCCACCGTGGAGGCGCGCGCCTGGCGTCGGAGTCAGATGCAAGACGGAGATGACGAGCAGAGTGGCCAGTCCTCTCAGGCAGCCCGTGCCTTCCATTTCTATTTTTTGGCCTATGCAAGTTTCTTGGCCTATGCTTCATGTAGAATTGTTGTTTCTTTTTTTCATTTATCCTGTTATAGAATGTATGAAATGTATTCATTGAAATGATTTCATCGACTTTTTCTCTCCTTTCATTGGTCTTCCGCCATGTGACATATGTATATGTTCTTCCCTGTTGAATGGAAGATAAGACAGATAACAAACAACCAACGCATATTTGTGAAGAGCAAACATTCATATTTTTTCCGACCATGGTTGTTTTTCTGGTGGGTTCACTAAAAACGGGATTGACCAACCAAGAGCTTCCTTGTTCTACCAGGGTGACTGCAACTGATGCCGCTATTCTTGGGCGGCAAATCTGGGTGTTCCTGCTTTTCTTTGAAGGGGTTCTCAAGATGACCCTAGGGTCCCGCTTTCCCGTTCAAACCTCCACTTTTTTTTTGGTTTCCAAGTATCTGTTTGGTCCCGTCAAACCCATCAATTCGCAGGGAGGACGCTTCAAACCCAGCGGAGGACATGTTGGGAGCCTCAAGGCAACCAGCTAAACCAGCGAGAGAATCAACATCGAAAGGAAGCCGCGCACCGCGTTTGCTAGGGTTTTTTTTCCCACCAAGGGCGCCAAGAAGCCTATTTTTCTTGGGACTTCACATTTAGAACTCACTTCTCCACTTTTTGGGACGACCATTTTACTTTGGCACCCAGGGACACGGGGGGGCATCAGGGCATCGGGGCAGGTGGACCTGTGCACGGAGACGGCCCTCTTCAGGGCCGCCGTGCCCTCCGGGGCTTCCACCGGCATCTACGAGGCAAGTTGGGTCCAGAGTGCCAGCTGTGTGATGCGGGGTGGGTCTTTTTGAGGGAAATTTGCCCACGTTTTGGGTTTGAAAGGAGAAGCCAAGAGGAGAAAAAGCCACCGTTTTTTGGGGTCCCCGAAAAAGGGAGAGACACGGCCCCAAAGAGTTTTGGAGCGAGAGGGAGCCCACATGGATGCTGTGACAGTGACTTCAAAGTGATTGGTGGACATGAATTCCCGAATTCCGACGTCCACCAAGAAGTCCCCAAATATTCACACCCATGTAATAATGAGAACACCAGGAAGGAGAGGTTTTGCACGATTCGCAGCGTTGGCTCTTTGGCCGCTTTGGCCGCTCAAGGCTTCTTCGTGGGCATGACATCACGAAGGCACAAGCCGGTACCGAATGTGCATGGGATTCGGACCCCCAAAGTCCTGGTTTTGGTTTCTTTGGTTTCCCTTCAAGCCAATCTGCAATGGGTACTCAGCAAGACACATCCCATGAATTTGTGATTCTGCACAAAAAGCCAGGCTATCTGTTCCAGGCTTTAGGCTCCCGAGTTAGCGGCCAGATGCAAAGATCAAGGATTCGAGTTCAGGCGACGGCAATCAGTGTCAGGAGGTCGGCAAGACCGTTCGGCTTCAGCATGCATCCAGTTAAAATAAAGGTCTAAGTATAGATACAAATATGTAGAACATATACATATCTGCGTATGTATCTTCATATAACACACACACAAGAAATATGTAGATATGTATATATTGTATATGAGTCTGCAAGGACATATCTAGGGACATATGAGTGCACGCACCCTTCGTCCCCTTATCACTGCCGTTTGGGTTCATGGCGAGCGCTGGCTGGCTGCGCTACGCGCGGAACAGCGCGTACTACCACTTCTTCCGGCGGCAGCCTCCTTTGGCGGAGCTTCGGCTTGGGACGTTTTCGTTGGTTGGGGCCAACCGCGAGAAGTGGTGGGAGAGGGGCACCTTGGTTTGATGGTTTGCCTTGTGGTTTCCTCAGAACCAAGCCAACAAAGGCACATATCTGATTCTCTCCAAAAGGCACGCATGTTAGAACCATGGGCGATCCGGCACTTCCCAACTAGCAACGTCCCGAGGGGCCATGTGTTTTTCGCGCGTGTTCCGAGCCTCTGGACAAATGGTTTTGCTTCCTTGGCTTTCCTTGTGCCGATCGAATCTCTTGAGCCTTCAATTTCAACCCAGGTTATCTCCATATCAATCAACATATGGTTCCCCCCAAAGGTTCGGCAAGCAGTTTGGCAGTGGGTTGTTTCTTTTGAACATCAACCAACATCCAAAGGCGCTAAGTCCGTCCATTAGGTTGAGGCGCATGCCTGATCTCGCCAAACCATATTCCCTCCATCAGATGCCCAGCTATGCGCAAGAACTTTGCGGGGATATATTTGTGATTGTGTCTGGGGCTCACATCTGTTTTTGGCTAGTACAACGTCCTGGGTCTCAGCTGCCCCAAATCAATCTTTTGCCCTTTCCGGTTTTCCCCTCTTTTGGTTTGTATGTACCATGATCAGAAGCCTGGTTCCTGAATTTTTGGGGTTGAGGATGGTCATCGGCCTAAGGAAAAATGGGGCAACCATGGCTAGGATTCCTACGCAGGGAATCTTTCGTCCAGGTTCCTAAAGCTGAGCTCTCCTTCTGCCCCAGGGCTATCGCCTCCCGAAGTCCTTACCTCCCTGAAGTCCTTGCCAGGGTTTATCCTTAGCTCCCTGCCAGAGGCCCCTCCCTGAAGCCGCAAAGCAAAGCGGTGGCTTCGCGGACTTGGTTCTCAAGATTGACCGGGGATATGTTTCGGAAAGACCTGGCAAGAACTCCTTTTTCTCGCTTTGCCTAGGTCCAAGCTCATTTCTTTTTTGCCTTTCATCCGGGGAGCATGTTCCACCAGCCCAGCCCGCCCCTCCCCACCCTTGATAGACCTAACCCCACCCCACGTGACCCCATTTTTCATGGACCCCACCCAACCCCACCCCCCCAACTTCACTACCCACCCAATTACCCACCAAATTACTCACCCCACCCCACCCCACCCAACCCCACCCCACCGCACCACCCACCCCACCTTTCATGGACCGCGAGCCCCGAGCCCCGAGCCCCGAGCCCCGAGCCCCGAGCCCCGGGCCCCGAGCCACGCCCCAGGAGCTGCACAGCGCGCCCTCGCCCTGGAGCGAGCTCCAAGCGCTGAAGCCCGGGGAGCTCTGCCGCAGCCAGCGCGTGAGGAGCCATCGGTGGGTCCGGTGGGTCCGGTGGGCGTGGCTTCCCGTTTCGGTCTGGCGCCCGAACCTTTTTGGGGGGAAACCAGGGGAAATAGCGGGGGAATATGGGGGGAATAGAGGGGATGGTCTTGTTTTCCTTTTTTGCTTTGAAGGGAAAACACGGGGAGCACAAAGGTGAATTACGCGGTTACACGGGGAAATACAGGGGAGTACAAAGAAATGCACAAATCGGGGATTTGCCGGGGGAATGCAGAGGAATGTAGGGAGTGGTTCCCCTTCAACGGCGTCTACCAAGAAAAAGGTTGCCCTTGTGTGCCAGGAAAGGGCCTCTTCCTTTCGGCTCACTTTGGAAGCCTGAGCTCGCTGTCCTTTCTGGTTGTTTCAGTTGACGATCGACAGATTCCACCACTGGAAGCGGTTAGGATTTGGGGGATTTGGTTGGGTTGGGTAGAGTGCGGATTCGACGCAAGCAATCGTTTCACCTGTTCCCTTTCGGTTTCCTTTCAGCTTCCGATTGGGGGGCTCTTTTGGCTTTGACACATGCCCCTTCTTGCAACTCCCGACCTGCAAGCGGGACACGATGGAGGGCTTTTGGTTGCTACCTCACAGGGTTGACCCAACCCTAGGTCCCCCAGTGGTGCTCTTTTGCCCCCTTTTTTTGGGGAGGGTTCCCCTACTAAAAGAGACAAAACTGAAAAAAGTTGGTACCCTTACTCTAACCTCTCAAATCTGGAGGACCTAGCAACCCCGGCGCCCGAACAACCCTTCGCCTTCTGCTCGCCGCTTCGCCCACTTGCGGCGAGGAGCCTTTGGTTCCTGAAAAGCTGCCTGGGACCCGCGGAGCAGCAGAAGGCCGGGCCCAAATCAGCAGAAGGGGGCCATAGCTAGTGGCTATATATATATGCATATATATATATATACATGTGTGTGTGTGTGTCTCAAAATCGGGGATTGGACTCCAAAATGGTTTTGGGTTTCCTCTTGGTTTCCACCTAAGGAGCAATGTTCTTCCTGAACTTCGGGAGGTCTTCCTTCGAGTTAGTGCCGCCTTGCTGAACGCCTTCGGGGCATTTCTCGCAACCTGGGAGCTCCCCTCTCCAGTATGGCTGTGGTTGTCAGCACCGTTGTGGTTGATCCCATTTTGGGGTTTTCGGTGCACCACCCATTTGAGGCTTCCTATTTTAGTGGTTGGATTGAATCGGATGTTCACTGGGGGTACGATTTGGATTTGGACCCATGGCCATATGTGCAGCTCAAATCCAAATGGATGCTTTTTTTCAGGAACTCCAAACAAAAAGCAGGAACTTCTATCAGTCAGAACGTCCATCTGAGGTTGGCGATTTAAGTGGAACTCCTTTCCAAAGGAGCTATTGATGAACATTTCATTAGACTTCGAATAGAACTTGACACGTTCCCAACTATGTGTTTGGTCAAAGTTTAGCTAGATTTGACTTGAAGTTTAATAAAGAAAGACCGAGACCTGCACTTTCAGGCTTAATGTATAGAAGTCATTAGCATTTAACTCGGATCTCCTTTCCACATGATTCTAACTGAAACATATTTGGATTCCAATGTAGTTTAAGAAGGAATCAATTCAATTAGACTTCCTTCCTGTCTTCCCAAACGTGTTTGTGATAAAAAAAAGGCGGGTGTTTTTTGTGATTGGCCGAACAAACAACACAAACTCAGGGAGCCTGCCATTTTCTTAGTTCTGTTGGTTTGCACGGGCACTGCTCAGGATGTGGAGCCATGACGGTGTTTTTGATGTGTTTTTCTCCTTTTGGAAGCTCAAGGTGTGGCACCCCCCCCACCCCCGGAATCCCGCGGGTCAGGGCTGATGAGGCGTTTTGGGTGGGGTTCTGGCGTTTTGGGGAAGTTTCTGGTCGCAGGGTGGTCCAGGGTGAGTTTCGGAGTGGTGGCGGGTTGGTTGTGAATTTGTAGATTTGGTTCAGGCTCGGTTTTGTTGGTTGAAACCTACCCTCAGCCCACCCTGAACTGTAGACTGATATGGCGCTCTTTCGTGCGTGCCTGGCACAGCCAGGGTCAGGCTAATGCCAGACCCACGCAAAAACAAGAGATCAACAACAGCGCAACCCCAAAAACCACCTCAGCCAACAGCTTGCAGATGCAGCTTTTTCTGGCTGATCCGCTCCCAAAAAGGCCCGAGGAAAAACAAAAAATGGGCATGGCCATGGCTGCATCCACTCCAAAAACCACCGGACAGATTGAACAAACCACCGAAAAGATCGAACATTGGGCACGTGAATAAAAACAAATCTCGCCGCGAGGTGAAGGAGCTGTTGGACGCCCAGCCGAATTGGCACGACTACGAGCTGGGCCGTCGCGCCTCGGATCGGCGAGATGTTGGGGCTGAAAGCGGCGGCCGGGCCGACCCGGTTGGTCGAAACCGAACCCCTTCGAGGGTTCTCCAAAAATGGGGGGTGGGGATCTTTCTCTTTTCGTGGCGGCAACATGGAATCCATCGAGGTATGAAAGGATTGGGTTTCTTTTGCGGCGGAGATGGCGGAATTGCAGAATCATTTCTTTCCACGCCTTCTCAACTACCCAAGGATTGGTGCATGACACCGAAACCGACCTTTTCGGGGTTCTCCAACTCCTTGGTGGCTCCCAGCCATCCGGTTCCTTAGCTTTTTAGCCTTTTAGTATTTCGTGGTAGTTTCCGAATTTAACCCACCAAAAGTTCATTAAACTTTCGGGCAGCCCAGCAACATGGGGGACAGCCCGAAACGTTGGAAGGCCTCTCTTTCCGCTCGAAACCGATCCCCCCTCCTTTCCCCGGGTTCTCCGAACTCGGGGCGGATATCTTTGACTCCGCTCGGCGGCGCTCATCGACCGAGGCATGCTGCCGCTGCACGCCGACCCGGCGCCCGGCGAGGAGCTCTGCCAGCGCGTGATCTGCGGCCTGGACGCCGCTTGGCGCGCGGGGGCTCGGGCGGGCGCTCGGGGGCTGCGGGGGTGGGGCGCTCGGGGGCTGCGGGTGTGCGGGGCTGGGGCGGGCGTAAAGCTTCCATTTGCTCGCACTGAGATGTTCAGATAACGGTTGTAAGGGGTTTTTCCCTCGTTTGCGACCCCACTAAACAAAAGAAACCATGGTTATTATGGTCTTCCATTTGCTGAAACGAATATTTTTTCAGTTTTCCCTTGTTGGTTCGAAAGGGAATCAATTTCACTACTGGACATATTTTTTTATTTCCAGGGGGCGAAAAAGCAAATGGAAGAAAAGGGTGTGCCTTCGTGTTGGCTGGTGCCTTCAAGTAGGGAATGACCCAGGGTTTGGGAATGAACGGAAGGGGATTTCCTTGAAGGAAACCATACGGGATGATTTATAGGGGTCATTACCTCGTTTCCTACTGAGGAGCAGCAAGTTGTTTGAGGGTATCCCCTTTTGGTTGTGTTGGGAAACCAACAGTTGGGCTGTTCCAAGGCAATCCGCAAGATCCTTGTCCAATTCGTTACGCAAGGACTTGGTCCCCTGTGTGGTGGCTCCCCTGTAGGGATTATGGATTAGCCAAACCGAACACAGAGCTACGTACCTCGGTTTCCCTTGATTTGGGTCCCCAATGCTATCTGTTTTGGGGGTATAAACATCACTTTGAGGAAAAGCTAACATGAGATTTGAGTTTGGGGTGATGCCTAATAGAATATAGGGAGCCCTGACCAGTTGGAAAGGAAGTTCCTGGAACGCGGTCTAAGCTCCCGCAAGCCATGATGCCAGGGAAAATGGGACAATGTGATCCCTTTTCTCCTGGGTGGTGGTTTAGGGTTTGGAAAAGACCCCATGAAATCCAGGTGAGCCACTATCGAAAACGGTGTTGGCTGGTGAGGGAGAAGGTGCGTTTACATGGTTCTGGGTAGACCAGTTGAATTACCAAGGTTTGATTGTGACTCATGTGGGTTTGTGTGTCAATGGGGGAATTCATCAAAATGGCGTCCGGTTTTTCCTTTGGTTTCCCTTCCCTCAGGTGAAAGTAGATGGCACCGTTGTCGTAATTTGAATAAGTAAAGGGGGAGGACGGTTTGGAGTTGTGCCACCCAACGGCAAATCGATTTGCATCAAAATCTCGACATGGACTCGATTTTCTTTTTTGGCTTCCCTTTAGTAGGCTCTCTTACAGCAATCGCAGCAAGGGTGGGGAGGTGAAAGTAGATCTTCAGCTGCTTTCCCTCTAAACTCAGGCTGGTGGGTTTTTCGTGTTTTCTAAATTTCCCTTTTTGGAGCCGCCAAAAGTGGCGATCGTTTCACGGGAAGCCACAAGAAGATTGGTTTTTGAGGGGACAACCAGTGACCCCTGTCAGACCCTTGTTAGAGCTGGTTATTGGGGATGTATCCTTTAAGGAACTTCCTTGCTGGAGCTGGCACAGGCCCTCTTGGAATTCGCTTGCTGGTTCTCAGGAGGGAATGAGAAATGGAGTCTGACCCCAGAAAAGCCATGCAACTGGTGATTCGGGGAATCGCTCTGGGTTCCTACTGAGCACCAGCAAGAATATGGGTGGCTCGCTTTTTTTTTTTTTACAAACAACAGAAACACCGAAGCCATTTTGGGGGGTCCAACAAAGAGAGACACACCCATTGGTCATCATCGGGGTTCCACTGGCCTAGCCCGCGCCGCGCAGCGAGGTCTTCGGCCCCGCGAGCGCCTCGGGGGACTGGTCGCAGTGGGCGCGCCTCGGCGCGCTGCGACGGGCGCAGGTGCCGGGTGCCGAGGCGAAGCTCGGCTTCGTGCTCGGTTTCGGTCGCTTTCGCTCAGCCCCTCCCCCTTCCCCCCCCCAACAAAAAAAAACAGATACGCGTCAAAATTACTCCCCCCCCCAGGAAAAAGAAGAACAAGAAAACAGATATGGGTCAAAATCAAACCACCAAAGGACCGCAATATGGGTGAAAATTAAACCACCAAAGGACCGCAGGTAGTCCATGTTTCCGTTTACCGGAACTCCATTCCATTTGGGTACCTGTCTCAGCCCCATGTGTGTGAAATTTATGGGGGATTGGTGGACATCATTTTGGTTGAGATTCATGTCCGACCACTCTGCGGGTGGTTCCCTATCAAAAGTCATAGCCGCATGTCCATAATGAAAGTGCACCACTAAAAGTTTGTTCCCCAAAAAGTTGAAACCTCACCCAGGGTTGATAGCAGCCCTTTCGAACATGGAAAGTGGACATTCTCACAAGCACCATATTTTCCCCCCCCCATTTCTTCTCCAGTTCAGCCCCCAAGCAATTGACATACAAAATGCAAAACACCATAGCCATGGCCATTCAATGGTTTTTTCCTGCTTGAAGCATTACTTTTACAATACTGAGGCCAAGGTTCCCTCAAAGATGCTACACTCCCTCCTACTAGCTTCCCGAAGGCCTCTGTAAATGGAACCATGTCTTTCAAAGGGGTTCTTGTAGCTTCCATGTTAGTCTGGAATAAAACGGGCTGGATGGTGGCTCCTAAGATTTTGCATGTCCAGCTTGTGAACAAGTTGTTTTTTCTTCTCCTTTGTGTGCAGATCGATGGATTAATCTGATGTCTTCCGTTTTCCTAGCTTAGCCACAACGAAGGTCCTCTTGACTCGCCGCCGAATCTTCTCCCCCTCTCTCAAGAACATTTCCCGAAGCTTCTGGTTTTAAACCTCCAAGAGACTTTTCACCGGGTAGCTTAAAGCCTCGTGAAAAAATGGGTCAGGTGGTCAGGTTCGAAATCACCAGGTGGTTTGAAGCGGTTCCCATCCGGTTCCTTAGGTAGGTTTTTCATGTTTTGGGGAGTTTCCCTTTAACCCCTGAAAGTGAGTCACTCGCATCACTTTGGACAGCTTAGGCTTTTGGTGAAACTTGGCGGATCTGAACACGGACCTGAAAGTGGGGCGATTTCCCTTGAAGCTCCCTTTTTGCCACCCCAACAAGTTGGACGACCCTCAGAAAGAAGACAAAGCCGACTTTGCGACTCGCCGTCTTTTCCGCGGGTCTGGGTCGCAACCACTCCCCGCCGGCTCGCTGGAAGAGGAGCTCTGGCGCCTCCAGCGGCTGGCGAAGGATCGCATCGAGGAGTTCCAGGCGAAGCGGCGAAGCGCCGGGATCGACGCCCCGAACGCCTCAGATCCGCGCCTGCCAACCAGGAGAAAAAAAACAACGTTGTGGTGGTATTCTTTTGAGGGTCCGCGTTTTTTTTTTTGGGTTTTTGTTTTAGGGTCCCCGTTTTGGTGTATGTTTTTTCACGGTACTCCTTGAAAGGGCTGTTCTCTTAAAGGAAACCGGCAAAGGAGAACCGAGGCCATTTTTTTTTTGGGGGTTCATTTTTTGGGGAGGGTCCAAAATGCACTGGGACCCCTTGGAGTTAAAAGGAGACCAAGAGGAGTGCAATATTTTGGGGAGGTGTTATTTCAAGTCCTCCCAGAAACACCCGCGTGTCAAAACCAGGGGTCTATACCCCCACTCCCCATAGTTTGGAGCCTGTCTTCCCATCAAGCCCATTAAAAAAAAATAAGATTTCCAGGGGATCCCAAAACAGATTCCGGCATGGCTTCTAGCATCCATGTTCAGGGGAGTATGGTTGATAGATGAAGGCCCCTGAACTCGCTTGAGGTCCTAAGAAGCCATGGGCCCAGTTTTGGGGCCATCTCAAGAGCTCCCTCTGCGTTTTTCTGGCAGAGAGGAGGGGCAGTCGTAGCGATATTCGCCCCGTGCGAACTTGACTGAACTTGACACCTGGAGTCCCGGGATTGGCACAAGCTCCTTGCGTGTATTTGGGCTGGGGGTGATATGGCTCCAAACGACCGTGCTTGAGATCGTCTCCTTTTCAAACGCAAGTCCAACTTTTTCTGACAACGTCTACCAAAAAACAACACCACGGCGGTTGCTCAAAAGTCCATCATCGTGTATTCCCCAAACATAATTTTCTCCAGGGGATGGGAAGTGTTCTGGATTTGACCATTTCACAGCGAGGTTGTGACTCCGCTTCTCGCAAAGCAAGAGTTTTCAATGAGAGCCGTGTTTTTCTCAACCGGGTCCACCGTCCAACAGCGAAGCGACGTTTTTTTGCTTTGGGGATCCCATCCAGCGGGCGCCAGGGGATCCCATCCAGCGGGCGGCTGGACTCCAACTCGTTGACCCAAGCCTCTTTTTGAGGGCTACTGAGCGCTGCCTCTTTTTTGCTGAGGTTTTTTTGGTTGCTGAGTTTTGTTTTCCCCCTTCGGACGCGGTGTTTCGGGATGCCAAGCATCACTTCAGGCGATTTCGGAGATGACTCGAAGTCAGCTTCCCTCGAATTGGTGGTTGGAATCGAATCGGTGGTTTGGTGGTGAAGTGCAGGGGTGCCCCATGTACCCACAAGAACCAGGGACGTGTTGAAATCCCAAACCAGCAAGCCACCAATTCGAGGGAAGCTGACAAAGCAGGGCCGAGGCTTGTGCTCTGCGAGAACCGTTCACATGGCCTGCCCTTTGGGAGCGGGGCCACGGGGAAATTTTCGCGTTTTTCGGGGGGGGGGGGGGGGGCATCCTCTGCGCCCTTTCGCTGGAGACGCCAACCCGCCAGGGGCCATGCCTCTTCGTGCAGGCCCAGCAGCTGGAGCCTGGCGCGGAGGCCGGGAAGTTCCGGCCCCATGGATTCAGTCGGAGTCGTTGGAAGAGAAAGGCCCACTGGGCGGTTTGAGGTTTGATGGGGAGCCTTCGAAATGGTCGAAAAGAATCTGTACACACTGGGACACGGGGACGTTTCCGATTTTTGTGGTTGAGGCTTGGTGAGTCTGAGTCCGCATGTGGGGGTTGATCAATATGGCTGTGGCTCAAAAACATGTACTAAAACAGCCCCTTGGTAAATGGAACCCAAGACCAACACCTGCGTAACCCTAGCTCCAGGGCTTTCAAATTCCGTGGTGAAAGCCGTATCCTTTTTGGTGGTTTCCCTAATGGTCACTCCATGCTGTACCTTTTGATGAATGGGTGTGCCTGATTCTTACGGAACCCCCAAAATGCGGGGTTTCTTGCTGGTTTTCCTTAAACCCAACCAACAAGGGGTTTCCTCAAACAATCGACACACCCAAATACCTTCGGAGTTGAGGGTTGCATTTTGACATACACCATATAAGATGTTTGTGTTTCTTTTAATACGGATCCCCTGAAATCTCACTTCGATCTCTTGATCTTGGCGAGCGCTCTCAGTTCTACGTGCCCAATGGTGTTGTATTCATCAACCCTCAGTTGTGTTCCGAGGAGCTTCAGCTGAGTTTATGCTACGTCCAGTTTTTTCCTGGCTGGCATGTTAAACCGAGAGGAGTCACAATCAAAGCCGGGTATTTGGAGGGTAGTAAGGGACCATCCGAGACAGAATTGGGTTCGCCCGCCTTTATGGTTCTTTATATTGGTTTGGGTAGGCCATTCTAAAACCGGGCTTTGATTGGGACTCAGTTGATGTTCAATATCATCAGCTTTGTTGAAGATTCACTAGTTGATGGTTGAGCCCCAGTGTTGTTTTCTTTGGACACAGGCAGAGTTGAGCTAAGTCTCTGTTTTGATCCGCTGCGATGTGGTGTGATTGTTTTTTGATTTCCTGAAGGCTTCTGAGTTGAGTTCAGTTTGTTTTTTCAGAGAAGCATCCAGGAGTTGAAGTTGGACATTCGAAACAGTGTTTCAGCCCCAAGTTTCGTAGGATCCATTACAGGGTCGGGCGAAGCGTGTTTCAACAAGCAGCCGCCTGGTCCAATTCCTTCAAAAGTCAAAGGAGGTTCTTTGAACAGTTTGGTGGTTTAAACCATGTCCAAGAGCTTGAATCGCCGAGCACGAAGAGTTGCAACTACTCATCGCCCTGCACCAACATGGCTAAGTGGAGATTCCCACCCGAACCATGAAGGCAAAGAGAAGAGAGGGAGAGAGAGAGAGAGAGAGAGAGAGAGAGAGAGAGAGAGAGAGAGAGAAAGTGAGCTCCCCCCCCATGCCATGGACACCTAGAGCCTACTTTGCAACCAAGCCAAAATAAGGAGGTTGCAAAATAGACTCCAAGTGTCCACAATACCCCCCCCCCCCCCAGTGTCAACTGGAACACGGCCCACCTTGCTGGGGAGCCACAAGCAGCCCCAAACAGGTGGCCCGCCCGGTGAGGTCACACCCCACCGGGATGCGGTGCCTCACGGGGGCGACATGATCGCCACTGTGGTGCTGGCGGGGACCAGCGAGGCGCCGAAGCGAGGGACGTTGGCCTTATTTTTGTGGGTAGAAGCCGTGCTCTTTGGTTGGTGTCGGCGGTTTTTTCCCCCACTGAATTTTGGGGCAACTGTGTCTTTTTGCTGCGTGCGTGTGTTGCGTGATTCGTCTGGCTTGCTTTGTGCTCTGTGGCGCACTTTTACTCTTTTTTTCTTCCCCAGATAGCTGACTTCTAATAATGAAGGGACAGTTATTTGCGTGATTGACGGCTGGGTGCTAGGGGGCGTGCATGCTGGTGTAGGTGCTGTCTGTTTGACGATAGGGGGAAGGTGCTGTTTTGGGATGCTGTTTGAGGTGCTGGTGACGGCCAGGTGCTCTGGGAGTGCTGTTTCGGGGTGCCGTTTGGGGGTGCTGTTTGGGGTGCTCGCGCGGGCGCGCTTTTGCTTACAGAGGGTGCTAGGGAGCATGAAGTGTGGGGTGCCAGCACGGGTGTTTTGTTTTTCTTCATTTTTTTTGGGGAGGGGGGGGGGCTGGTGATGGGTGCGGGCGGGTTTTGGCAAGATTCAAATCGGAGTTCTATTGGGCATGCAGTTTGGGGTGCTGGTGCGGATTGACGGCAGGCTGTTAGGGGGCATGCAATTCGTGGATTCTTGTGCAAGTGTCGTTTTGGGATGCTGTTTGGGGCGTTGGTTGGGTGCTCTTTGGGCAGTGCGCTTAGAGGAGCTGGCGTGCAAGTGTTTTGCTATCTGGGGTCTGCGCTGGTGTAATTTTTTTCCCCCAGATAGCTGAAAGCTATAGGGGTTCTAACTTCCGAGATTGACGGCTGGGTGCTAGGGGGCGTGCAGTTGGGGGTGCTGTTTTGGGAGTGCTGGTGACGGTGCGGCCGCATTTTTACGAGATGGACGGCAGGGTGCTGTTTGGGTGTGCTGTTCGGGGTGACGGCGTGGGTGCATTTTTGCGAGATTGATGGCAGGGTGCTAGAACTGGCTGGTTGAACTTCATGTGGGGTGCTTTTTTTGTGGGTTTAGTGGGGAATCAAACCACTTTCGGAGGGATTACTCAAATAAAACTGGGGTTGATCAACCAGGTCCCCCAGTCGTGCCCTTTTACCCCTTTTTTGGGGGAGGGTTCTCCCCTACTACAGTAGACTACAGAGAAAGAAAAGCAGGAAAGGAGAGGAACAAAAAAACAACAACAACAACAACAAAAAAACACCTCCGGTACCCTTAGACAAACCTCCCAAAATCTGGAGGACCTGGTTTACTCTGGGGTCACCACGTCCCGTTTCTCCGAACTTTCCGGGCCGCCGACTTCTCCCGGCTCGCTCGCTCGCGACGCGAGGTGCGGGTGGGCGGCCAGAGCTTCGTGGTGGGCCCCGGGGACTTCTACGCCATCGCCCACGAGGCGATGGTCGCTTCGGCTTTTTTTGCGTTTTTTTTTTTTTGCTTTTTTTCCCCGAGGGGTTTCCACGAGAGACCCGGGGGGGGGGGGGGGGTTCGGGGAAAAAATATCGGAAACGAGAAAACGCGAGTCCGTGGGGTTTGGGGAGCGCGGTTTTCCTCGAAGAATGGATGGATCTCTTTTTGCAGGGGATGGATTTTTTTTTCTTTTTCCCCCGGCTTCCAGCCGGGCTCCCCCGCATGTTTCCCTTTGTATTTTCTTGGGGAGATGGAGCTGTATTGCCGGGATTCTCAGTTGTCCAAAGCCGACCTTTCAACCTTTTGATTTTCCAATTTCGGTCCATTTTCAGATGGGTTGTGAAAACTAACCACGTAGATGGAAGAATTCACGTCTTGTGCTGCAAGAAGGATTTGCAGATCAACGCGGTTTCTAAGTAGTCCCCACCTGAGTCACGGTACTCACAGCGTTTGCAACTCCGCAACTGGTGGGAGTGTGCTGTGAAAGTGAGGATAGCAACAACTGAGTACAAGTATGATGACTCAAATCCCGCTTTGATCATAAGCTCAGAGTAGATTGGGAGACCCCACGCACGCAATCTGTTCTTTATCATCACGGCAGCAAGTACTCCCAATTCAACGTTCCCCCTCAAACAGGCGCGGTTCGCAGCATCGTGACGTCCCAGGGTCATGCCCGAAACGGTTCTGAGACACGATCCCTGAGTTTCTGGACTTTCATTTTCTTGTTGAGGGGATAGGTTAGGGAATGTGGGAATGAACCCAGGCTTTGGTCCCCAAGGAAACCACCACTTGGATGGTTAAGGGTCATTCCATTTCTCATTCCCCTGTCGCATCAGCAAGTTTGTTGGGAAGGCGCATCTTGGAACAAAGTCAGTGCTGTGACCCAGGGAGTTCTGCTCTGGGAATTCACCACAGGCGCGGTACAACCTGGAGCATGCAGTGCTGCCGCACTGGGGCCCCCGCTTGTCCGTGACCTTCCGCTTTGGGGAAGCGCCCGTGAAGGTCTTGCCGCCCTTGGCCGGGGAGGAGTGGAGCAGTCGCTCCAGCTCCAGCCACCCAGTGAGTGGCCTTGGTCGCTTAGGGACACCAACCCCCATTTGAAGGGGGGTTTGCTTTATGATGTGCGTGTCTGATTTTCGCTCAACATACAGCTGATTAATTTGGGAGGGCCATCGGGACTCACCAAACTCCCCCTAAACTCGGAGTCTAGCCTCCCAACAGACATGGAACCAAGGAGCTTCCTCTAGGACCAACCACATCCCAACCCTGAATTCCCCTGTTTGCAACAAGGGTCTGGGACCCGCGGGGGCGGGGGGCAGGGGGGCCCTTTAACCCGACTGACATCTCCGCTTTGGCTCACCGCCCCGAAGGAGCTGCGGAAAGAAACCTCCGACGGTGTAGAAGACAGGGGTGGCCGGACGGCGCTCTGGGACTGAGTTGGAGGTTTTGTCCCGAGGCGCATAATATGGGACCTGAAGCCCTCGAGAATGCATGGGAGCGGGGGCTACGGTTGAACCAAATTATGTGATCGGACGATGATTTGCTGAAGTATTTCGTCTATACCACCTTCCAAACTTGGAGTGAAGAACAAGACATTGTTTGCAGTGACAAGTCATATGAAGTTTTGAATAGGGTGGAAGGGTGGGTGAGCCATAATTCGATTCCATTTTGGCTCAAGTATGCCCCCCTTTGGAAATTGATTTACGGGGGGGGGGATGTCGCTATTGCCTGATGCGGCGGTTCTTAGGGCATGGACCACGTTAGCAGATGCTGCTGGATGGGCTAATGTGGATGATGGTTTACTGCGTTGTCTCAATAGACAATTGGGAGATGTATCCAATAATTCATTGGAACTGACAGCAGTGCTGCCCCCAACTGTCCTTGTCGCAGCAATTGATGAAGCCAAACGTGGTGCCCGTGGACTGACAGCGCTTGAGAAGGCGCAGCTCATTCTCATGCTGGACGCGATCAGGCACAAGTTTGGGTTGAGCCTGGTTTCGGGAACCATTTCAGTTCACACAACCACGACCATTGCCCCGCACCCAAATGCATCGCCGTCGTCAAGCAGTGGGCGCAGCAAGATCAAGATCAAACTGTCACAGGTGGTGGATCAAGGGTCAGACATAGAAATTGAGCAGCTTGACCACAAGGCCTTGCAGGCTGCTAGAAGACTTTTTGTCACCAGTGAAGGTGACGCACCCCTTGACAAGGAAGAGGTGACGGATGCACAGTTAAGTGCGCTGCAGGCCAAACTATCAGCTGGCTTGAGTCCATTTGTGGACATGGGAGTTTGGGGACCCTATGGTGAAAGACTGGCAAGGCAGATGAAGTTTACGTCCCAGGTTCTCAAGGACGGCCAGTGGAAGAGTGTGGAGTTGCCGGGCGCTTCGTCAATCACAGCCTGGGAGGAATCGTGGAGGATCTTTCGTACAGCTGCAATTATGTTGAATTTGGCAAGTTCAGCCGTGCTTGACAGGTATGCCTCGGAGTTCAAACAGAGAGTCGCTGAATATCCGGATTGCTGGCATATCGCTGCACAAGCTGACATCCGTTGCAGGAGTGAATGGTGGACCGCTGAACTACGTCGGCAAGAGGAGTTCCATCAGGCACACCCGGGCTGGTCAAATTTCAACCCATTACAACCGTGGAATGGCGTTATTAAATCGGCAGCAAGCTGTGCAGAGTTCTGGCATCGCGAGTTTGAAAAGCCGGCGTTGTTGTACAAGATGAACGGGCCCAAGCCCATGCGAGCAGTTCCCGATCCAGCTCTTCCAATGAACGCCGGGGATATGACCCAAAGAGACGGGACGGACGTTTCCACCTGCGCCGGTTGGGTTTCGTCCTGGTGGCTCTTCCAATGAACGCCGGGGATATGACCCAAAGAGACGGGACGGACGTTTCTTCAAATCGGTGGGTGGGGTCAACATTTGCTATGATTGGGCGCGTTGTGAGGATGGATGTTCTGAAGTGTGTCCCAAGGGCATGGCACACATCTGCGAGTGGTGCAGACAGCCCCATCGTACCATCCATTGTCCCCAGGTGCCCGGTTGGAAGGATGATCGCAAGAAAGGAAAAGGAGGAGGAAAAGGTGTCCAGAAGGGCATCAAGAAGAGAAGGCACATGTGACAAGAGGAGGAATCGCCTGAGCTGTCGGCCTCGGTGGCAACGGTCGAATCGGCCGTGGACAGGCTCGCAGAACTGCGGGCGAAGCTCAGGAAGGTACAAGCAAGACGTGGTTTCACAAATGCGTTTACAACTTCGGGAGAGAATTCTCCCCCTTTTGACAAAGCAGATAATACAGACCTGAAGGATGCTACATTTCTCGAACTCTTTGCAGGTGAGGCTGGATTGACCGCTGCAGTTAATAGAGCTGGAATGGTTACCTTGCAATGCGTTGACGTTGATGGGGTTGGCGTGGAACTACAACAATTTGATTTGCTAAAAGCTGGACCTTTCAAGAAAATCAAGGAGTTGCTGAAGTCTGGAAAGGTCCGATGGTTGCATATGGCGCCCCCTTGCAAGACCTTCAGCTGTGCAAGGCGTTCTGACCGTTTTGGAAAAGTGAAGAAGTTAAGGTCCAGAAAACATCCTGAAGGGTTTGAACCCAAGCCTAGAGTCGTTCGTGAAGGAAATCTGTTGGCAGCTCGCAGCGCACAGCTGGCAATGCTTCAGTACAAGGCTGGTGGATGGTTTAGCATTGAGAATCCTGCAACATCATTTATGTGGATCTATGCTCCCGTGAGGAGACTTCTGAAATTGGATGGGGTGCAGCTTTTGACTGGAGATCAATGCATGTTTGGGGGCGAGTATCGAAAACCCACGAGCTGGCTCACCAATGCAGAGCACATCAAGAAGATCGCTGTTAAATGCCCAGGCCCTCCAGAACATGAACATCCAGCACTTGCAGGTAAGGTGAGAGATTTTCATGGTAAACTGGTGTGGAAAACTTCTTTGGCTGCTGAGTATCCTGAGGGCCTGTGTGACGCCTTAGCCAAATCCTACAAAGCTGCCATCAATGAGAAGCCACTTCGACCAGCCGTTAAACCAGCTGCTGTCCGTGATGGAGAGCTTCAACAACATCAAGATTCAAAACGCTGGCAAAGGGAGCAAGAGAACGAACAGTGTGTGGGAGGTCTTCGTAACCCACACAAGTCCATGGAACTAGTGTCCGGCTGGAGACCGGTTGGTGCTGACTTGTTTTGGGTGATTGATTATTTACAACGGGCTACGCAACTGTCGGACCTTGGTGCATGTGTCGGTGGACAGCCGCCTGGCCACGTGGATGCAGAACTTGCGCAGTTGCGGCAACACCTTGGGGCCAAGTTTTCAGCGGAGCATAGCCATTCGGAAGGTTTGTGGTCGGAGCTTCTGGTGCAGTTAGTCGAAAAGGCTGGAGACCCAGACAAGGAGGCAGCGACATGGCCCAGAACAGGCACGCCGCTGGGTATTTGTGAGACAATTCCATTTGGGCATGTTTTCCCACGAATGGAGCCCGACCAGTTTGTGACTGAATGTGAACGTTTGGCATCCCTCAATGACCTTGCTGGAGCTCATGGAAACTACACCACCTACGAGGAGAACAAGCGTGATGCTGAAGAATTATTTTCCTTGGAGCTCAGCAAGGGTTTCGTGGACTGGAGTTCAGAGAGGGAGCATTTGGAAGCAAAGTATGGCAAGCTGGTTACTTCCAGCATTGGAGTCATTGTCAAGCAGAAACGTGATGGTAAGAAGGTTCGTTTGGTTCATGACCTACGGAGGAGTGGAGTTAATGCCACCATCAAGTTTGAGGAGCGTCTGGTGTTGCCACGTCTACGGGACGTCATGGAAGACAGCATGATTCTCTTTGAAAATCTGCAGCCTGGCGAACAGGTATCCCTCCTGAGTTTGGACTTTAAGGATGCGTTCAAACAGCTGCCGGTTCGTCATTCGGAAAAACGTTTTCTGGCTGGGGAGGCATTGGACGGTTTCTTCGTTTATCACGTAGTTCTGTTTGGCATTCGCACAGGGCCGTTGGTTTGGGCCCGTATGGCCGCACTCGCCAGCAGAGCAACACAGTCAATGTTTCGTGCAACCCGCTGCCGCCTTCAAACTTATGTGGACGATCCCTTGATGTTGATGCGGGGAACTCGGGAGCAAATACGCGACATGACAAACAAGGTTCTTTGGCTGTGGATGGCTATGGGGTTGCAAATTTCTTGGAGCAAGGGAAGCTTGGGCAATGCAACTGAGTGGATCGGGGCATACATACATTTGGACAACGCCAACAAGGTGACTGAGGTGACGGTGACCGAGGAACGTTTAGACGATTGGAAATCACTGCTCCAATCGCTGAATCGCAAACCACTGGTGTCAAGCAAGTTACTTGCGCAGTTCACTGGCAAAATGAATTGGGCTTCAGGGTTTCTTCCACAACTGAAACCCTTTGTGAGGATGCTGCACACTGCTTTAGCGTTGGACTCGAAGGTCTCGGACAAGGGATCTGTGTATCATCGTCAGGTGCAGCCAGCGCTTGAGTGGTTCAAGCAATTTTTCTCTGGAATCGAAGGGCCTCTGGTTTGGAAAGTTAAGGCGCATGTTCGACATCTATGCTGCCTGCATGTGGTGGTGGATGCATCTCCGTGGGGAGGGGGAGCTATCTTGTATGTGGAAAATCGTCCAGTGGAAACTTTAGCACTCCAATGGACTGCAGACGATGAGGCAAGGACTGGAGCAAGAATTGGCGATCCGGGTTCGCAAGCCCTGTGGGAGTGCTATATGATGCTTCGAGCATTGTGGTGTTGGTTGAAGGTCGAGAGCCAAGGCTTTGTCAGAATAGTTGGTGACGCTCAGGGCGTTTTGGCAGCTCTTTTAAAAAGATCCGCCAAGTCACCACTTTTGAATCTCGTGGTCAGAGAGGTGACTCTTTTGCTTGCACGGAATTTTCGCTCCCTTGAAACCATTCATGTTTGGTCGGAGCACAATGAGTGGGCTGATGCGCTCAGCCGGATCAAATATCCACACAAACCGGCTAGGCGTCCAGACGCTCTGCTGACCTGTAGACATCTTGAAGATGCACCTCAATACTGGAATGGTAGTGGATAGTTGCTGCATGCATCGGAGTGCCAGAGGTGTGCTTGGATACTGTGTTGTATGCACAGGGGCAATCAGCATAGCAGGTCAGAGGCGTTGTAAGCGCCAGGTCATGAGCTGGACCACGGTTTCCGTCACTCCTTGGCCCAGGCAGGAAGAGCGAAGTCCACTGGAAGAGCCGAGGACAGGCAGCTGTAAGCTGTTTCAGGGTTACTTCGTTGCACGCGAAGGGGTTGCGGGGTATCGCATTATTCGTACGGCATGTAGCCCGATTGCGGTGTATCGCATGGGTCATTGGACACAGCAGTGAAACTAGGTCACTGCGCAGTGTTAGGTTGGATGCTTGGTGTGTCACCACTGTCTGAGGGATCAGGGTTCCCATGTGACAGCCTTGCATGCTTCTGTGACACGTTGTTTCGACTTTCCGCTGCCGTCAGGATCATGAAACGCTTATCGCAGGATCTCACTTCGGCGGACTTAGGCAGATCCTGGTCAGGCCTTGCCAGGACTGTCAAGGTGGAGAAAGCTGAAGATCCGCCGGTCTTGGGCCCGTCATTGAAACAGCTGAAGGTCACAAAGACTTGTGTCGCATGTCAATATGAGATTAAACAAGAGGATGCGGCCATGTCATGTGACAAGTGTGACGAGGGGCCGTTACACAAAGCTTGTTTGCAACAACATCGCTGCCCTACGGGAACCTCTGTTAGTGGGGGGGAGGTTGGGTTTGGTGACTTCCGGCTGGCACCAAAGCTTCCGCCTCCACCGGCTCTGCTCCCTGATTCACCGGACGCCAACGATGATGCCAAAGATGCCAATGGGTCGCGCCCCCACTTGCTTCGCTATGCTTCTGGCGCTATGGATGAGAAGGGTATTGAAGGCCCTGAATCGCCAAAGAAAGGACCTCAGGTGCCGAAATCCCTTTCACATGAGGCGCTGGTCTTGGAGCACTTCAGGCTCAAGTCGGGCATGATGGCGTCTGATTCGTTGGATGATGACACGGCAGAGGTGATCAAGTCAGCAGAAAATCAGGGTGAAATGGATGGTGAGGCAGCCTTCCAGAAGTTTCGCTTGGAACAGCCTGAGGTGAACAACTATGATAGAGGCAATGCCACCAGACTCCATGATGTGATCCATGACAACGCGGCGTTTGAGAAGGCCTTGGAACAGTTCAAGGAGGACAAGATAGCTAGCTCAAACAAGGCTGCGCATGACTCGAGACGAGGTTGGTGGTCGAGCAAGGCGGCCCTCATGAACTTGCAGGCTTATCCAATGACGCCCCAGTCTGTGGATGTGATGGGAACACTTCTGAAGATAGGCAAGTATCGCAGCGCTGCTCTTTACTTCTCAGCGGCCAAGCAAATGCACATAGAACAAGGGCATGTGTGGGATAACCGCTTGGATCAAGCTGTCAAGTCGGCACTTCGATCCTGTCTTCGGGGAATAGGGCCGGACAAGAAGTGTCCCTCGTTCGATTTGACCAAGGTTTGCGACATGAAGCCCGTCGAGCCTTGCAGTGGTGGACCCCGGTTTCCGAAAGAAACCATCATAGTGTTCGCGCATTTTGCCTGCAGAGAAGTGGAAGCTAGCGTTCGCCTCAGGAAGGACATTTTGCTTACCGAAGGACCGGGGTGCGGCATCGTGTCATTGTGGCTTCCGGCTTCCAAGACAGATCCGAAGGGCAATGGCTGTTTGAGGCGCCATGGATGCACTTGTCAAACGCATCCCGACCGGTGCCCAGTCAGAGCAGCTAGGAAGATCTATGACTATGGGACGAGGCGCGGAACAACGGATGACGACCCCTTCCTTTCCACAGAAGATGTCAAGCAGCCACCAACAAAGGCGGCAATGATCGAGACCTTCAGGATGGTCGCAAAGGCTTTGGGATGGAAAAGTGAGGAGGTGAAGGCTATGACTGGCCATGTCTTGCGCCCTACGGGAGCCCAATACCTTGCTAGGTGTGGTGTCGAGTATTACAAGGTGCAGCTCTTTTGCCGTTGGGGGAGCGACACCATCCTACGCTACTTGAGAGAAGCACCGCTGGAGGACTCTGAGGCTTGGGTGGCCGATTCCTTGAAGAAGGCGTCGGTGACGGAAGTTCTTTGCCAGACTGCCATGACTATGAACCAGGAGTCGGACGAGGCCACGTTCGCCAGCAAGGACGTGGACCAGATCATCTCTGACGCGCTCGATGCCAGAGCCTCTGAGGTGCTGAGTCTCTTGGATCAAAGAGTGGACAACGTGAAGGACATGATTGAGACACTTAAGGCCCAACGGATCAAGATGGACGATCATTGGGCGGGTGAACTCTCTCGAAGGTTCCTCCCAAGGTTTGTTCTGAACTTTGGGTCCAACAAACTTCATGCAGTGAGAGACGCGCAGTGTACAGGCTGCGGATTCGAGTGGAGGAATTCCAAGGAGCATGACCTCCGCTATGAAGTTAGCGGTGATGTGATCCGATGCGAAGCACCTGGTTGCCAGAAGTTATTTAAACGGTTTGAGTCCTGACCCCGGCGTGATAAGCTGAAATGTTGCACCTGCCTTTCGTGCGCTATGATGGGAGAGGGTGTTGAATGCACACTCCAGTGAATATAACTGAACTGTGTTGCAAGCACACGTGTTGGCAGGAGCAGGGATGGAGTCGAATCTCACCCACAGCACTTGCACATGTGTCCACCAATGCCGAGAAGGCTTGGAAAGCGCGCATAAAAGGGCAGGGCGGGAGGGCTTGATTCGAGTCTCATTGACTGACTTGTCGTGAAGAACAAGACATTGTTTGCAGTGACAAGTCATATGAAGTTTTGAATAGGGTGGAAGGGTGGGTGAGCCATAATTCGATTCCATTTTGGCTCAAGTATGCCCCCCTTTGGAAATTGATTTCCCACCCACCCCAAAGAGGGTTCTTTGTCCCATCAATTTTCGGGGAGAGGGTGTTGAATGCACACTCCAGTGAATATAACTGAACTGTGTTGCAAGCACACGTGTTGGCAGGAGCAGGGATGGAGTCGAATCTCACCCACAGCACTTGCACATGTGTCCACCAATGCCGAGAAGGCTTGGAAAGCGCGCATAAAAGGGCAGGGCGGGAGGGCTTGATTCGAGTCTCATTGACTGACTTGTCTGTTCAACCCAGTCAGTAGGTGATGTCAACATGATTCTGAGTGGGCGAACAGGGGTTGGTTGTCTTATAGCCACGTGCTACTTGCCAAAAGTGGGTTGACCATCCAAAAAGAGGAGGTGCCTTTATGCTCCCAAACAAAGCGCCAAAGTTTTTGGCTGTTACCCTGTTGGAAGAGTCGTGGTTGCTTTGGAGAGGCTTTGTCACGTGAAGGCGCATGCACCAAGTGCACTGCGTGAATGAAGTTTGCGTGTCGAGATGTCACTGGTGATGGTGGCATCTTCTGCTCTGGCCAAGCCAATGCACGTACCAGGCCCGGTTGAAAGGATGCGGTAATCTACTACACAGCAGGGCAACGGTTGGTTTGAGTCGCGTAAGCACGTCAACAAATAAAGGCAAACTCGTTTTTCCCAACAGCTGAAAGCTTTGGGGGTCTTTGCCCAGATAGGCTCCGGAGACTGCACCGTGGATTCGCGAAAATCACCTTTCAACCGGGTTGACATCGCCCGGGCCCCAGGGCAAGGGGCTCGGGGCTCGCATCGATTGAAATTGAGCCGAAAAGCGCGCCCGGGTTTGCCTGCGTCTTTCTTTGCTTGAAATATGGTTCTTTAGAGCTTTAGAGAGTTGCGTTTATGGCGTACGTATTTCACTCGGACACGAAAAAAAAGAAGCTCGGGTGATATCCTCAGCATGCGGTGCCTCAGACTCCCAATGGGACACCCGAACCTCTAAACCTGAGGTGTGAGGTTCCCACAACCTGGCCCCTGCAACCTATAGGCAACCCCTTTCCTAAATAAGAAAAGGCAAGCCCAACGGAACATGTAACAAGCTCACCACACTCCTCTTATTTCCAGGACTATTACAGTCATAGAGCCAGACTTTGCGGAGAAGTAGAAGGAAGTTGGCCAAGAGAAGTTGGTGTTTCTCAACTTGCTCCCAGGCAGGGGTTTCCTGTCAGTGTCCTTTTTCAAACCCTCCAAAAAGGGGGTCCGATTCCTCACCCATATACTCACTTCCTGAGTTCCTGAACGTTATTATGTTTCTACTTTGTGGGTTTGGGCTCCAGTTGCGTAGTGGTAAACCAAAAAAACGTTTGGGGTACTTTTCCTGGCCAACCCGCTCGATCGGACGTGAGACGTCCGAGTCGTTTTGAAGCGTCAAACTGGAGGCGCTGGAGCTGCGCGACGGCGACAAGGGCCGGCTGCTGGGGAAGGGCGTGCTGAAGGTGGGGAGTCGGTTGGGAGCGGTTGGGGAGGTGGGGGAGGGGGAGGTGGGGGAGGGGGAGGTGGGGGTTGGGGTAGTTGGGGAGGTGGGTGAGGGGGAGCGGTTGGGGGTTGGGGGGACAGCATGGGGCGGTTGGGCTGGTTGGTGTCGGGTGGCTGCGCGTTGGGGGTCGGGGGGAAGGCTTGGGGGGTTTGGGGTGGTTGGGAGGGAAGGGCATGCAGGGGTTGGGCTGGACCTGAGGCTTCACGGCTTCAGCGCGTTGCAACCCAACATGTGAAAGGGAACTCTCAAAAGGGGAACTGTGGGGTATGCCCATTTTTTTCCTCAAGAAAAGCAATACTGGGTCCCTGAAAATGTGACGATGCATTTTGACGTGTTCTCAGAATCACCTTGTTTGTGTGTTTCCTTTGAACCACCGTTTGGAGGGTAAGTTTGAGGATATCACCCTGATGGACGATGGCGAGGTCAGTTTGTTTCTTCCCTCAACGACCCTTTGGGAGTTGGACGAAACCCAGTTGGATGAATCCCTCCTTTCTTGGGGTCCCGAACAAAAATAGTCCTTGTCATTTCCTGGGTCCCCCCCCCGAAACAAGATCGAGACAACACCCCAGCTGTGGCATGCCGATCTCCGGCTGCGCAGGCGGTGGAGAACGTGAACTCCTTGATCGCCCCGAAGCTGCTGGGCATGGACGTGCGGGACCAGAAGAAGATCGACGAGGCCATGGCTTGATGGTTTTGGCGAACCCCCGCCTGAAGCCAACCACAAGCATGAGGGTGGCTTCCTAGGTCCCCCAGCTAGGTGCCAACTTTTGCCGTTTCATTTTTGGTTGGGAGGTTCCCCTACTAAAAAGGTCCAGCGAAACAATTGGTGCCAACTTGTACCGTTTCAGATGTTTGGTTGGGAGATTCGGTTCCCCTAAAATAGACGACATAAAGAAGGCGGGTACCCTTGTTCTAACCTCTCTGGAGGACCCAGGTGGGTTCAGCAACGGAGCTTCCTTTGTGATGTGCTAGGATAACACACAGCGGGACCTTTTTCGCAGGGGTCCTGAAAAACCACGCAACGGTTGGGTGATTGTACATCGCAAAATCACCCCGGCTCGAAAAGCGAGACGCGCGTCTCCGACGTACTTTCGACATTGCCCATCTGGAATTCCCCCCTTCCCCCCCAAAAAAAAAGAAGAAGAAGGAAACCCCCCCCCCCTTAAAAAAAAAAAAAGGAAAAAAAATGGGGCTCCCCCAAAAAAGGCCTCCCCCCCGCAACATGAGAACCCTTGCGCCTGTCCCTGTTTTCCATCGTCGCCAGGTGATGGTGCAGCAGCTGGACGGGTCCAAGAACGAGTGGGGCTGGTCCAAGGCCAAGCTGGGCCCGGGACCCGGACGCGGCCGAGGGCCCACGAGAGAAGTCGGGGCCTTTGGTCTGGGCGGGTACCCCCCCTTGGTCGGTGGGTGTTTGAAGGAAAGCCAAAACATATGTATACTACATATATATGCGAAAACCAAGCCGGAGAAAAAAGGAAGAAGAAAAAACGCAGTGGTTGTCAAAACCCATGGGATCCCATTTTGGGGTAGGTACACCACCCATTTTAGAACCTATTTTAGAGGGGATTGGGATGTTCACTGGGGGGTATGGGCTTCTGACTCATGGCCATACATGCGAAGAGCCGGGCCAACCCAAAGTTTGGGAGCTCCGATTGCAGTCTCAGTAGAAGGCAGCAAGTCACGTGCTTGTTAGAAGTGGACATGCTCGGACTTGCCAGTGGTCAGTTGTTTCCTCATGGCGGGTTCCTCAATAGTAAGGCATGTGTTTCCAGATCCCCAAGCCAATTCCAAGTTACACTTCGGCTTTTTAAGCAAATTCTCATCTGGTTTCTTCTTAATGTTGACCCCGGATCAATAAATTCCTGTTTATTAGTATGGGGGTGTCTAGAACCAGTTGGACACCCCCATATTAATAAACAGGGGTGTATTAATCTGGGGTCAACATTAGGGAGCAGCTGCCTGGCAACCTGCAGAAAGAATTGGACCCGAAGCGGCGAAGGACCTGTCAAAGTCTTGGCCTGACTGATTTACGTGGGGAACCCACTAACTATTCTCCATGTTCAACCGAGACTGCGGAGAAAGGTCGTTTCATTGCCCATTTCCGCAGTTAGACTTCAAGCTTGTTTGGGTTTTTCAGCATTGTTTCCTGGTAAACAAGGCTTCCATTCACTGTGTCCGAGCAATCCACGCTGGCGGTTTGGGTGTTTCTCCAAATTAGGGCCCACTTCCTGGTGGTTGGTTTCGATTGAATTCAATAAACCATCTAACTAGGCAACCCCCGTGGTTTTGGTTTGCAAAAAAGGGGCTGTCAGGAAGACAGAATCCAAGATCCAAGAGTCCAAGTCGTTTGGCAGCGTCTCTTTGTCGCGGGTATCAACTCGGGTGGTTTGAGTTAAGCAAAAGGAAAGCCCTTCATTTTGGAGTCTTCAAATCCCTATTTTGACACGTCGGGGTTGATCAAGGGGCCCTTTACATGGGGTGACCATCAGGGAAACCACCAAAGATGACTTGCCCTTCGTGGGAAAAGTGACCCCTGCTTTTTGCCGGTGCTCAGTAGGGAATGATCTTCCGGTGGGAATGAACGGAATGGGATTCCGTGAAAGGAAACCAAATCGGATGGATGGTTTTTCTCGGGGTCATTCCATTTCTCATCTGCCTGTCGAACCAGCAAGATAGGTGTCCTTCTGATCGGTTAGTCTGCTTACAAATAGGTGCGTCCCACTGGTTTATATAGTTTGTTTGGCATCCATTTACCACGGAAGCCTCACCTATCAACGCCCCACACATAACCAGGCAACCCTTAGTTTGGTGGTGTTTTGGTTCGGATTTGAAGGGGTTTTCTGCCAAAGAGTTGGTGAATCGCAAACTCACATCCGGAAGACACGCCCCCCCCCAAGCCACCCGTGCATGGGGGTTACCCCTCCGGAAGACACCAAACCACCCCCCCCCCACCCCCCCACCCCCTCACCAAACAAACCGCCAAACCACCCCCCCCTTCCCCCCCCTCCCCCCCCTCTCCCCCCCCTCCCACCCTCCCACCCTCCCCCCTTCCCCCCCCCTCTCCCCATTCCCCCCACCAAATCACCAAACCTCCCAACCCCCAGGCGCCAACGCCATCCTGGCGGTCTCCATGGCGGTGTGCCGCGCCGGCGCCGCCGCTAGCTGGGAGCCCAGCGAGCCGAGCGAGCCCGGGCCGGCGGGGGTGCGGGGAGGATTCCACCAGGGGATGGGTTTTGATCTACCTCGCCGTGTTTGTCTGTGTTGGAAGAAAACAAGGAAAGCAATATGTTTTATGAGCTTTTCTTCGGAGGCGTTGTTTTTTCCTTTTTCTTCTTCTTTTTTTTCTTTTTCTAGTGTTGTCCAAGTTCCTTGGAGTTGTTCATGAAACTTCGAAGCTTTGGCATTCTGCTTTCGCCTGGTCTTGGGAAAGCGACCTCCGAAGTTCATTTTCAGGGTTTATCACTTTGTGCTCTAAGGGGCTTGTCCACCAGCCTTTGAGACGAACTATGTATTCCTTTGTTTGTCTCAAGGGAAAACCACCACAAGTTTTCAGACTTCCAACAGGGTTTCGCCATTGTATGAGTGGGCAGGAACCATGGTGAAGTCACCTACTTGCTCGGCGTGGGTCGAACCGCCAAGTAGAAGGGCCTTTCACCCACGCCATGTGTGCGTGTGTATTTCCGAGGGGACCCTCTTTTCGAGATTTGTTTGCTGGGCAACCGTCTTCCAGGACCCCCTTGTCAGGTTCCATGTTTTGTTTGGTGGGAGGGCAACCAAAGGAACCACCCTTTAACAGCCAACAGGAAGCAAAATCGAGTTGCCCACTGTGCAGGGGTAGCTGGGATCGTGGAGATTGATGAGCGCCAAGTTATTTCAGGGAAACTGCGACTCGTGATCGAAAGTTTTGCCCCCAAAGGGCCCTTACCAGGTGGGTTAAGACGCGGGGAGTTTCCCCAATAGTTGATCAGGATCCCCTCTTGTGACACCCTCACTAAATTACTAAGGTCCCACTAGCGCTAGAAAACTGTGTTTTGCCCCTGGGGTATCAGTTGAAGACTTGTGCAGAGTTTTGAGGCAAAGCACTCTTTGGGGTTGACCCACTAAAGCCATGGTTGTAGGTCCCGACTCAGTGGATTAGGAATGAGCGAATGATCCAGAACCGTATCACCGTCCATAGGTTCATTTTCCTTTTCAAGGGACCGGGTCCCGGGCAGGCTCCATGTGAAAAGGGTGGGAGGGTACCTGCCTTAGGTAAATGGATCCGTTGTAGGACGAACCTCTGTTCCAGCCACATACCTGAAAGTGACGCCAGTTTCTTCAGGCGCTTTGGGTGTGGCTGGTTCTGTGGAAGTGGTTTTTGTCTTCTTTTTCGGTTCCCCTTTGTCTATGACAAGCATCATTTTCACGGAAGTTGTTGGTTTTCTTTTTTGGTTCCCCCTTTTTTACATCCGGTTGTTAGGGTTGGGCAAAGAAGATGTGGATGTGCCCACATGAGTTGCTCTGGCGGTTTTGCCGTGCTTGTGTGAGCGCACACCGCGCGCCTGGGCGGTTGTTGCGGTTTCCATACCCTTGGACTTTTAGGCTTTTTGAGAGTCCAGAGTCGGATTTGTCGGCACGGGATCAAGGAGGGCATTTCACAAGGGAGATTTATTTGTTTTTTTCTCTTTTTCGCTTTTGGTTTCTTGGCTTCTTGGCTTTTCGGCTTCTTGGATATTTCCAAGCGACAATCTCAGCTTCAATTCGGGCGGAGAAACGGAGGCCTCTCGCGCAGCTCGAGGTCAGATGCCGTTGTACCAGTACATCGCGAAGATCTCGGGCAAGCCCACCGACAAGCCGCTCGCAACCACTAGGGCTTGGCTCACTCGTGTTTGCGGAGGCTCTTTGCGGCGCTTTTCTGGAAAGTTCCTCCGGCGCATGTTTTTTTTTCTTCTTTTTTTCCTCCATTTGTTTTTTATTTAAAAAAAATAAAAAAATAATAATATATATATATATATATATTCCCCCCCCTTTTTTCCATGTTTTTTCTATTTTTCTTCTCCCCTTCTTCCCCGATTTTGCGAGACCCGCCTTTTCCTTCTTCCCCCCGCCCTTTTGCTCCTGGCCGCAAAAGCCCCCAGTTCACAGAGCCAAGGCTTGGTTCGCCATGTCCCCAGTCAGCTGCTCCCCTTCATTGGTTGGATGGGCGCTTTGGGATTTGAACCCCAGAAATCCCTTTGCAGCGGTAAACGGGGGGGAAACAAAACCCACGTGGTCCATGGGGCAGATTTGAGCAGCGCTGAAAGGAAGCCTCGGTAAGCCAAGGTTGAACCAGAAGCTTAATATGGTCGACATGAAAAGCCCTAGTATAGACTGCGACCTTGGACCATTTCCTGACGAGACTCGCACGCCTGGCCGTTCCGCGGGCCGTTTCTCCAACCCTGAAGCAGGGTTTACCCATTGGCGAATTGTTTTAAATGTCATGTATTTTTAAAACACCCACGACTTGTTTCATGGCTTTTCGGGGTGGTTGAGCTGGAAACCAGCCTTTTAGTGTGTAATAACACTTTTCTCTGGATCTTCTTCATTTTTTCGGGGTGGTTGAGGTGGACAAGAACCTTCTAGTGTGCACTTTCTTTGAACATCAAGGGCTCCTCTGGCCCTCTCACAGGGCGCATTTTTTCGGCCAGACGTAAACCCTGGGCAAAGCGCGCGAGCAGCCGCCATGGACGCTTTTCTGGTGAGCCTGGGTCTGGACCCGGAGGAGGAGTTGATTTTCAAGATCTGGGTATGGGTCAAAATGAAAATATTTTACATGTACCAGGGCAAGCCTTTTTGGAGTTTCTCTCGATGTTTTTGAGAACCGCCATCTTTTTTTCTGCACACGAGCCTTGTGACACCCCCGCTGTAGTTGACCCTAATACACCCAATTAGCCCCATGTTTTCCCCGACGTCATCCCCACGTTCGCCCGCTTTGTGAATGACCCCGCAGGAGGAGCAGCTCGAGGCCCCAGCAGCCGCCGGCCTGGACATACGAGGCGAGCCGCCGCGGGCGCTCCAAGCGCCGCCGCCGCCGCGCCGTCCTTCGGCCCGGGGCCGCGCCAAGGGCCGGGGGAAGGGCGCGCCGGGCGCGAGGGGCGCGAAGGAGGCAGAGGACAGCAGCGGTTGCTCTGGACTCGGCGGCCGTTTTTTGACCTTTTGCCTTTTTGGGTTTCAAGCATACCTTTCAACCAAGTTAAGATAGCCTTTCGCAGGAGGTCTAAGTCTGGTCAAGGTTGCATCTTCCTTCAAGCAAATTGGAGGTAGGATCGGTCCAACTTGGACGGTATGGCTAACGGCTTGTGTTCCACTTGATACAAAGAGAAAGACTGTTTGGAGGGGAGTCCCGATACTGGTGGTTTTGTTTTGGCTTCCCTTTGCAACCACCCAAAAAGGGGTCCCCTTTTGCCACCACTTTGTTTGTCAGGGTATTGGAAGTATGGTTTGGCCTGCAACTCGTCTCCAGGTGTCCAATGGAGGGGGGCGGTTCTCCGATTTTTTTTCCGGTTGGGGTGGGAGATGCTGATTTTCGCGCTTTGGTCTTGACTGCTATTGGGTTGGATCTTTAGACTTTAACTTTTTGGGAAAGCAAGGGTTTTCCACTAAACTCACAAAAGTTAAACTTTTTGCAGAGGGTTCAACAGCAACCAAGTGGTAGTGGGAAACATATCTGCGGTAGGAGATCCACTTCACAGCGACGAAGCAGTCATAGGGATGGCCCACCTTGATATCGCCGAAGCGGCCTTTCTTTTCGTAGTCACGTGTTTGGCCCCTTTTTCCAACGATCACGAAAGTAGAGGAGGCCGTTGTAAGATGAGGGTGCACTTCCATGATCGTCGGAAAGAACCATCATCCTTGGAGGAACCTCCTTGCTGAAAGCCCTTTTCTCCCGGTTCCTTCTATTGGTGTCGTTTAAAGGGGCCACCAAAAGGGAGCCACTTACGGGGCCCCCGTTTTGACCACGTGCCCATCGGGGGAGGTCAAGATGTCCGGCAGGACCGGCATTGGCTGGAGGCGCTGGACGTGCTGCGGTCCCTCCGCAGAGAGGACCCGCGGTTTTTCTCTCGGAGGTTGGGGGCGGATGGGGCAGGGGCTCCGAATACCAGATTCCCCTGACCAAAGCCGTGCGGTTTTGAAGATCGGCTTGTGGGCCCAAGAATCACGTTGAGTTCCCGCGATGTCTATGACTTTAGACATACTAAACTCTGCGGGAGGACTAAAAAAGACGCCAAGGTCTGATGGAGCTCACTTTGTCCTCTACTTGGGCACGCCATGTTTCGGCTTTTGGAGTTTTGGACTCGTCCGGATTGTGTTTACCCAAAAGTCCAAAAGCCAATAAGTCGATCATTATCTTAGTTTTTTTCTTCTGTTTTTGGGCATCCCTGGCTATTCCGATGGTCAACCAGGTGTAGTGCCCCTTTAGATTCTTTTTTGGGGGAGGGTTCCCCTACTGAAAGAGACTACAGAAGAAAGCTGGTACCCTTATTCTGACCTCTCTACTGGAGGACCTATACAAGCTCAAACATGAAAACCTGAGTAACCATGTCTTATTTTCTCAGCCCCGGTTCATGGAAGTCCCCGACTAATCGGATGTTCAAAGTCTGGCGACCGAATCCAACACTTACATTCCGGCTAAGGGTTGAGCGCTGCTCAAGTGCGGTGCAAACACAAAATGTGTATGGCCGTGGGTCAAAATTAAGCCACCAGGGGACCGCAGGTTTTGGTCTTTGGTTCGATTCACCAGGGCAACCCATTTGGGGAACATATTTTCGCCCCCCCCAACAGGCCAACCCCTCCCAGGATGGCGACCGAATCCAACAGGAGCTGCAGCCGAACGGCTCCGCAGTGGGCTCCTGTGTGGCCGCCTGCGGCGCCTGCGGCGCGTGGCAGGCCGCCGCGGCGCTGCGGGAGGCGAGGTGGGGTGGAGGTTGGGGTGGGGGGGGTTTAGGGGTGGAGGGGGGGGTATGATGGATCAATTTTCAACCACCTTCAGTTGGGGTCTTGGTTTTTCTCTTGGGGTTCTTGGCCAGAAAAGAATCCCATGTCACTTCTTCGGGGTCTCCATGCCCGTCCGCCCCGCGCGGGACTGCCCTAGGAGGCGGCCCCCAATGTGATCACCAGCACTGCGGCAGTCCAGGCCTGTGCCAAAGCGTCGGCGTGGAAGGCGCGTTGGGCTGAGCGGGTCGGGGGGTTGGGGTCAAGGGTGGGGCGGTTGGGGTGGGGGATGGAGGGCCCGGGGTTGGGGTGAAGTTGGGGTGGAGTTGGGGCGGGCCTGGGATAGGGGGTTGGGGTAGGGGCGGTTGGGCTGGGGGATGGAGGGCCCGGGGTTGGGGTGAAGTTGGGGTGAAGTTGGGGTGGAGTTGGGCGGGCCTGGGATAGGGGGTTGGGGTAGGGGCGGTTGGGCTGGGGGATGGAGGGCGGGTTTGGGGGTGGGGGATGGGGGGCCTGGAGTTGGGCGCTTTGGGCCGCCCTTTGGGTGGCCTTCGCGGGTAAGAGCGGGCAGTTTGATCTGGCCTTGATTTGGTGGCTGTTTTCGGCCTCCAGCGGTTTGATCTTGTTTGATTTGGCGGGTATTTGGGACCATAGGTGCCTTCCCGATCCACGTTCAAAAGGAACCGGTCCGATCCATAGCTCGAAACCACCCTTCTCCTTGAAGGAAAGAAAGCACAATGAACACGACTCGGCTTTACTGCAACGCGCAAACCAGCGAATGGGCGTTTTTTTTGGCACCAGCCTTTAGGATATGAGCTCACTCCTTGCTTGGCCAGCTCTTTGCCGTGACAGAATCGCGCCTTTGGATTTGGGCATTCGTGTATGTTCTCCTTGCACCGGCGAACTCTGTTTCTGCGGGGGGAAGGTCAGAAGCGTCCAGGTCCAAACCGACGACAGTCTTGTCTTCAAGAACCGCATCTAGATCGTGTGTTCCGGGAGTGATGTGTGCTGGTTCTGAGGGAATCAAGAAGGGATTTGGTATGAACAAGTCGGAATCCTCTAAGAAGGCACAAGGGACGGTTCAGCTTGCCCGAGCGCACAAGCAAGGCTAGTTCATGGAGACGCCATGAACTGGGTCAATGTGGAGCCTCAAACTTTGCCCATGAGCCGAGAAAAGATGAACAAGAGCTCCAGGTCTCGAGTTGAACGACGAAGAAACAGTCTTCTTTCCTCCGTTGTTGCTGTTTTACCAGGAAGTGATCCCTGGGGCGGGTTCCGTCAGGAGGCGGTGGGAGTCTTCGCGAGCTTTCGGGCGGCCTCCCTGGAGGCTGAGGGTGAGGGGGTGACCTTGGGGACGGGGGTGGAATCAACGAATGACCTGCATGAAGTCAAAAGAAACCCGTGGAGGGTGGCAAAACCCAGAAATCGCACCAAAGAAACCAGACAGCTTTTTTAATTGTTGGTATTTGCAGGGGAGTCGCAATCATTCTAGGGGTGCAGGATTTTGTCCATCCACAGTGGAATCCTCGCGTTTCCCTTGACACGCAGCAAGCTTTCATTTTTTTGACACTGTCACCCACGGATTGGCGGACATTTTTACTGTGACTCCCCTCTCTTCACCTCGGTGGCTCTTTGGCTTGACCCAAATGAACTGTTGCCTAGGTTCCCCAGCTAGGCGCCCTTTTACTGTGTCTTTTTTTGTAGACTACAGAAAAAAAAGGTACTCTTCTTCTAACCTCTATACTGGAGGACCTAGTTGCCTTTGACGAAGTGTGAATTCCCCACAAACTTTGGTGGCGGGTTCCCCGTGAAGTGGTCAGACGCCGCTTCCTTGGTTCACCGCTCACTGACTGCAACTGGGCCTCGAAATGTTCACTTGAGCCCCGGAAAACTTTTGCAAGAGCAAGGGAGGCTTTTTTGAAGAGATGTTTCTCCCCCTGCGGGGAGGGGGGGCTCTATAAGCGCTCGGATTCCGTTGGCTTCTCTTCAGGGAATGAGGGAATCCCCCCTAGAAGCAATCGCCGCTATGAAGCGTCCCATTGCAGTTTCCTTGAAGATGGTTGGAATTCTTCTGGATAATGCCCAAGAACCCTTCAACCTGCCCCTTTTGCATCCTTTATCCATCCATCGTCTCTTTTTTGGCGAGCCCCTCCTACTATGGGTCCCACTCCCATCGATGGAACTGTTGAGGCTCAAATACCAGAGGTTTCCTCCATTAATCTTGCTGCTCCTCGAGCGAAGAAGTCACTATGATTCCCAGCACATCGTTTGACAGGGTATGCCACAGCAATCACTTTGATTCATCCTCCTGTAGTTTCCTTTCAGATGACCTCCCCTTCTAGTTCCCCCCCTATTTACCCCTTGTTTCTTTGTCACCATGTTTCCTTTAAGGGTCCACCCTTTGCAAACCATCCTAGGACTCAAACGGGTATGTCTGTTTTTACGGCACCCTCAAACCGGACATGTTTCTTTTGATTTTCCTGTCAAACCCACGACCTACCCTCAAAAACGATCGACCCAGCCAACCCTCCCTCCCACTAACACGGCACCTGACAGCACATCCCTTCAGAAGAAAACATGATCTTCGTACCATAAAAGGTCGGGCGCCTCATGGCAACTTGGGAGGAAGGGCAAATGGTTGTTGAAGCCATGATTGCGTAACCAACCTCCCTTGACTTTCCTTTTGAAGGTGGCCATTCATCAAATCAAAACGAAGAAACATGATCTTAGTACCGTAAAACAAGTCAACGCAGAGGTGCCTGGAAAGTTTGAGGTTTCCCTTGAAAGGTGGCCATGGTTCATCAAATTTAGAACAGATAAACACTAGGTCCCCCAGTGCCCTTTCACCCTTGTGTGGGGGCAGGGTTCCCCTCCTAAAATAGACTACAGAAAAAAAGTGGGTACCAACTTATTCTAAGCTCTCTATTGGAGGACCAACTTGTTCTTTACCTTTCTCAGACATGCGGCCGCCTCATGGCCCGCGTTTTCGGCCTTCGGCGCGAAGACGACGCTCGCGAGGCCAACGTGCGGAGCTTCACCGCGGCCGCGGGCGGCTGCCAGCTGCGCTGGGCCCGGGCGCTCCACGTCTTCGGCGCCGCCCGGCGCCGGGGGCTCCAGGCGGACGCGCGCCTGGCGGCGGCGGCAGCGCGGGGCGTGTTGAAGGGGCGCCTGGGCTTTGGGTGCTTTGGGGTGGGGGGGTTTTGGGGGGGGGGGGTTGGGGGGGTGAGGCGAAAGGGGGGGATCTAGAAAAATTCAGGGGGTCTGGGATTTCAGCCTTACAAGCCCATCAATGGGGGGAGGGGGGGGTGGTGGGAAGCTAGAAAACCGGCTCCCAGAATTATTGCTGGCAAGCCAGGTAAGATGCTGTCGACTGATCCCTGAGCTCAAGACGTTCTGAAATTGATCCAGTGTGTAATTATTGACTTCAAGCAGCACACGTATATGGGAGCACTCGGGTGGACATTGCTGGTGGCGACAAGGCAACGAACACACTCCGCAGGCCTCGGTAGACGTCTTTGCGTGGCATGGATAGATAGGGCAACGAACGCAGTTGCCCCCCCTTTTCTTCACCCCCTCCTTGCCCCTCCCCCCCAGGCCTCGGAAGACGTCGGTGTTGTGTCCCAAGCAACTCTTAGTTTGTACCCAAATACATATATATATATATATTCATATATATATATATATATATGTAGATATATGCTCACCTCCCCCCCCCCCCAAGTTCCACATGTTTAGGTTTTTAATGGACCTCTCAGTACGTTGAGCCTTTGAAAGATGAAAACAAGGGACCTTCCAGCACTTTGAGCCCTGCAACCACAAAATGCTGCGAGGTCCATATTTTATGTTGCATGGAAGATGAAAGTCCATCTGCTTCATCTGAAAGCACTCGAACGAGCTCAGTCTGCTTCATCTGAAACCCATCCAGCAGTCAGCAAGCCTTATCTTGAAAACACATCTGCAAAACAATCCAAAATGTCTGCTGCAGCCTGCTTCATCTTATGTCGCCTAACACTCTGGTCAGAATCTCATCAGAATCTGATCAGGCCAAATATGTAGAAAATGCATAGAACACAATCATGGGGGAGGGGTGACCATAAATATATATATATATATATAGATATATGTGCATACAACTACGCTTCTTTCTTTGCCCAAGTTTGCGCTCTTGCTTCTCCCGGGCTCCCTATATTTCCCCCTTGCAGTTTGTAAACATCACTTGTTTTCCGCTTTATTCTTTCCAGTTACCATAGGATCAACCCCTCTCCTCTGGTTTCCCCCAAACAAGGCCTTGATATGCCAAGTGAGCCACACAGGACATCAAAGGCCAACCGATAGGTGGGGTGTTCTTAGGTTGGGATATAGATCCTGAACCATCCATTCATCCATGGTGGATTACGTAGAACACATTCAAGTGGATCCGACCGGTTCATCTTTTCGGTTCTCCAAATGGCTGGGTTTTCCGGTAAAGCGGTCAACTGCTTCCCTTTCGAAGCACCCAAAACGGGCTTCTCGCTAGGTACTGGCCCCGCGCCTTTAGCCTCCTGGTGCGCAGCGGCGAAGGTCAACGATCCGTGGCTGCCTGGAACGCGGTGCTGCCGATGTGCCTCTGGCAGCGCTCCGCGCGGCTCTTGGCGATGCTGGGCGCCTGATCCAGCAAGGGGGCTTTGGGGGGGGTGGGCGGGGGGGGGCTGTTGGGTTTGGGAGCAGCCATAGGCGATTCGCGCAAATCCTTGTCCCACGATGATGAGGTAAGTTGGTTTAGTCGCACCAAAGAACCAACAAACTCGAGAATAAACGAAAACAACAAGCAGCAAACAAACAACAAACGACAAACACAAACAAGAAAGGCACAGACAACCAAGTCCATGATTTGCCTGTCTTCAGGGGAGAGAATTTGTCTTCTCTCGTGTGTTTGTTTTCTTGCGTTTGGAGAGGAAATTCCAAAGAAGCTGGCCGACAATTCGATGAGAATCTACATTGACATGCAGTCTAATAAGGATACAACTCAAGTAGAGCTTCCATCTGAAGCTAATGTTTGAATAGGAATTCCTTTCCACATAAGCTCTGAGTTGAAGCGTAACTAGATGTTTATCGGAATTTTGTAGGAAGGTCTCGTTGCTTCATTGAATTGGCCTGTCCCGCACAAATGATCATGCATGTCTCTTGGTGTGCAAGGTGTAAAAGTGAAGGCTTAACGTGTAGACGTTTGAATGTAATTTGAATTAGAAGACCTATTTCGAATTATTGCATATATATAATGCATGAACATGTTTAGTGGACCTGTTAGGATTTACAGCCAATGTAGTAAGAACAGAATTCGATTAGACTGTTTATATTAAAGTAGCAGACCTGAGATGTACCATTCCTTGAGTTTTTGTTGGGTTATCAGTCCTTAAAAAGGGACAAGCCACCTGGAAGACACAACAGAAAATTCCTTGTTTGTTGTCCAATTCATTCAACATCTAGTTAAACTTCAATTAGCGCCATATTTGCAAAGGGAGTCCTGTTTGAACTTCAGCTCAAGACGGAAACTCTGCATTGAGCTGTTTCCTTGCTAAAGTCTTGGAATTCGAATCGCGTGTTCATCAAACACCTTTGGAAGGGCTTTCCTTTCCCACACAACTGCAACATAATCTAGAGCTTTCTAGCCACAACCAATCGCACGCCTATGAAGTGAGCTGCCATGAAGAGCAACAAGCTTATTGGAAAGCTTAAGCAAACTACCAAGGCCAGAAGAAGTGAGCAAGTCAACCAGGACCTTGCGGTGTGAAGTGCAACAATGTCAGCGGAAGGTGACTGCTTATCTTTGTTTTGTCACAAAGATCTGCGAGTCTACACAAACAGTTATGTGATGAATAGCCAGACTAATGACTACAACACGTGCAGCTTGGCATGTGCAAGGCGCGCTAAACGCTTTTGCTCTCCAAAGCTTTATGGCTATTCGGTTGGATCCGTGGGACTCTTTTATCTTTTTTGGCAGCGGTGGAAGTTTCCATTGGACCCACAAAAAGAGAAAACTCTGTTTAGCAGAGGGGTCAACTGCAACCAAGAAAAAGGATTGGGGCGTTTCCAACCCGAGGCACCTTAGGCCTGCAAGGGGACGCCTTCTCCTTCTCGAGCTGCATTGCAGCCTGCGAGTGGAAGGAACCTCAACTGGCACTCATGGAAAGGTTGCAGGGTCTGTCTTTTTTTGAGGATAACCCTATGAAGATGTTTTATTTTTGAGGGTAACCCTCTGCACCACCTAAGAAACCAGGAGTGATGATTCCCCTGTAAATACCAACAAACAATAATATGGTTTCAAAGTGGTGCAGGATTTCGTCCATCCACAGTATGTAAATGTAATATGTAGAAGCAGAGATGTAGATGTACAGGTGCCATTTTTGGAACAGACACAGTTTTCCTTTTGGGGATGGTCATCAAGCTCTAAAATAGGTCTCACATGGCCAAGGCACGCAGACAGAGTTTCACCATGGCACATCAGGCACCCCCCCCACCCGCAGAGGCCCCATGCATTTGCACAAGTTGGAGACGCTGTTGAAGTTTGGACACTCTCAGGACTTTGGATTCATTTTCGTCAATCCAGACACAAACACCCTGAAATGTTGTATATAACCGTCTCAAATCCCGGTTTGTGAATCAGACACGAAAGGCCTTGAATCTGAAGACCTTGCCAGACATTTGCAAACCCCTGCGCTTCCCATAAACAATGTTTCCAATTCGCAGAAGTCTTTGTATGTGGCAGCCCTTAACAAAGGGTATCTCTCGACGCGTGTGCAGACTGACCCTCATATTGAATCAGTTTTCCTCAGTTGCCTCTGGCGATTTTGCTGGAATTCTCCTTAATTATCTTCATCTATACGATTGGTTTCAGAACCTCAGGTTTCTTTTTTTACGCTATCTGTTTTTTCTGTATTTTTTGGCCCAACAAGTCAACTGCAGGACAATGGCGGGGGCCTTGTCGTGACAACCCTGATCACGGCACAGATTATGTTCATCATGTCCCTGCAGCCACATTTTCAGGTTACCGGCTTGGAGTGTGTGTGTGTGTGGGTGTGTGTGCGTGCGTGTGTGATGTGTGTGATGTGTGTGATGTGTGTGATGTGTGTGTGATGTGTGTGATGTGTGTGTGATGTGTGTGTGATGTGTGTGATGTGTGTGATGTGTGTGATGTGTGTGATGTGTGTGATGTGTGTGATGTGTGTGATGTGTGTGATGTGTGTGATGTGTGTGATGTGTGTGATGTGTGTGATGTGTGTGATGTGTGTGATGTGTGTGATGTGTGTGATGTGTGTGATGTGTGTGATGTGTGTGATGTGTGTGATGTGTGTGATGTGTGTGATGTGTGTGATGTGTGTGATGTGTGTGATGTGTGTGATGTGTGTGTGATGTGTGTGATGTGTGTGATGTGTGTGATGTGTGTGATGTGTGTGATGTGTGTGATGTGTGTGATGTGTGTGATGTGTGTGATGTGTGTGATGTGTGTGATGTGTGTGATGTGTGTGATGTGTGTGGTGTGTGTGGTGTGTGTGTGGTGTGTGTGTGTGTGTGTGTTGTGTTGTGTGTGTGTGTGTGTGTGTGTGTGTGTGTGTGTGTGTGTGTCTGTGTCTGTGTCTGTGTCTGTGTCTGTGTCTGTGTCTGTGTCTGTGTGTGTGTGTGTGGGTGGGTGGGTGGGTGCGTGCGTGCGTGCGCGCGCGCGTGCGTGCGTGTGTGGGTGGGTGGGTGGGTGGGTGGGTGGGTGCGTTTGTGTTTTCACTGCGTTATTGACCGTTAGGGAGCATTCCAACTCGGCTTTGGACCAAATGTAGTTTCTTCTAGGAGCTCCGGACCATACCAACATCTACGGGCCCTTAACAAGACGACACCCAGGCCAATTGGGGTCATCCCCAAACCACTACCGGGACGTATGCCACTAGCTGGTATATACCTACTGCTTTGCCCTAGGTCCTGGTAGCGACACGCTCTCGTGGGTTGTATCGGTCAGCTCTTCGTTCCCCTTTGTTATTGTTGCACCTCAAGAAGAACTCGGAGTATGTCGAGTACCTCGTCTGGAAGGAAGGATCTGAGTGAGTGGTGAGCTTTGTCGTGACACACAAATTAACATAATTTACTGGGGGTTGCATCTTGGCGGACACACGGCTATTTTCATTGGCAAACCATTTTCCACCCCGGAAGAAAAGTAATTTGCCACATAGGTGTTTTGTCCATGAGAACGGGTTTTCGAGCCTCTTCCACCCAGTTTCCAGGCAAACCGATCTCCACGCTCCGAGGACCAGCCACGCTGGCGCCAGGGCCTGTGGTTCCTAGCGCAGGCGCAGCGGTGCGGCTGCGGTTCGGACGGCGTGGTGCGGGCGGCAGCGGTGCAGGTGTGCAGGAGAGACCACTGGGCCTAGGTCCCCCAGCATTGCCCAGCAGTGCCCAATGACCCTTTTTTGGTTGGGAGGGTTCCTTCTACTACAATAGACTACAGAAAAAAAGAGTACCCTTATTCTATCCTCTCTACTGGAGGACCTAGTTGTGGAGGGTGGCTGTTCTTATCTTTGGGGTGGATCTAAACATGAGACATCACATTGACATATGTTCTGTGTACAAAGTTCGGCGCCCAAGGTTCGCATTGTCAAATCACTTGAGGGTGAACAGCTTGGGTTTTCAAGCCTAAACCTGGACCATTCATAGAACCGACACGTTGGGGGCAAAAGGGATTTCGAAGATCATTTCCATCCATTTCCCTTCATTTGCCTCGCCTGTTTCAAGCGGTACGGGGCGCGGCACTGTGGGGATTTTTTGACCAAAAGCTCCCCGGCCCCAGTGGGTCCCCAGCCACGAGCCACGAGGAGGTGGAGCTGGCGCGTGGCGGGGCAGCTCCTCGCTCAGAGCCTCGAAAGGTCCGGCGCCGGTGACGCCCTTCGCGCGGCCTTCCCCAGAAAAGCGGACGACGACGACGAGCAGAGGCGAGGGAAATGGGCGGGTGGGTGGGTGGGGCGGGGGTGGGGGGGTCAGTGGGTGGGGGGGGGGGTCAGTGGGTGGGGGGTGGGCCACATCGGTTCTTTGCTGAAAAAAGGCGCTGAATGGGGGGGGGAGGGGGGGGTTGCTCCTGGACACGACACAAGAGCGACCATCTTGGGACGCGTTTGGGGCGACCACCTTGTGAACGGGAGTGAGAGGCCTTTTGAAGAGGACTGTAGTCTTTCGAAGCCTTCCGAAGTCAGCATTCACATTTTTTGGAATCAGGGTAAGTTGTTGCTTTTTACTCCTATGATCATGTTTGTTTTCTATTGCGGTCCTTACCGCCTTTTCGAAGTAACAAGAGGCAGACATTTCCCCCTCTATGAGCAACAAACAGAACCTGGAGTTGAAAGATAGTGAGGACAGTTACCAATGGTACATAGGTGCGGAGTTCGCCCTTTCAATTCTTACAAAATGTGGGTACCATCCTCGAATATCAGGCTTTATTATGACTCACATGCGCCCCCCCCCCCCCACATTGTCTCGCCAATTCTGACAGGGGTATTCCCTTGTGGCTTTGGTGAGTTATCTTTCATATGTTTAGCCCTTTGGATGTAGCCCCCCCCCCCCCGCAAAAAAAAAAAAAAAAAAAAACATTTTTATTAATCAAACAACACATAAAGCAAATAATATGTAGTAATAGTCCAGATTTCCTCCTGGTCTTACCCAAGGCTTCAGGAAGTCTTTCTTGACTCCCCCTCAAAATTCTGGTTTTCCCCTTGGTTTCCCTTTCAAACCACCAACAAAGACAGGTACCCCGGTACCCCCCCCCCCCCAAACAAAAAGAACAAAGCCCTCCCCCCTTTGTCATTAAGCAAAAACACAAACACGTATCCGGTGACATCAAACACACACCAACCCTTTCTCTTGTCTCTTGGGCCCCGCCATCCAACCCGTGGGTTTCCTTAAAGGGAATCCCCAGGTTCATTGCCAACACGAATGTCATTCCCCTACTGAGAAACAGCTGAAAACAGCAAACAACAAAAATGAGGGCAACCTTGCAATTACCCAGAGATTCTTTTTCTTTCGTCCGACGCCCAGCGCCAGTTGGGTGCGGGCGCTATCGCTGCTGGACCTCCAGCGCAAGGAGTTGGCTCAGGAGCCTGCGGCTGCGAGCGGGTTCCGGCACGCGAGTTCCGCCAGTTCTTATTATCCGTAGGTACAAGCATCCCTACGTAAGAATGGTTGATTGGGGCGGGGTGCCTTTTTTTTTTTGGGGGGGTCTCCATGTATGGCAACCCATTGGCAACCCATTTTCCTTTCTCAATTGGACTGGGGGTGGTTGGAGCTACAGAAAACCGTTAAGCTACCAGGAGTTCCGGTTGATATAGATGGGTCCTACTGGTCCCCATTTACCAGGGCCAGAAGAGAAAGCAAACCAACTAAAAGGACACCTCTGGTCCCGCCCCCTTCTTTCTCCCTTTTTGGAGGTGACCGAACAGATGGGCGGAGTCTGTTCCCCCCTTTTTCCCTTGCACAAAACATGGAATCAACAGCCAAGACACACACACACCATACCAACTACCAGAAGCTGAATACTAGCGGGTCCCACCAACAAAAAATCGACCAAAAGAAGCTTGGTGGGCCCTGTTTCCCTTGAAACAAACACCAACAAACCACGGGCGGCGCAGCTCTCGCCATCCAAATTTATCGCCCAGAGGACCTGGCCGGCTTCAACCGGGCCATCAGCGCCTGCGGCGGCGCGGTCCCGGTGCGGTTTGGACGTGGGAGGTTGGCTATGCCCAGAGGATTCCAGTTGCCCCATAATGTCGACCCCGGATTTTCATAAACCCGTCCCGTTAGTTGGGGGGTGAGAACCCCTCCAAAAGTGGTCTGAATCCCCACTAAAAAAGGGGACACCCCCCTATTAATCAACCAGGGGTTTATTAATCCCGGGGTACCCCATAGGCACCGGACATGTTACCAACAATCGAGTGTGACTAAACTTGGTGGCTTTTTAGCCTTTTAGCTCTTTTGTGTTTAACGGGGATTTCCATTGAACCCACTAAAAGTTAGTCACTTTTAGCGGGGGATCTGAAAACGGACAGCCCAGTAAAGTTTGTGACTGCAACATAGTTATCTTTGCCTTTGATGTTTAAACAGGAGTGTTCTTGGGTACAGGCCATGCAGGTAAATGGATCCATTGGAATAGTGAGCAACAGTCAGTTCGCATGCCCAACCAATTGGGCGCTCGCAGAAAACTGCTCCTTGCGGCTGACTACCGACAGGAATTTCGCGGTCCGTGGAGCTGTATCAGTGAAGCTCTAAGTTGATACCACCCCAAAGAGGGAACAGTCAAGATAACAACGGCTCTTAGGCCAAGCCGATCAACCCCTGTTTCTGCACCCAGCTTGGCCAAGATCGGTTTCGTTCGACCGATGCTTTTTGATTTTGCAACTGGGCCCAGTTGCACATTTGGGCGTGTGTTCAGGGTGCCATTTTCGCGTTAGGGAAAATCCGGGCAGCGTTTGACATTTCGCCTAGGTTCGCAGATTGCTTAACCAAAGAGCAACCAAGGATGGAACTGTTTTTATGCATTTTATCCAAGAAGCGGATTCAGGCAAATATACAAGCTCGTCCAACTCCTGGTATTTGGATCCTTGGCCCAGTTCTGCCATCTTATTTCCCCCCTCCTCCCCCCCCTCCCCCTCCACCCCTCCCTTCTCCACCCCCTCCCCCCCCCGCGCTTATTTTGCCACCAAGCCTTCCATGTCCGCCAGCGGCAGGGGCCCAGTGGGAGAGGGCCTGGCACCTCTTCTGGGAGCTCCAAGACTGCGGCTGCCAGGCGGGGAGGTGGACAGCGTGGGACATACTGTGGATGGTTGCGAAATCCAGAAATCGGTTCGCACGGAATGAAATGACACCATGGTTGAAGCCATTGTTTGTTGGTATTTACAGGGGTGTCAAATCATTCCAGGGTTTCTTTAGGTGGTGCGAAATGGATTTCGCAACCATCCACAGTAGCTCCCCCCCCAAACCAAATCCCACCATGTTTCCTTGCGGTCTTACCCAAGGGATTTGCTGCCATGGCTTTTAAGCTGTCTCGTTTTTTTTGGGCCTCCCCCCAAAAAATCCGGCTTCCCCTCAACTCAAGGTGTCCCTTTCAACCCGAAAAGCCGAGACATCGCTCAGGCGGACGCCTACTCCTTCACTTCCACCATCAGCGCTTGCGGGGAGGGCGGGCAGTGGCGCTTGGCCCTCTGGCTCTTCGATCGCTGTCCGGGCGGTCCGGGCGAATGGGCCCCTGCCTTCCATGCGGCGCTCAGCGCGTGTGAGAAGGTGCCAAAAGGGAATTTGTGTTGCTGTGGGACAGAAAAAAAGGGTACCCTCCCACCAATTAGCGTGGAACAGGGTCCTGGGAACCCCTGTCAGGTTGCATGTGAATTGGAGAGTATCCAAGACGTGCAAACATGGACTAAACCTGCGGTCCTCTGGTTTAATGGACCCGTTTTCAGGGACTGTGGAGGATTCCAGGAAGGGGGGCCGCCCAACTCTAGGTTTTTTTTTGGCAAACTCGCGGTGACAGGAAATGGGCGTGTCTTTCCTTTGGGGTTCCCCCAAGTTGTGTTTTCCTCTGGTTTCCCGTTCAAATCACCATTTTGGGGGGTCCCCTAAGAACAGACACCCTCAAAGGAGAGCTACTCTTCATCGCAAGTGGGCTGGGCAGATCAGGCCGTGAGATTCTTCTCTTGCGAAAGGCATGCCCAATCGGTAGGGAATTCCGAATCAATCGGGATTCTGGGAAATCGGAGAACTCAGTAGGGAGGGTGCTGTGTCCTCGTCCATGGTTGGGGCAGCTGCTTCTTCCCCTCCATTTTTGTTGACGAAGGGGCCAACGTAGAAACACGATCTTTCGTTGGGTGGGGCGAGCTTGTTTGAGGGCGGGGCATTTGAACCTCAGATCAATCACCCTGATCCACTATGGGCTCCTTGCAAAGGAAGGAGCCCTTCTTTCCGACTTGTGGCATGTTCATGAGTGTGCTTCAGGTTCCATGTTACTCTGTGGGAGCAACACTTTTCTCGAAAATGAACACACACACACACACACACACACACGCAAAGGTATCTCGTTTGCATAAAACCCCATGTTTCGGTCATTTGAATAGGATGTTTTCCGTTGGCCCACTCAAACAGAAAGCGTTATAGAAAGCATGGCTTTACTTTGTTTCTCACTTGCAATCTTTCGACGAGTCAACCCACACCCGTATACCCCCCCACACAAGCGTCCATCCCCAAGAACTCAGCCACTCACTTTTCGCGACACTCACTTCGCAGCCCATCCTTCTTTTCCCCGACCTTGGTAGAAACATGACAACATTAAGGCTATCCCTGAGTTGGGTTGGTGGCATAAGGGTCTAAAATCATGAGAATGGGGGGGTCATACTCTTCTTCTTTCTCCCGGTTCCAAGCCCCGCCGCCTTCGCGACACGAAGCCTTCGCCGAACCGAAGCGCAGCGCCGAAGGCGGCCCAGTGGCCCCAGGCTCTCGCGCGGCTCAGAGCCTCCGATGCGGCGGCGAGGCTTGACTGCTTTTGGGCAACGGATCTGTAGACTTCAACTTTTTTGGGATCCACAAGGATTGCCCACCTAAACTTGGACTTTCTTGGTTTCGGTTTTTAGGTCTTTAGACTTTAACTTATGGGTTTTCTGAACTAAACCCAGACAAAGTACTGGACCCACAACAAGTATTGGACCCACTTTAAAAGATAATAAAAAACAAATAAAATAAAAGTAAAACAACTAAGAATAACAAAATGGACATAATAATAATAAATAATAAACAACAATACATAAAAACATAAAAATAAAAAAAATGAAAATACTAAAACAAATGCAGAGGGATCAACAGCAGCACCCAAGGACGGAGCTCCCGGCGCTGTGCGCGGCGCTGGGGGCGCTGCTGCGGGCGGAGGAGCTGACGCGGGCGAAGGCGCTGCTGGACGCGGAGTGGCAGAGCAAGGGCCTGGCCTCCGCGAGGAGCGGTGAGAAAGTTTTTTTTTTTTTTTTTTTTTTTTTTATAATAATAATAATAATAATAATAATAATAATAATAATACTAATATTGTTTCTCCGCTTTTTTTCCCCCCCCTCTTTTTTTTCCTCTTCGTGGGAAAGCGGCAAAAGGGGCACCCCCAAGTTAAACCCGTGCAGCAGCGGGGTGGGGTGGGTTTTGTTTGTTTTCGAGAAGCGGCAAAAGGGGCGGCGCGGCACAAGTGCTTCCCAGGTGGGGTGAAGAATGGCGCGTTTTTTTCTTCTTTCTTTCTTCTTTTTTTCGAGACGCTGCAAAAGAACCACACCCAACTTAAGGTTTGAGTTTCATCTTGGTTATTTACAAACCCCCTGTAGAAAGACTACTTTCCTCTTGGAAAGGGGGTCTGTGCACTTCCATGTTAGTTAGTGGGAGGGTAGGTGCATGCAAAAAAAAACAACAAACAATGGATTTAACTATGGTTCTTAGGTATTCCTACGCAAAAAAAGAAAAAACACAAACAAAACGACAAACAACAGATTCCCGTGGTTCTTAGGTGGTGCGATTTCTGGATTTCGGCACCACAGGACCGGGTGGACCTTGGCGGCACGGAATGACCAGCTGCTGGGGGCAGCGCTGGTGGCATGCGAGAAGACCGGCGACTGGCGGCAGGCGTCCGGTTTCAGGGACGTGCATGAGTCCCAATATGGCTGTGGTCAAAACCCATGGGATCCCATTTTGGGGTTTTCGGGGCACCACCCATGATAGAACCTATTCTAGATGTTTGTGGTCAAAACCCATGGGATCCCATTTGGTTTTCGGTGCACCCACGTTAGAACCTATAGTGGTTGGATTGGGATGTTCACTGGGGGTACTCCTCCTTTCGACCCATCCGCTTTTCATGGCTTTAAAAACATCACCCATTTGGCCCAAAGGTGCGTGTCTTTCTTGGTGGGGGTGATGTTTTTGTCAGGCGAAATTTGTTGGGGAGCTGGTGATTGTGAGTGTCTCCCCTTTTTCGGACCTCCGGAAGTGGCGACTTTGTTGGAAGCCGCCAGTAAACGCGCGACTTTTGCGGGCTGGAATGCCAGGCTTCAACTTTTCCCTTTCTTGTGAGGCAGCTGTCAGAAAAAGCCACTTGTGTCTGGGGGAGGGGAATTCCATCGACCCCCGTTTTCGGGCAAGGCCTTCCCAAAAACTAACAGGGGATGTTTGCAACAACCACACAAACGGTCTGGACAATTGTGGTCGCTGCTAGTGTTTGACTGGGAAATCCAAGATCTAGGCGTTGGGTTTTGTGCACTGGCTCCCTGCTTCCTCTCACTCGTTGCGCGCTTTCTCGGAAAGGCAGGGGGGCAGGGGGGTGGTCCACAAATTGGAACCCCTGAAACCCGAAATACTCCAGAAACAAGCACATCTGATGAAATCTAACGGATATGGGTTTGCGGGAGCGAGTTTCGTTCTTGGGATCCCACATGCCGCAACCAAGAGAGAGAACTTTCAGAAGCCCTTGAAAGCACAAGGGTCCTCTCATAGAGGAAAATGGTGTTCGACCGCGGTTTTTCTTGGGAGGGTCATTTCTTTGTTGCATTTTGCCAAAGGATGTTAGGACTTCCACTTTTTGCGAAACAAATGAAATGGCTTTCCATATTAAACCACTAAAAGTAAAACAAACAAAAGCAAAGAAACAACTTTTCGCGGGGGAGCAACCGAGACATTTCGCCGCAAAGGCCACCCCTTGCGATTCGGAGGTCCGTTTTTTTTCTCCTTTCTTTCTTTCGGAGTCAGTGCCGGCCGCGCCGCGCGGCGGCGCTCAAGTGAGAAATTGGCCGCAGCGCCAGAACACGCCTGGGGTCCTATGGCAGTGGGTTAAGGTTTTATGTACCCAAAATGGCTTTCCCTGGCTGAATGGAAACTTGGACTACAACCTGCCCACCATTTCAAGGCGGACAAACAATGAGAAGACAGCATCTTTGGAGTTCCCTCGCCCAGTTCGCGGACCGTTTTGGAAAACTCTCGGGAGAGCGAGGTGCCTGCACAGGTTCCCAGCCATCCCAGTGGAGAGTGTGCAACCCTTCGATGTGCCCCCTCTTTTGGCACATGTGATTAATAGAGAGCTTGGTGGTTCCCCGCCGTCCGGTGCCTCACCTGTTCTCCGCTTCTTTGGGAGGGTTTTCCTGGACACTATCCACTAAACCAACAGCTGTCGGCTTTTCGCGGGACATCGAAGAACAGCGAGGGTAGACTCCCCTTAAGCTTTCCTAAAGGTTGAAGGGCGCAAACTTGCAATAATACTCCTAAAATAATATCCTCTGCAAGAATAATATCATTAAATTGCTAAATAAGCAAAATATCACTAAAGTAACAAGAACATCTACAATACTCTGTGCAATTTGCATCACCTCCAACAAAAACCTCGCCAGCTGCCCCGGCGCCCCGCGCCATGCTGTGCGAGCGGCCTCCGGGGCCCTCGCAATTTCTGCCCTGCGTGTCAACTCCGCCGCGCGGAGGTGCCGGCGCCGCGAGGCGGGGGGGGAGCAACACTTACCGCTTGGGGCAATACGTCCCGGTACTCTAGGGGTAACTTCCATATCCATTCTTTCCAGCGATCCTTCTTTCTAGAAAACCACCAAAACCCTGGGCAAATGGCGATCGGTTTTGAAAAGAACGATGGCTGAAAAGAATGGGGAATCAACCCCTAGAAGTACGGGTTGCGGCGCGGAGAAGCGATATTCAGGAGGCCCTATGTTGACTAGGTCCCCCCAGTAGTGCCCTTTCTCACCCCTTTGTTGGTTGGGAGGGTTCCCCTACTGAAACAGACTAGAGAAAAAGTTGGTAGCCTTATTCTAAGCTCTCTACTGAAGGACCTAGAAACAGGTGGACGGACGAAGTCCATTTCGCGCCATGTAAGAAACCCTCGAATGATGATTTCCACGCAAAAACCAACAAACGATGGTTTCAACCATGGTTTCAAAGTGGTGCGAACGGAATTTTTTCGTCCATCAGTAAGAGCTTGAAGACCAACGAGGGCCCCAAGATTCCCTTTTCTTGGTGGCTCCCAGGCATCCCCTTAGCTTTTTAGCCTTTTTGTGTTTAGTGGTAGTTTCCGAATTTAACCCGCTAAAAGTTACTCACTTTTGGCGGGAGGTCTGAAAACGGGCAGCCCAGTTTTCTAAGTCGGGTTGTTGCCACTTGTGTGCTTGGGGACATAAGTGTCCTTTTGGGTTGCTTTGCTAGAAAAATAGATGGGATTTGCCTGGTAGATGATTAAACCACCAGGTAAACCATCTATTTCCCCCAAAAGGACACCTATGTTTGGGGCCCTGCGACCCTGAGAGGCGGGCTGGAAATTGCAAGGAGGCCGCAAGGCCGCGGTGGTCGGACCGCTCTGCCTCTGTGGTGCCTCGGTTGAGTCAGGAAAACCCGGGTGAGCTTCGGCCAAAGGGACAAGTCAGCCATCCACCCTTATGTTTCTCTGTACGCAAATGGCTAGAACCTTCCCTTTGTTTACGCTTTAATACAAAACTGTCAGATTTTTTGCCGGTCGCATTCGAAGCTAATTCCCCGCTTTTCTCCATCCTTCTATTTTTGGCCCATCTTCTCTTTTGCTTTCAACACACCCTAGTTGCCCCGCTTTTTCTCTCTGTTGGCTCATTTTCGATTTTGCCCCCCCATTTTCTCTCATTTTTTTTTTATTTTTTAAAGGAGCATGTTGGGCGGAGGCGGTGTGGATGTTTTTTTTTCCCCCCCCCCTGGGAAACCCATCGGTTTTCCCGGCGAGCCATCTTTGGGCCGTCGAGGTGTTTTTGGGCCTCGCCTTCCTGTCGCTGATCTTTGAGCGGCGCCAGGCGGGTCCAGCAGCCTTGTTCTGGTGCTCGATAGGGTATGATCCAGGGTGTGGGGAAGGAACTGTTTGGGATTCCCTGAAAGGAAACCACAAGGGACGGTGAAAAAGGGGTTTACACCCGAGTCTGAGTGTTGGTTGACTGAATCGGTCTTGGTTGGGTTCCCTAGTTGGAACCACCAGCTGGATGGTAAAAAGGGGTTCATTCCAGTTCTCACTCCCTGCCTAGCGAACCAGCAAGTGTTTCTGCCGATGCCCGGTCGGTTGGGTGACCAACTCGTTGAACTCGATCACAAATGGGTCCTTTTGCTTCAGAGAAAAACTCATGAGTATCCTTGGTCCAGCTGGAACCCGTGAAAGAACCCCGAACTAGGTGCTTGTTCTGTTTTAAGACCGGTTTCCTATAAAGATGATACTGGATGAGCGCAAGGCGAACAATGTAAAAGGGGCCAGGCTTGTCCCACTTAGTGAATCATTGTACCCGTTTCACATCATCTTGCATCCTTTTCAACCCTTACTAAGCTTTACCTTCCTCACTTTTTCGAGCGGTCTACCCCGAAAATCACCCTGGTTTCTATGCCTCCCCTCAACAAGAGGTTCCCCTCTAAACCCACCAGGCAAGCAAGTTTCGAGCCCAAAAGGCGGGACAAACGAGAGCCTGAGTGGAATCCCGCTCAGAAGCCGTAAGGCTTGTGCTTCCCGTCTTAAGCACTTTAGCTTGCGAACGAGTATTTTCTTAAGCCCCAAGTTTGGGTTCATCGAAGTCGTCTCTGCTCCCATTTTGGGGGACCAGTTTTCGATTTCGGGGGGGGGGGGCTTCTCAGTTTGGGGGGCATTTCTGGGGAACCCCCTTTTTGGTGGGCGCTTCCTCATTTTTGTGGGGTTGCCCGATGTTTTGGACGGGTTTCCCCCCGTCCTGGCCGGCCCCAACCCTGCGGCGCAGGGCCTGGGGCCTTGGACTTTGAAAGCCTCGGGCACCTTGGGCTGGGACCGGCACCTGGCGGGGCTGGGCTGGTCGGCGGTGGCCATCGTGGGGCGCCCGGCCGCCTCGGCGCTGCGCAAGGACTCGCTCCCTGCGCCCGCCGGGGGAGGGGGTTGGGGGGAGGGGGGAGGGGGGGAGGGTTTTGGGGGAGGGGCCTGGCAGGTGGTAGGTGGGGTTCGGGGTTGGCGGGGTTTCTTTTTTTTTGGCGGGTTGAAACAAATTGCTTGGGATAGGTGATAGGGGATGGTTTATAGGAAACGAAGGAGAAGCCTTAAACCCCCCTGCTGGTAGGGTTGGGGGTTGGTGGGGTTTCCTTTCTTTGTGGCGGGTTGGTTGGTTGGGTTGGGTTGGGTTGGGTTGGGTTGGGTTGGGTTGGGTTGGGTTGGGTTGGGTTGGGTTGGTTGGGTTGGGTTGGGTTGGGTTGGGTTGGGTTGGGTTGGGTTGGGTTGGGTTGGGTTGGGTTGGGTTGGGTTGGGTTGGGTTGGTTGGTTGGGTTGGGTTGGTTGGGTTGGTTGGGTTGGGTTGGGTTGGGTTGGGTTGGGTTGGGTTGGGTTGGGTTGGGTTGGGTTGGTTGGTTGGTTGGTTTGGGTCCTATTCGCTTGTTCCATTCTGGCAAAATGGAATAAATCGACTTGCAACGCTCAGCCATCGGCCCAATTTCCATTTTCCAGGCTGGAGGCCCCCACCATTGGCAAATTCTGGTCGCGAACCGCCCTAGCACGGGGCGATCCCAGCCATACATAGCTGCGGATATCCGCCTTCTTAGTTCCTTACATGGTTCTGGGTCGACCATTTTGTGTACCGGGTTTTCATTGTGACTCATATACCTCTATATATGCAACTATGTAGGCGATGGTATGGAGTGGCGCAATGCTCAGACAGTATAAGACCTGGCCGGGCCATCAACACACCGTGCCGAGACCACAACAAGTCCGGCTATATGCAACTATGTATATCGTTATATACATATATGTAATATACATATATATATATATGCACACGTACAAGTGCAAGCCTAAAATCCTTGAGTTTTAACCTGTAGAACCAATTCCGGTGTGAGCAATGATTTATATTCACTGTCATCCACTGCAGTCAAGGGAATGGCATGGGGTGCACACACACACACGAAATCTAGGAAACAGGGGTTTCTCACCAAAATCCAATCGGGAAACCCAATGAATATTGACTGCTCACATCCCTTCTTACAGGGCCCTCAGGTCAATTGGGAGTGTCAGATTTCTTGGGGGGATTCTCATGAAATGGCATTGGCTCACGTAGCCTCTATGGCTATGTTGGATATTTGGACTTTCAACTTTTTGGGAAACAGTGGATTTTCCATTGGACACACACACACACACAAAGTTCAGCTTGTTGCGCACAGGGGTCACCAGCAAGCAAGCAGCGTGCCCCGTTCCGAACCGATCGCGCCGGATCCAACGGTGTAGGAGATCGCTACCAAGCGGGCGGGGGCGGCGGTGTCCCACGCCGAACAGGCTCGCTCGGGGAAGTCCTGGTGTTTGTGGCCTTGTTTGAACAGGTTTCAACCGCCTTTGGCAACCCCAAGACCTGAAAGGCTGGGCTTTTTACGTCTTCTGCCCAGTGAACGGCCCCAGAGTGGTTTGGCGCCATTTTGTTGTTTTTGGCACACACCATATGAGAGACAAGCAACATCTATCCAAAGGTCCCCAAACAGACCAAAGGTTGAAAAGCATTCAGCCTGTAGAACTTTTGGTCGGAAAGCCACAGGACCCTCCCAATTTGCTCACCTTGTCATTTGGCTTGGAGCACTCCGGCGGAAATGCTCTGCACTTTTCGGGACTCGATTGACAAAGCCTTGAGGGCACTGCCAAGGCGCGTCCTTTTCTCGATTTCTCGCGTTTCTGGAGGGTTTCTGGAGGGTTTGGGAGACTGATCCTGGTGTTTGGAAGGCACTCCCCCCCCCATTTTTGCCACCATTGGCCGTGGAACTCCAGGTCGAAGTGACCTTTTCGAACAGTCAAAGGTCATAGCAAAGAGCAGCGCTAATTTACTGAGGAAATAGACTGCAAGCATAGTTCCAGAGGAATCAACCTCTGTTCGCCTTGCAACATGTTATAATCTACATGTTGAATAGGCTGAACGTCCAATGCCACGAATGGTTTCCTTTCACTGCAGAAACATTGCGGTTTCATGGCTGAAGCAAAGGCACCTCTCAGCTGGTGCAAGTTTGGGATTCCCCCCCCCCAGCCAAAACCAGCCAGTTGAACGTGCATTGCTCATTCAGGCGGTTCTACTACCTGGTTTCGCGGGGTCAGAGTAAGGGCCACACAAGCCGTGCGCATCTTGCTAGTCCATGGATCCCTTTGCTTCTTTTGGCAGATACCCATTTATGATTCACATTCAAGCCTTTCAAGCAAACACACACACACACACAACGCCAACTTTCTTGCAAGGGGCATCCCCTGACGTCAGTTTTCCCTTGGAAGATGTCAAGCCAACTGGGAACGCGGTTTTGCCTTTCTCCGTATTTTTTCAGGGTTTTCCTTGTTCTAGTGCTACCTTCCCCATTCTTTCCAGGGATCCTTGTTTCTAGAAAATCTCCGGACACCTAGGGAAACGCATCCGGTTTAAAGAACGATGGTTGGAAAGAATGGAAAATGACTCAACCGCTAGATGTGTTCCTTGAAACAACCCGAGAAAAGGCGAGTCAACCCTTAGACTTGTGGTTTTTCTTGGAAACCACGAGACAAAGCCGCTGCTGAGGTGGGGATGACCTCCCTGGTGCAGGGCGCCGTGGCGGCGGGCTTGTTGCTCTGGAGCGGCGGCTTCCGGTGTCTGGACCGGCCCAAAGCTCCGAACATGGTTGTTGTTGGGAAACATTTTACATTTTTGCTTATTGTGGTTTAGTGGGAAATCCCCACGGGAAAAAGCCTCCTGGCCAGGAAAAAGGGGGGACCCTGGAGGGGTACTCACTGAGCAGGGAGAACCCCCCCCAGGGCCCACTTAACTGCTAATGTGTAAATTTTTGCTCCCCTTCCAACGTCAACCAAGCGAAGAAAGCGTGGTTCAGAGGTTCACAGGCAGTGTTCGCCCCTTGCTCGCTTCTTTCGAGTCGGTTTTGGGGGCTGGACCCTTTTGTTGTTGCCAATTTACTCAAAAGAAGAAATTCCAGGGTTAAGTCTATGCTGGGGTAGTCAAAAGAATGGAATTTGTCAAGAGGCCCGGCCAGATTTGGAGTAAAACTAGGGTTCAGCAAATGCAATGACCAGTCGTCTATTGGATAAGGCGTCATTGTCGCGGTCCGTTGGTGCGGTCTCTGTGTTTCTATTTGTCTCTTTGATCTTGGCCATTTTTAAGACAACCCCATACTTCATCTTTTCGTGGTCACAGGCTTGAAGGGGAAAAGCCTGAAACGGAGCAGTGTACCAGTTTTTGGTTCTATGTCTATTTCTTTCAAACAAAAATATCCACCCTGAGGCGCCACCTCCTCAACGTGTCAGTGAAAACCCAGACTACCCTCCCACCAGCTAACATGATAGTGCGCAGACCCCTGTAGAAAGACTACTTTCCTCTTGGTTAGTTGGCCTTTTTGCACTTCCATGTTAGTTGGTGGGAGGGTACCTAAAACTACCACTTGTTCTTGGCAAGTCGACCTATTTTTTTGGAAAGTGCTCTTTTACCCTTTGTTGGGGGAGGGTTTTCCTACTAAACCAGACTACAGAGAAAAGGGTAGCCTTATTCTGACCTCTCTACTGGAGGACCTAGACAACGACAACTTCTTCACATCCACCGCTTCCTCACGCCGGCTCGCAGGACCTCCCGCGGGGCTTCTGGATCTGCTTGGGGGTCTCCGCCGCGCTGAACGCCGTGATCAAGACCTCCGCGCCGTGGTTGCGCAAGCGCTAAAGAGACGCCAAAGAGATGCTGCCAGCTTTCATCCGGGTTCCGGGATACATCCCAAGACTCCACCTACGCAAGAATAGCACTCTACATCAGCCGGTCAAGTTTACTAGTATTACTAGTCTTCTTATTATTAATTTATTTTTCTGGCCCAATTGTATCCTTTGAGGGACCCCATTGCTCCAGACACCATGGTGTTTAATAGGAAATAGCTCCGTATGAACATGGTTATCCTAGCTGGAGTCTCCTCAACGATGTTGGGATTTTAGGAAAACAGCACATCAGGAGACCCCAACTTGGATAAACCATTATAAGTTATAAAGAAGCAGCCCCCAGCTACCCCAGTTGCAACCAGGATTAGGGTTTCGTTTTTTGACTACCCCAAGGTCGACTTAAACCCCGGGGTTTCCCTTTTGGGGAAATCAACCATTCCTGGGTTTAAGTCAACTTTGAGGTAGTCAGAAAACGGACTCCTGACTATGATTATCACCTACTTGCTAAGCAGGTTGAACATCCATGTAAGGCCTAAGTAGTTTGGGGCTTTACACACCTGTCCGACATAGAACCACTAGGCTATAGCCCTTTGATCAAAACTATATGGGGTTCAGTCCAAACATTTCCGAAGGCCGAAGGTATGTAACTACTTTGCCGGTGGGTGGGTGGGTGGGTGGGTGGGTGGGTGGGTGGGTGGGTGGGTGGGTGGGTGGGTGGGTGGGTGGGTGGGTGGGTGGGTGGGTGGGTGGGTGTTTTTGGGCAGCTAGGGTGCTGTTAAAATTCATTTTCTCACCTGGGACTTGAACTTTTTGAGGACCAGCTTAGCGGGCAAATTGGCAGGGGTACACCATGAACCCATATAAACCCCTTCAAATGTGACACCTAAAGGAGGTGTTGTTTAAACAGAGATTTAACCATATTTGAACAGGTGCTTTGGTGGGTTTCCATTTTTTGACTGCAGGTAGACTCAAGCCTGGTGGTTTTTCCAAGAACCCCATGGGTTTGATTGCAAATTCGGGTGCCACGCTCGTACCACCAACTCTACATGAGGATGAATCAACGATAGTGACATTTGAGGAAGCTGGCCCCCAACCCCGTAGGATCGAATTGCATACCCTTCACCTCCTCTCTCCCTGGTAGAAAGGCCTTGGTAAGGCAGGAGAGAAGGGGGCAGGGGAAGATTTGGATGACTTTACTTTTCGCGTCATGTGACTTCAGCTTGCATGAAGCTGGATGGCGTTGTCTTTGTTGCCAAACGGGAAACCCGAGTCCTTTCATTCCATTTACGAGGGCCATCTATTTTTCCAAAAGGCCACCTACTATCCACTGGGTTTCTTGTGGGCTTGGGTGGGTTTCGTAAATCCGGGACCGCGGGCAGATTTTTTGGTCGAGGAGACCCACGCCTACAAGATCGGGGAGATGTCTCTGTGCGCGCCCTTCCTCGCCTTTGACCCGGTGATCCAGCTCCTTAGCAATAGGATCCTCCGCCCTCCGCCCATTTGCAGCCCCCAGCCTCTAACTCGTGGCCTTGCGCGTTTACGCCTTGTTTGGAGGAAAGAACAGCGGGTGAGGGGATGGGGGGGTTGGATCCCATGAATCAAAACGGATCAATCATTTGGGCTCCTGTTGGGGGTCCCTCTGTTGATTTTCAGAGAGATTGTAAGAAGAGATGTCTACAGTGAATGTCGGAAAATGAACCCAGGGGCAACTGCCAGTTGGATTGGTTTGGGGCCATTGAATTTCTTATTCCCTGCATCACTCGCTCCGATCGCAAGTTGCTTGGCCAGTTGGATTGGTTTGCTTCCCGACATCGGAGGCTCTTGGTGGGCACCTTGCTGCCGGTGCTCTGGGGCGGTCCGCCGGCCGCCTTCTCGCCCCGCAAGGTGCGGGCGAAAAACGCGGGAACGACGCTCGTGTTTGGGGGGGTTGGAGGTTTGGCTCCTGTAAATCTTGTTTTTTGGTTTAATTACGGGGATTTGTGGGTTTTCAGGGGGTTCGGCTCTTTTAAATGAGGTGGGCTAGAAGCAAACATGCTGGTCTTGGTTGGGTGGCAAAAGCTGAGGTAGAAACGAGAAAACAATTGCTTATCTTGCCCCATTAAAACAGGCGCTGAGCACAGGAAAAACAAGAAGCCCAACTTGTCCCGTTTGCCTGCCTCGCTTTGACGGACATCTGGACTTGCTTTTTTTTGAATCGCCCATCCGCAAAGGACGCTTTGCTTAGGGGTTCTCGCCTCTTTCCCCCCTTTCGAGTTGCGCTTGTTTGCTGTACAACCCTCCGAGTCTTCGCCTGCTGTCTCTGAAGAGGGTTTGCTTGACCCACGTGTCCTTCCCCAAGACGCGGGGGGCGTTTTTCAGCCAATGAACCATGGCCTTGAACGTGTGGGTGCGTCCTTTTCGAGGGTCGTTTTTGGTGGTGTTTAAACGGAAGCCACTAGGACAACCACCATTTTCTTGGGGGTCCTTAAACAAAAAATGAACAAACAAACACGCCCGTTTGTGTGTGTGTGTGTGTCAAAACACAGGCTGTCCCAAGACCATTTGCCAGTTTTCCGCCCTGCTTCTTGCGGTTGACTCGCCCCTCCCCCCAGGGCACTTCTTGCCGCGGAAAAATGCGACGCAGGCCTCCGCGGTGTGCTGCATCGCCGCGGGGATGCTGGCGCTGGCCAAGACTCAGCAGAAAGCCGCGGGGAGGACAGGGAGGCCGGAGATGAGCTGGGTGTGGCGCAAAATCAAACGATCGGAGGGGCAAACGGCAGGTTTTGGTCCATGTTTCCACTTACCAGGGCACCGTTTTGTTCTTCTTCTTCTTTTTTTTGCTCCTTTTTTTGAGCCACAGCCAACTGCGCAAAACACTCTGCTTGGCGATGTTTTCTTGTGCCTTTTGTTTTCGGTGTGCCTCTTCGGTTTTTGGTGGACGGGCTGCAACAGCTGCATGTTTTTTTTTGGGGGTGGGGGGGGACATAGCCAGGGATGGATGGCAAGTAACGCATTGCGGGACCCGTTGGTAGAATTTGGTGAATGTTTTCCCTCGGTTCCCTTCTCCGGGCCTTTTATCGGAAACACTTGCCCGGTCTCGGAGCCACCGGGTTCTGCGAAAAAACGCCCATCTTCTCTTGCCCAACTATCTTCCCCACACCCCCCCCTGGCCCCCAGAGCTGTGACGTCTGAAGCCAAAATGGGTGTTTTTTCCGCAGGCTTCGCTGACAAAAGAGGCACATTCAACTTTGAAGTTGGGGGCAAGGGGGTCGGCACCAGTCGATTCCCTGCGTTTCCAACGAAAAAGCATGCGCGCGTCAAAAATGACTGGGTTTTTTTCGAATTTGATTAAATGGCCAGGCTCTCCAAAATCGCTCATTGTTGCGTGTGTGCTGCATTTGTGTTGCATGTGTGTTGCATGTGTGTTGCATGTACGGTGACATGCGCAGCTCAACTGCAAGTGTGTGGAACTCGAGCCCATGACCTTGCGAAAGTGCCGCGCCGGGTAGCGTCATGTGGAAAGGTTTCTTTCGGTGAGCCGAAACGACAGACCCATGCACGGCAAGTGCTCTCCAGGCGTTGCTCGCAGAAAGTCTTTCCCCGGGTTCTGCGAGAAAAATCACCCATCTTCTCTTGCCCAACCATCTTCCCCACACCCCCCCGGCCCCCCAACTTCAATGTTGTCAAGGAGAGCTGTGAGGTCTGAAGCCAAAATGGGTGTTTTTTTTCCGCTGACAAAAGAGGCACTAGGGAGGGTTGTAACCACGACAAAGAACATGTTACGACGACAAAGAACATCGTTACACCGACAAGCAGGGGGTTGGCACCTGTTGTCAAAACGGATTCGGGGGGAGATTGCTTTTTCTTTTTTCCCCGCAGAACCCGGTATCCCGAAGGTGGGTTTGCCTCCAAGGGGAACTCCGAAAAGCGACAGCCTTGGATGATTGGCCGAGCTTGGCGCCTTTGCACTCATCCGGGTGTGCCAAATGGTGCCCCTTGCGGTTGTTTTCACGTGATTCTTCGTTTCCCTTGGAAAAAACACGGGGGGTACTTGGGTGCTTGGAATTCCAGCCCTCTCAGGTTTGCCGTTGAGCCGGTCTTTCCCCCGTTCTCGGAAGCATCCGTGCGATGGTCGCCCAGCCTCCCGTCTGCTAGTCTGCTGAGTGCCAGGCTGCCGGCGGGCGCCGTTTTCGTGCTGCTGAACTGCTTCCTCTACTCCGCCACCTACCGCTTGGACGCCTGCGCCGTCAACTTGGCCAGCGGCGCCTTGTTGCTGGCCTACAGCCGCCTGGTGACGCGGCAACTGAAAAGAAGCGGACCCGCCTTCTAATTGGCTTTTGTCGTCTTTGTCTTCTCGCTTTCTTTTCGGTTTTGGCGGTTTGCCATTTCGCGGCTTCACACATGGCCGAGCCGTGGGTCTGGAAAAGGACGTCAGTGGCACCCTCTCTCCTTTTTGATTGGCGGTTCCCGTGCCAAAAGTGGTCAAGGGCCACAGGACAGGTGTTGCCAGGTGTTCGTGGGTCATTCCTTCAACTTTTGTCATAGACTTTTTACCATTGAACACCTTTTGTAGTTTTTGGGTCCCTTGAGCTCACTGCCTCAAGTTAATATGGGGCCTCCAGCGGCGTGGCAAGAACCTTTTGACGGATGGATCAAGGTTCTCGCGAACGCATCGATCCGCGTCCACGAAGCCGCGATAGAAGAAGGCAATAGGAACTTTTTCGGCTGGTTAAATTACCCTTTCAATGGATGATCACAACCCAAGCCAATGCTTTGAACATGGCATACCCCACTAAACCCAGGGACACCCCCGCTATCAATCAACTCTGGTTGATTCACACGGGGTCTAAATTTTCCGCAAACGCGTCGACCATGGCGCTCTCGCCAGCGGGTCGCTTCAGGTGATGGCGGCTCTGTGCTTCGGCGCGCAAGCGGCGAGCTCCGCCCGTCGCGAGGCCGGGGAAGCAGCTCGCCCGAGTTCCTGCCCGGTCCCTTTGGCCACTAGGGATATTGAGCATAGGTGTCCTTTTCAGGCTAGTTTGATTGAAAATGAATGGCACTGGCTTAGGTTGGGTTTCATTCCATGTACCAGGGCTATCCATTTTTCCAAAAGGCCGTCTAGGATAGCGAGGGTGGGTTTCCAGCCGTTGGCCTCCAGAAATGGGAAAAAGCGCCCAGTGTTCCTTTCCGGCAAAAGCCGGAAAATGGGAACCTTGTCTTAAATGTGCCTGTGCCCCTCTCACTGATCGCGTTTCTGCTTTTTGGGTGTTTAAGTAAACAAACAGCTTGCAATTTTGGCCATCCACTCGGGATGAAGGTGTCCGGGGTGTTCAACTGCCCTGGGCCCTAAGAAACGACGCCCCCGGCAAAAGCATCTAGAGCTGGCCGCGGTAACCGATTCCTGGAAACGGCAAGGCCGAATCTTCTTTTGAGCATGGGAAGAAGCCAGTTACAGCAAGTTCTACTGGACAGCTTTGCTTTGGGTGGCGGGTGGGGGTGAACCAATGTCCTATACAAATTCCTGTAGCTGGTCTTTGTTGCATAATTTTCGAGAACAGCACGTCTTGCCTCAGGAAGTGCGACCACAACCCACCCCCCAGCTCATGAGTTCCGAATGAGCCCAGTTGTTTCTCAAAACTTGGGACCCTCCTTTTGCTTTCCCTTCGACGCCATCCAAAAAGGGGCCCCTGCTTGGTCAAAAGTCGTGCATACATTTCCGGGTCCATGGTCGTCCTGGCCCCAAGGAAAAGGAACAGGTGACCTGCGTCTGTGATTTTTGGCCTGCTTCTTGGAAACCAGTGTGACTCTTGGTTCAAAGGGACAGCATCCATATGAGTAATTTACTACCGGGGATATTGGTTTTGTGGTGGGCCCCTGGCGGTTCTCAACAATCGTCTTGTTGGGTACCCATATCTAGATTGTTTGGAGCTTCTGAACTTGTTCTTGGTTGTTTCATTTGTTTCGCCCGGTATAGCACCAATGAGGTTCGGTCAGAATCTCCAGTCGCAGTTTTCAGTCTGTGACCCCTGTGGACGGCACCTGGAGGGGGCTCACGAACCCGCCCGGGCCGGATCCCGGAGGCCGAGTCGGGGCTCTGGGAGCCGCGGACGCTGGCGCTGCTGCTCTTCGTGTGCGCCTGGATTTGACCCCTGAGAGCCCGGAGCAAGGGCCAGCGGAGCAAGGGCCCCTTTGTACGGTAGCCTTGTGGATGGTGTGACGAAAGTGGGCCAAGGCGAAGAAGTGGTTGCTCGCAGGAGTTGTGATGGTTGAGGGTTCCATGAGCACATGTTCCGCTGGCGCCGGTGATGCATAGCTATGCCTCAGACGCTGATTTGTAGCCGTCCGCTTTTCCCGTTTTTGGTGGGTTGGAAGTCAGTCCTTCCCCTTTTCAAGGGGGTCACTGGGTTCCCCTTCAATAGATACAAGTTGCTCGTAGATTGGTTGGTTCCGATGCTTGCAAGTTTCGTTCTGCCACGCGTCACGGGCATGTGATTTCCGGGGTCCAACATCAATTCCCCATCCTTCCGCCTTCCGCCAGATGGTCGTGGTTTCCCTTCTTGTAGTGGCGGCCCACTAAGAATCACTCAGGATCACGGCTTAGGACTAGGGAGTCGACACAAGCCCCCCGTTTTGAACCGCCCAGATTTTGATGGTTTCTAGTGGTCAAACTCAGAAAAGGGGGATGCTCCCCCAGCGCGAACCGCCGGATGTGAAGTAAGCCGGAGGCCCTTCTCAAACACGGGTTGGGAGGTTTGCAGTCCCACAAAGAAAATGCGTACCTTCAAAACGGCTTGCGCTGGTAAATGGAGCCAACTAAAAGCCTGCGGTCCATATCCTGGTTATATTTTGACCCATACCCAATTGTCGCTTCTAGTGGGCCTGAAAAAGGGTGCCTGCCTCCTTTAGACATGGCTCCTCGCCAGTTTGCCAGCTGGCGCCTGAGGCCTCGTGGATGGCTTGTACATGCTGAGCATGTACAAGGCCAGTGAAAAAAAAACTGGGGCTAAGAAATTTGTTGTGGGCAGCGAGAGGTTTTTCGATTTTTCGAGTCAAACTTCCAGAGGTTTGAGTTCGCCTTGTTGGTGCCAGTGACATGAGGTAAGGTTGACACGGACATCTTTTGTTCATCGTCAGAACCCCGGCTCAAATTTGAGAAACCCAAAGAAAAAAAAAACAAAAACGAGCAAGCCAACATGCTTTTCATCGGCCGGAGTTTCTTCCCCGGAACCTACCCGGGGAGCACGCACTGGCCCTCTCCTTCAACCACCGCATCGTCCCGGTAGCATCCCGGAAACAGCTGGAACCCCCAAACCACCGCAGGGCTTGTGTGGGCAGAGACCCCATAGCTTTCGGAACAAAAACATGCAATCTGTGGCATGTAGCCGGGGAAAGAGCACGCCCAAGGTGCAAACCGCCGGGAAAAAGGAAGGGGGTGGGGGATTTGAAAGGCCAGAACACCCGAAGGATTCGATACATCGATGCACCTCGTTCGGGGAAGCGAAGTTCATTCAGGCGGTGTCGCTGATCTCGCCGGAGCTGGTGGCAGCGGTGACTTGCCGAACATTGGCGGGGTTGGATTGAGGTGTACATTTGAATCCGACTGGTGCCTTCCCAGCCCGGGTTTCCTCAAGTTGAAACTTTTGAGTCGATATTTTTGGGTATGGGTCAAAATTAAACCACCAGGATATGGGCCGCAGGTTTTTTAGTCCTTGGCTCCATTTACCAGGGCAGGCCGTTTTGAAGGTATATACGCATTCTTGACCCACAGTTCCATTTTTTGTTTGACATGAAGTTGGGCTTTCCACTAAACCCACAAAAAGTGAAAAGCAACTTTTTGCCGAGGGGTCGTTGCAGCAACCAAGTTGGGGAGCCCTGAGCCCCAACGAAACGAGTGGACTCCGACGCTCCGGCTCTCCGCAAGGTGAAGCGGGGCGGCGGCATCGTGGTGAGCGCCCTCTTCGGGGCGATCTTCTTCCATGAGCGCCTGGAGGCCGCCGCGCAGCGCGGAGCTTCGGGCTTCGGGGCCAGGGGATCAGGTTTCGGGGGACATGGATCTGCTGGCTGGGCGCGAAATAAGGTGGGTTGGAGGGAAATCTTACCCCACATGAACCACCATTTTGGGGTGAGGTCGTGCGAGGTCGCTACAAGTCACCCAGAAGCTAAGATTAGATGGCCATGGGTCAAAATCCAAATCGTACCCCCAGTGAACATCCCAATCCAACCCCTGAAATAGGTTCTAAAATGGGTGGTGCACCTACCCCAAAATCGTGCCATTGGTTTTGACCCAGAGCCATATGTGTCTCGGAACCCCCACATGGGTGGGTCATCTTGGTTTGCCTTTCAGCCAACCTAAAAAAAAGGTGCCGTCAGGAGGAAAGGAGAGTCAAAGCCATGAGGCAGATGCAGACAGTTGACTTAGAGGTGCTTGTTTTGTCAGAAAATGGATGAAGTGAACAAGAACCACGGATCAAGCCATGGGTGGCTGGAAAAGATATGGCTGACCTGGTTGGCAAAGGGGGATTGGGGCTGAGTTGAACCTAGACAGGATAACGTATGCGAGGAAATGGCGCGAGTTTCCGAGCGCCCATCGAGCAAATGGGTACGGGTCAAAATTAAACCAGGGGACCGCAGGTTTTAGTCCTTGTTTCCATTTACTAGAGCTCCATTTGGGGTACCCATTTTTGACCCACAGCCAAATCAGCATTCCAGCTGAGCAGGTGGTTTTGGGTTGCATTCTGGAGTCTGGCGAACCCTGGGCGTGGTGAACCGTTTTCGGAGTCCGGAGGTTGCCTTAGCCATGAAGCCTATCCGGGCCGTTTGATACAGGGTTTTTTCGGGGAACTTGGGCCGCGTGAGTTCGATTTGCCACTTCACCAACCTTTTTCTGCCAGTTCATCCTCCCTTGTCGCCAGCTTGGTTTTGTGCAGGCCTAAGTCTTGCATGAGAGAGAGAAGGTAAGAAAGGACTTGATGATCGGACAGCCACGGTGGCATGGTTGAAATGTTGTCCTTAGCTTAGCTGGTGGTTGGAAGGGATCCAAGGAGCTGACGTTAATCCAAGTTTGCTGTTGAATAGGGAGCGGTCCAGGAGCTGCCGAGCGGAGTTCTGGTTCATGCGGCTCGATTTCAGGTAGTTAGGAAAACCGCCGCGAGTCTGTTTTGTTTCTTTCTCGAAGCCAGCCCGGCGCCGAAGCGATGGCCAATTTCCTGGGGAGGGAAAGCAAAGGGCCGTGGGGAAGGAGGAGCCGCACCATGACCAGAGGGGCCGAACAAATTGCTTGGTGGGTCTTAGCCATCCGGTGCCTTAGGTTTTTTCAGCTTTTTACAGTGGTTTTCCGAATCTAACCCACTAAAAATAGTTCACTTTCAGCAGAGCACAGTCCAGATTGGAAGGGTCCTTCCTTCCTTTTTTCCAGAGACCACCTGGTCGATTCGGTCGAAAGGCACTGGGACACTTGTGGTTGTTCTTTGCCTGCTTTTCCAAGCCACCGGTCGTCTGCCGCGGCTTCCATGCAAAGCCTTTTTATCCTTCCCAGAGGCTTCCCGATTCAAACAGCCAGGTTTTGAGACCCCAAAGCAAATTCGGGGTGTCCAATGGAGGGTCGGGTCTTCCATTGAAAGCCCCAGGAGCCTCTGGGTTGAAAGAAGCCGACCGGTTGGTGCAAAGAAAAACGAGGGGCCCAAAACCAGCCATTCGCAGGGTCGGAAGCGGCTGCTGGCGGTGGTGGCGCTCGGGGTGGTGGTGCTCTGCCTCTGAGCGTTTGTTGCTCCTCGGGGCTAGCAGAATCTGAACGTCTTATTCTCAGGTTGCTTGTCTTGGGGGGTCAAATGGCCACCAAGTTGGTGTGCAAGCCCTGCTAGGTGATTACGATACGGGTGTGGCTCAAATTTAAACAGCTGGGGTTACGCTGGTTTTCGTCTTTGGTTCCATTTGCCACGGGCTTATTTTGGTACACGTTCTTGACCCACAGCCATATGAGTCCATTTCATCGGTTCGGATGAGCTATTGCGCTCCCAGCAGCGGCGGTAGCATGCAGAGGCGCCGAAGCTTCCGAATCGATGAAGCCGTTTCCCATCGTTCCCAGTGCCGTGTACCTCGCGAAGGACGGCAAGTGAGGGGAATTTCCCGATATTTCCCCTGGCCGATTTAAGCAAAGATCAGCTTTTTCTGTTGCCACATCTCGATGTGCCATGGTCAAACGACTCAACAGGGATGGTCATCCACCTGGTGGTAAGGATCCTTCTTGAACAATGATTCCTTTTGAGGGAACTGTGACCATAGGCCAAACAAGCAGAGTTTCGACCATGGTACAGATGAGTTTCTTCTTGGAGATGTGGGAAGTATCGGGACGCCTTGAGGCGCCCATGCGCCTGGCGCCCCCAGCGAAAAAGCATATCTTGGTGGTCAAAAAGCTGCGAGGGACGTACGGTTTGCAGCCGATGGTTGGCACTTGCACGAAGGGCAGTGATTGTCAACCAAGGGAGAAATAGGTGATGACTAACTCCTGAAAGCCAGGGGTTTGGGCTTGTAGCAACGAAAATCCACATCCGGCTACGCAAAGTACAATTCAACGTGCAACTGGACCCTTGGACATCAGAAATGGTTGATGGTGTCGGATAGTAAAGGGTATGACTGCTACTTGCGAATATCGTCTAGAAACCCTGGGGTGAATGATACCCGTGGAACTGCCAACAAATCATGGTTTCCCACGATTTCTTATGTGGTGCGAAATGGATGTCGTCCATCTACAGTAGGTGTTCTGTTGGGATGTTTTTGGTAAAAAGCAGATGGCCCTGATGATTTGGTAGAAAATAGATGGCCCTGGTTGACCTGGTTGTTTCATAAGCTACCAGGGCCATCCATTTTTCCAACAAGGGTCATCCTTCGCTTAGTCGGCTTACAACTTTCCTTTTGGCGGAGTATGCCCTGCGAGCGCATGGTTATCGCAGTAGACATCAACCTGGGTTTTGGGCATTGTAGGAAACCACACGGGGATGGTTCATGGAGGTATTTGCAACGCGGCCCCTTGACATCCCTGAAATGCGAGCATGCGGGCGCCAAACACGTTGTCACATCTCAGCAGATCTGGCCACAAGTGTAGATGGTGCGAGGGCCACATTGATAACAACTGAAAGCCAGTTCCGCGGATGTTCCCGCTTGACAAGTGCAACAAGTGCCAAAAGAGCCGACCTGTCGACCAGAAAACGCAGGAAATGGGCAACCCACTTGTCAGTTCGAATGGCCTTTTGAGGGGGGCACTGCAAGAATTCGTGTGCTTGGCGTGCGCGACCACCACGCAGGTACGTGTTCAAAGTGATTTAACTCTAGGCAACCATGGATTGGTTTTCCCTTTGGTTTCATTGTGTACAAGCCAACAAAAAGGGGACCCTCGAGCGCATGGCAGGCACAACCCGCTCATGGGGTTTTAATCAAACCATTGGGTTTGCACACCCCCCCACCCCGGTCGCCCGTCTTGCGCCTGTCGCGCTAGGCGCATCGCCTGCTGTCGGCGGCGAGATTGCGGCGCAGGGCGCCGGACGAAATGGCGCGCTGGGCGGCTGTGAGGGCGGCGGAGCTGGCAGGCGACGGCGCGCCTCAAAAAACACGGGGTTTGTTCGACCTTTGGCTTTGGGGGGAAAGGGGTGGGTGTTTGTTTCGCAATCATTTGTTTGTTAGTTGTACATATATATATATAGATGTAGTTCATGGGGCATGGCGGCATGACCATATTTTTTTTTAAATATATGTATATGTATACACATATATATATATATATATACATTAATTGTCTATATTACAACCTTCTTTGTTTAGTCCGCTTACAGGCCCGAACATCTGTGGCACCCCTTCGGATGGTGTTTCAGGGGAAAGCCCTTATTTGTGTTCGTTGGCAGGTGCCTTGACTCTCAAGAGAAAGGTTTTGGTGATTCCGCGGGCGGAAGGCCAAAGAGAGAGGGTTCTCGAATGAGGATGTGGGGTTTGCTCGCCAGAGCCCCATATGGGACTCTTAACGCGGCGGAACGCTCGCAAGAGACCCATATAAATACTGTCCAACAGGTTCCAAGTCAAGTTCATACTCGTAGATGGGGACATGGCCTGCATATTGTCTGCAGGTCTTGTGTGTTGCAGACCTAAGCCAACCCCTGGGCCAAGTTGGCGGGTCGGGAGGGCGAGAGCCGAAGCAGGCTTCTGGCGTGGGGTCCATTTGGATTCGTTGTTTGGGGTACCCCTTCTGGGGCTCTTACAACAGGAGAAAGGACACCGCCCCTGTTGGGGTCCGACCCCTATGGATCCACATCCCATCTCCAAACCATCTCACTCTTTTTGCCCAAGAAGGATACGCTTGCCCAGCTCCGGCGTTGGGGTTCCCATGGCAAAGACTTTGGCGCAACCGCCTCTTTCCGAAGTGACCCGGGGCCTCCCTTGGCTCGTCAGGGAGTCCGATGCGCCCGGCAGCCCGGGTGCTACGGTGACCTCTGAGCTGAGCTGAGAAAAGGGCGGCGCGCTGGGCGTGCCGGGCGGGGGCCGGGGGGGGGGGGGGGGTTGGGTTGGGGCCGGAGGGGTTGGGGGTGGGGAAGTGATGCAGCAGTCTTGAAAACGAGGGCAAACAAAAAGCGAACATCTTGTTCAAGCCTCCTTGGCCTTCCATTCCGAGTTGTATGATTGGAAGCTGCACGCCGTCCGATCCTCATCATTGTTTTGCTCTCACATAAACCAGCAGGCAGTAGCCTTGTTTCCCAACCGCAAAACTAGCGCTTCGAGGACTAACAATTGCTGGGATGTCGGCTTCACCAGGGCACAGGGTGCGGTGGGCCAAACATGAGCCGCAATCAAAGCCTGGGTGGATGAAGGGTAGTTGCGGGTAGAAAGAACCCTTTATCGTTTTTCTTGGTTTAAACCACTAGTGTTTAGACAACCTCCTTTTGGTTCCTTCAAAGGGGACAAGGTGCTGGCTGTAAAGGGGACCAGGTGCTGGCTGTTCAAGCGCAGATTGACCAACTCTGAAGAGATGATCACTTTTCTTTTGGCCAAAGCTTCGAAGCGCAAGACGGCCTCTTTGAAGGATGTACATACCTCAGTTTCCCTTTGAAGCCATCCACAAAGGCGGGGTCCTTGAGCCAATGGCACCATTGACATGTTGTTCGGCTCGAGCGCGATTCACGACAAAAGGGCAGTCCAGAGCCCAGTGGCCCCCAATTTGGCCCAATTCCATTTCTCAGACTTGACCTTTTTTGCCCTTGCGCCAGTTTTGGATGTTCTTCTTTTGCACTTTAAACCAGCAACTCACTTTCCAAGTTACCGGAATGTATACTTTTGTAGTCAGGCACACACACACAAGAGGTGCTGGAGTTGAGAGCGCTTTTTGGGGCCGTCAACATTACGTGGACAGCTTTGCCGTTCAAACCACAGCGGCGGCAATATTCCTGGCCCCCAAAATGACCATGGGAAACTTGTCCCATGTGATGTTTTTTTGTCGTATCTTTTTTTTTGTGGTTTCGCGAAGGGTCGCCCCATGTTTACCGGACCCTGTGATCAGCCCCCCCATTTGGAACCCACTTGAGCGCCCCAACACTCGAGCTGCGGTTCTTGGGGTCAAGCAACTTTTCGTGGGTCGGAGTTGGTGAGAGAAATTCTTGGTCGACATAGGTGTCCCTTTTTAGCTTCGTTTGGTGAAGCAACTAGATGGGTTCCACTGGTGACGGGTTTGTTTGCCCCTACCAGGCTTTTGGCCACGTCCAGGTCTTTTGCCCCATTTTCCAGGTTTTTAGCCGCATATATTTATCAGGTCTTTTGCCCCATGTACCAGGGACACCCCACGGATTTTTAACTCCAAACGGCCGGCGATCGGAGCGAGGTTCGTGATGCCGGTGCCTTCCTTCAACGTGATCAACGGTGGCAGCCACGCGGGCAACCGCCTCGCCTGCCAGGCCTGGTTTGTGTTTGGAAGGTGCCCTTTCGGTTTGTGTTCGCGTTTGTTTGTTTGCTTGCTTGTTTGTTCGTTTGTTTGTTTGCGTGTTGGTGTGTTCATGGCTTGGTGCTCAGCAGGAACCCACAGTTTTGTTTTCCTTCTTTTTTCGGGGTGTCATTCCCCTACTGAGCAGCAGCAAGTTGTGTTTGTGCCTCTTAGAGTCGGCCAACTTCAAACCCTTGTCATCAATCCAAAAGGTTCAAACTTTCTTGGACAGTCAAGAGGCCCAGCCCGGCGTCCGCTCTCCAGCGTCCGGCTTTTTTTTTGTTCATTGTTTTCTCCCTATGTCCCAAGTCGGGAATAGTCACTTGGGTGTGTGTATGTTTTTGTTTGTTCTCTTTGTGTGGGTGGGTACCCTGGTGTATTTGTTGTTCGTGTTTTTTGAGGGAGGGACCCTTTTGGATGATATTTTTGGGGGGAAATCGACAGGACGCCCATGCCCAATCCGAGCCCAACTGCCCCAATCCGAGCCCGAACCCAAAGATTGAAAGCTTGGCTTTGCCGATTTTCTGTCCCCCAAAAGAAGGGCCTTCCCCCAATGGCCCAAAGAAGCAGTCTGTTGCTAGCTGGGGTTTGCGTGCGAGGACATTGCTAGTTCGGCTTCAATGCACATTTCCAGAAGAATCAAGCCTTCAAGATAGGTTGCCTCTTGTCAGGCTCGGGTCTCAGGTTCACACATTGAAGGAACACCTAGATCACCTGAGAAGGGCTTGCGTTCAAAGCCACCACTTTCAAACTACTCCACCCTTTTAGTTCAGAAGTTGCCCCGCTCTCTTCTACTTTGACTAGACTAAAACCCAATTGAACACTGTAGAACCATTTTAAGCTCCGAACCATATAGACTATATAGAATAATTTTGAAGCTTGTCTAAACCCATGTTTTGGAACTGCTTGCCGGAGCTCAAACGCGTTTCGGGAAGGAGCCTATAGCGATGTAAGCTTACCAGTTCACTGGCGTCATGGATACGACGCTCCGATTTGCAAATCTCATTTCGCCCTTCTCTGTGCAAGCTGTTACTCTCAATTCGTGTACTTACAATGTCATCTCTGCTCGCTCTCTGACTTCAACTTTGGTTCCCCCCCCCCCCCACCCCCGCCAAAAAAAACCAAGTGCCGCAGCAAAAAACAACTAGCAACTCGGGGAGCTCTTCTGTCCATGGGGCGTGCCAGCCATCTGACCGGTGCTGTCGGGGCTCCATGAGGGATGGAATCGAGTCCCAAGAGGGGTGGCCCGCTTTTTGTGCTGTGGGTTCATGAAAATGGATAGGGAAATTCGACCAATCCAGAGAAAGATGGCCCCATTTTGCAATTTTTTTAGGGTGGCTCCCTCTAAATCTCTCTGAGCCGCTTCTTTGGTGGGTTGTGTCTAGACATGGTCAGGCCCAAAGCACAAGCAGTTTCGATTCTTTTCCGACCAAGGTCACTGGGCCAGCGGTTGATGGCGGTCCCGTTTACAGCCCCCAGAGCCTCGTGCAAAACGGAAAAAGCAAACATGTCGCTGGAAGGAAAGCAGACCCTATGAATCTTGGTGGCTCCCAGCCGTCCGGTTCCTTAGCTTTTTAGCTTTTGAGTTGGTTTAGTGGTTGGGTTTCCCAATTTTACCCACTAAGAGTTAAACTTTGAGCAGGGGGATCGGAGGATAGGGCGAGCAACCAAAAGGAACACCACCCAACCATAGCTGAAAAGTTCCCAAGCTAGTTCGTGACTGACCAAAAGGAAAGATCTAGGGATTCAACCAAAGGGTGTGTAAAATTTTGAGGAGGAGCCCCAAAAATGGATGGCTTCCTATTGTTCAAAATAACACCTGCAAAAATCAGGACACCCCACTCAAAAAAGGAAAAACGCCAGGCAACCCTCAGCGACCAAAAAAGGGGAAAACGTCGGCAGGAGTTCATGATCTTGCCAGTGGGGGCCTCCACGTTTAAGGAGGCCATGACCATCGGCGCCGCGCCTTGGCTTGCTTTTTCGCAGCTCGATTTCGGATTTCGCGCGCGCAGCTGGGGGGGTTTAGGGGGGAAGGACCGAAGCGGTGGGTCCCGTCCCCCAAGTTTTTACGGGAGGCCGAGAAAGCGACTTCTTGTCATGGCTCTGAACTTGAAAAGATCTGTTTGTCGCCTTTTTTTTGGATGGGGGGGGGGTAGGCCGAATTGGAGGGCGCATGTTTTTTCCTTGGGGCCAGGAAGAGTATTAGACCTTTAGCCCATAAAACCAGATATGAACACATGTGGGTTCAGGTTTTCCAATCGCTGACCTCTTCAGTTTCTAGTGTTTAAGCCTTTGTTGGCAGGCATCTGCATCATTTTAGTTTAGACTGCAAAGTCTAGTGGCTTTGCCAAACAGTCATGAGGGCAACCCCCGAGAGTGGGTGGTTTCCTTTGATTTCCCTTTTAAACCGACCTTACAGGTGCTGCACGAAAGACCAAGAGACAGACCTGTTGACCTCAGGAATGTCGATCAAAGAGGTTGATTCTTGGGTGCGTCAAAACCTTTGGGGCTTCAAACGACCTGCAATTCTCACTGACATATCTCAGGGACCCGTTTCTTTTGCCAGGACGCATTCTTCTTGCCATAGAGAGAAGTGTCGAGCCATGTTGTGTCAAGCTGCAGTTCATCACAACATGACTCAGGTACCCCTTGGTGGTTTGGGGATGTTACCCCCTTCTTGTTTCAAACTACCTTGTTGGCTAACATTCAATGGGAAACCACCTCCAAAGTTGTTGGTGGGCACAAATCCCGACCTAAACGATGTCCACCAAAGGGTCCCCGATTGAAGCTCACAATTAGATCACGCTTTTCCCATGTTTCCAGGGCCCATGGCGAGAACGGGAACGACCCTACCCCGAGGGAAGACTCAAACCCAGGGTGCTCGATTGCCTCGCCAGAGTCTGCCTGGGGTAGAGCCTGGGGTATCCATTGCCCGGGCTTCAAGGAAGTGTACCACAACTTGAAGGGGGTCATCAAGAAGAAGTACGGCCAAGATGCCTGCAACGTCGGGGACGAAGGCGCGGCACCGGATGCCACCGGTTTTTGTTTCTTTTTGGTAGGATTCGGCTCGAAGGGAAAGGGGGACGAATGGGTTGCATCGGGATGGGAGTGAAGGGGCTTTCCGGATGCCTTCTGTGATACCCTCTTGGACTGATGCGGCTTTTGGCGGAGTCTTTGGGATGGGCTTCCACTGCTAACTTTGCTTGCCGAACAGACCAAGTCTGGCTCTTTGTGGCAGTCATCCCTTTCCCAAAGTGTTTGTCGTTTAGCGGGATACGTCATAAACTCCAAGCTCAAATCCCCACGTCTTATTGCATGGGGAGCCGCCAAGTAACGTACTCAAGCGGCATGTGGACAGGGAGCGAGATAATCTGCTCCAAAGCTGAACTACGAGCTCACCCGGTGGTAAATGGCCGTGGTCCATTTTGGGGTAGGTGCACCACCAACTTTTAGTCTATTTTAGTGGGGATTGGGATGTTAGTGGGGGTACGATTTGGATTTTGACCCATGGCCAAATTAGACTCACCAACTCGCCGATTGCCTTTACCAACTCGCCGATTGCCTGACCTAGTCCTCCTCCTCCCTCTGGTCCTCTTGTTTTCGCCATGGCCTTATGACTCATGAAGGCCTGGTCAGGGTTGGAATGCTCTGCGCAGCTTACTTTAGCTGAGGGTGAAACGACGAGGTCACCCACGAAGGACCCTGACCCACGTGGCAAGTCCTTGTTTCCGGTGTTCTTCTTCGCAGTGGTCCCGCCTGGAGCACTGCGATCAGTCAGAATGGCAATAAACGGGAGGAAGCGGCTGTGAAATCGCGGAAGCCAACTTGTGATTGAGTCACCGGGCTGACTCCAAGACGCAAACATCACCAAGTTGATCAGATCGAACCAAGTGCTTGTTCTTCGACTAAGATGCGCCGCATCTTTTTCGGAAGGGTCAGACCTGATCACGTCTGATCTTAGGCGGGTTCTTGGTGTTCCACCCGAAAAATTCGCCGTCACACTCTTTTCCGCTGCTCGTTGCTGCCCTAGGTATTGTTGAAATCTGAGGTCGAACTTGTCTGGGTCATTTTGCGAGGCGACTCTCTAACTTCCCCCCAAGAACCGGAGGACCTTCTATTTCTGTCCCATGCTCGGGTGACAGCAATATTTGACCATTGGGTTTTGTTCCAACACCAGCGGTGGTATTGCATTCTTTAGAATGGCTTAGGGCATGGCCTGGTTGGCCTCAACACCAATGATCGGAACCCACCGACTTGGTTTGATTCTGCAGCAGTTTTTGCACCGTGAAGGGAAAGGCGACATTAAACAAAGAGCAACGACTAAAGACAACTAGCCATACCTGGCTATGTGTCTGGACAAGGCCAACAACTGTTTTTTTTTGGGGGTTTACTTTAGGTTCCCCCTTTGAGCCAACATGAAAAAGGATACCCAAGGAAAAGCATCCATTTCAACCTTCCCTGCCAGCACTTCCATTGGCGGAGCAAGCCAACTGGCTGCGTGGCCCATAGTTTTGTGTACGTCTCGAAAGGGCAGCCGATAGGATACAAAACCCCTCCCCGCGGGGTACAAAAAGAGGGGTTTAGTAATCTATGGGAAGCCCCACACCTGGGCCAAGCTTTTGTTTCAGAAGCCCTGACACCTTCGAGGCGGCTTCGCGCCCAGCGTGCAGGACAACGACGAGGCACCGGGCTTGGTGCTGGGTTCCTTTTTCGTGGCTGGGAGGTGCCAGGTGGCTTCCTGTGAGAAAAAAGGAGAAAAAAGAACAGGACCTCCAGTGGGTCGCTGCCTTCCCACCTTTTTTTGCCTGTGAGAAAAAAAGAGAAAAAGAAACAGGACCTCCAGTTGGTCGCTGCCTTCTCACCTTTTTTTGGTACTCGTGCTTTCCGGAAGCACAAGTTGACGCCCTCCGGAGACAGTCCAAGAACGAAAAGAGGGCTACTTTCCTGCGCGAGTGGTCTGAAGCGCAACGACACTGATTGGCGAACCCCAAAATTGGGTGCTGTTTTTTTCCCTTGGCCGCTGGTCTGGGAAGTTATTTAAATCAGTCCATGGCCCGCTTAGGCTTAAGCTAACGAGGATGTCTAAACACAAGTTAGTTTAGTGCGACGTCACTAGGGTTGTGACGTCACAACGAAAAGCAACAGCAAGTCGGTTGGCGAATACAAATTTGCCTTGTCAAAGAACAGCAGTTCCAACATGTTTGAACAAGTGGGTCAATCATCAGGAAATTGGCCTGAGAGGATGCATTGTATTTCTCGTGCCGTGACACCGTTGGTCTTGTTATTCAGATCTTTCCGAACAAACCAGTTCGATGAGTACTGGCGTCTTCTTCGTTGGACTTGGGGGAAACGAGTTGCTGTTAGCAATTTCGGAGAGTCTGGACCTGGACTCAGTAGAGATTCCCCTGTGAATCGTTTGTGCAAGGTGTATTATGAGCATATATATATATATATATATACATGGGCCTGTCTCAAATACAGGAACCTTCTTTTGCACGGTTTAAAAGGTAACCAAAGGAAAGGAACCACCTCTCCCCAATTTTGAGAAGCACCCATACATCATATGTATGTATGATTTGATCCAGTATCAGGTATGTTTCAAGCGAATCAATTTACTCTCCCCAACAAACATGGCCGCGTATGGTAGAAGCCACTGGGGTGGGGCTTCTTCGCTCTCCTTCAGTCTGTTGTGGGGGGCCAAAGGTGGCTTCAGGGTTGCAAAACGGGTTTTAAGAATTGGACCCTAATCCCCTTGAAACCTGAACACAACGGATGTTGTTTACAGAAAACATGGATGAGAGATGTTGCAGCAAGGGGCTGAGTCGCCCAAGCAGCTTGGAGGTTTTGACCCAAACCCAACAGGATTGGCACCGCTGGGCATCCGGACCTTTTTGAGGCAAGTGGCCGCTTCTATTATGGAAGACCAAGGTCTGGGTGCTTCCCTCAGATGTGGTGCCGGAGTGAAGGTAAATGACCTGGGGGAAGAAATGGGCATGGGTCAAAATTAAACCTTCAGGGGGTTTCCATTTACCAGGGTGCCATTTTTGGGTACCAATTTTGACCCACTGCTAAATGACCTGGGGAGAAATAATCACCCGCATGGTTCTCCCAAACAGCTTGGCTTCATTGTACTCAGCAGTCTAATTCTCTCTTGGCCTGCAAGGGGGAATGTCTGGTTTTGGAATCCGAAACGGAGCCTAGGCAATAACAATATTGCTTGTTTGGAAGGGACAGGGGTGGAGATGTCACAAAATGCCAACCACAAAGAACCAAACAAGCCCTAAGATTCCTGTGCTCCTTTTTGGGGAATTCGGAACTTGGACCGAGCCTCACATGCTTTCTCGGCCAAAGGTATTCAAACGGTTCACCAATGATTGCATTTTTGCATTCGTCTGGAACCCGTGGATGGCCACATTTGTTCTTCCTTTTTTATCCTGGGTTTTCCCTTGGACAGTCACCCTGGACAGCCACCCTGTTTCCTACTTTTTTCGGGGCTTCCCTCCCAAAAAGGCGCGAACACCCGCAAAGTCGTGGGTTTGAGAGGCGCTGGACGTGCTGATGGAGGCGATCAAGAAGAGTGGGCACGAAGGCTTGGGCTTCGATTTCCGCTCCGAGGGCTCGTGGGACTTTTTGGAGGGTGATGTTGACCCCATCTGAATCAACCCCAGTTTAGTAATAGCGGGGGTGTCTTGGCGTTGCCCCCATCTTGATCAACCTCCCAGTTTATTTTAATAGGGGGGTGTCTTGGTGTTTAGTGGGAGGTATCACAAACGAAGGGCACGCCACTGGGTCCCCCAGCTAGGTGCCCTTTCTCACCCCTTTTTTGGGGGGAGGGTTCCCCTACTATAATAGACGCCCTGAAAAAAGGGTACCCTTGTTCTAACCTCTCTACTGGAGGACTTAGTTAATCAACCCCGGTTTACTACTAGGGGGGATCCCTGCGTTTAGTGGGAATTACCACGTTTGGAGGGCCCGCCGTGCTTTTCGGTGGCTTAGGCTCGGGATTAAGATGATCCGGAAACTGTCGGTTGTCTTTTGGGACGTGTGCCAGGTGCTGTGCTTTTCCATTGGAACAGATGACCTCAAAGTAAAGGACACCTCGCAAGGTCGCCGTTGCCAGTAAGATGTGCACAACCGGTTTCTCTTGGAAGAGAGTCGCCTATTTTAGTAGGTTCCCTCTTCTCATGAAATGCCACGGACCAAAAAAATGTGGGGTGTGCCTAAGCGGGTGCCTAAGCGGTTGACCTCCTCAAGCTTTGCCGAACAGGTGCCGAATGAGAAGCGCCCAGCGTTCATTTTTACGTCCATCGTCTTGTTGCTCTTCTCGGGGCTTTTGGTTTTGGAGGTTTTGCTTTTGAGCATGTGTTTCTCGGGCGTTTTGTTTTCTTTGCCGCCTTCTGCTGGTCTGCAGCAACTGCAACGACAAATGTTCCGACCTCTGGTGGCAGACTGAAGCGTTGCAAGGGCAAAGTGACACTCTCGCCACGCAACAGACGCGGTTGGCAACCCTCCGGAAAGCTACCCTCTTGTCCAACGATTGTGGCCAGCCTCTTGCCAAACCGCCAGCCGTTCCGCACCAAACCGTTGGCCCTAGGTGCAACCATAGGTGTCCTTTTTGGTTTCGGTAGAAAAATAGATGGGTTGCGATTCCTGGCTTCCCTGGTGGTTTTTGATCATCCACCAGGAACATCCATCTATTTCGTTAAGAGGACACCTATGTGCATGTGAACAGAGGCCAAGGTCGAGGCCCAAGCCGCTGGCCCCCTGGCCGTTTTTTGGCCTTCCTTTTTGGGGAGAAGGCCCAAATCGAAGAACTCGAGGGACAGCACGGAGTCTCCAAGGCAACTGCAACTCGTCCAAGAGGTTTTGCTTAAATACATCGGGTTCCAAGCCAACCTCAGGACGAGGTGCGAACACCGCATCCAAAATTGATCATCCCCATGTGTGATCGAAAGAAAGGAACTGGTCAAGCAGTCCTCATGTGCTCCCTATATTTCCACCTTTGGGTTTGAATCATCACTTTTTGGTCCAAGGGACAAATTCCATTTAGTAGGTGGCTCGTTCCAACAGCAATGTTAGTAGACACAACAGTCACTGGCTTTCGGGCTTATGCTTTGATTCTTTTTATGTCTTTTTTGAGGGTATCTTTTGCGGGCCTTAGGAAAACCAAGGGGAAAAGGTAATCCTCAATCCTGACATTGGGTTACGCAAGGAACGTGGCTTCCCCGGGATTATTTTGCTGCTGCTCAGCAGGGAAGGAGAACTGGAATGACCCCAAGAAGATATATCCCCGATTTGGTTCCCTCTGTTCAGAAAACATCCCCCAAACAGTTCCCTAGCTATCGCACCAGCAAGTTGTACGGAGAATTGGAGCATCGCACCAAGCCTTTTTTGATTTCTCATTCCCTATCGCACCAAACCATTTTGAACAGCCCAGGAACCCATTTTGAACAGCCCTTAGTGAGTTTGTCTCATTCCCTTTCGCACCAAACCCATTTTGAACAGCCCGGGAACATCGGAGAATCGGACCAACCCAAGCCACTTTTCCCTCTCGCACCCCCTTTTTTTGAACCGCCCAGGAACCCCAAGCCAGGAGCCTCCGGGAGAATCGGGGACCAGCAACAAAATCCCAGCCCATTTTGAGCCCCGGAGAGTCAGAAAGCCGCCCCGATCGCTCGCTCGCTCGCGGAAGGCAAGGTGAAGATCGGCACCGACGTGGCCGCCTCCGAGTTCTTCAAGGCCGACGAGAAGGCGGGCGGCTGTCGGCGCGGCGCGGTGCCACGGTGGGAGGAAGGTCGGTGGGGAGGGGCTAGATCTTTGCCCGAAACGGGCTCCCCCTTAAGGAAGCTACTTAGTTTGTTGACATGTTCCAAGAGGAATAACTGATGTTCCAGCCCCGACCCATGTTTCCGGGGTTGGACGATCCTGAGTTTGTTGTTTCGTGCTAGGACACTTACTGAAAGGAAGAGGCTGGAGTTGGTGTTCAACGACTGGACCATGGCGTGAAGCGGCTGGAGGGGTTGGGGAAGCCAAAAGGATCAGTGAGGCAAATGGCGGGGATTTTCGAGTGGGATGGCGAACGCGGCAGGGTTCGAGTTCAAAAAGGCTCGCTCTGCTGCACAGCACTTGGAAAAACATCGCCTTGCCTCACAGCAAATCTTAACCTGGCCTTGCTGCGCAGTGCATCTCAGCATCGCCTTGCCACACAGCACCTCTCAATGCAGCTTTGCTTCACTGCGCGTCTCAACGTAGCCTTTCTGCGCAGCGTGTCTCGACGTAGCTTGCTGCGCAGAACATCTGAGCCACAATCAACGCCAGGGTAGATGAAGGTTAGTAGGGGACAATCCCAACCATAAATAGCTGGCCTTATTAATGCCTTACCTGGTTCTGGGATTACGACCATTTTGATACCGGCTTTTGATTATGACTCGTCTTAGCGTAGCCTTGCTGAGCAACTCAACATAGCCTTGGTTAACAGCGAATCTCAACGCCGCCCGTGTCGAAGCGCTCTACGTTTGTCCGTAGCTTTTGCGTGAACGTCGTTGATTCTAAGCAGCTACTTTCTGCGCTGTTCCGCAGCTCTGGCGCGAAAATAAGTATGTGTAAGTTGTGTCCAGGAAGCGCGTTTGCGCGAAAGTCGCAACATGACATAGTCTTGAAGCCTCTTGGTGGATGGGGTTACCCCACCGCGAAAAGGTCCAAATCCAAAGACCCTGTTTGCCTGGGCTGTTGGTGGAAAGACCCACGGCACGTTTCACGCGATCTCTTTCAGTTGGGCTGTGTCAAATCCTCCATCCCTATGCCAGATGGTGGTAGTTTGCCTTAAATTGGTGCTACGGATGACGCATTGGGAAAGTCAAGATTCCCCGCATGAACATGTTCAAGCCACGCGCCACAAGACTGTTTACCTTCGAAGGGCACCTGCAGGTGGTTGACACACACATTCGCGTATGTGTCAAGTTAAATAGGAGGACCCTTCTTAACTAAGGTCCAAAGGGTAGCGCCCATTTTGAACAGGCGATCCACGAATTGCGACTGGGATGCCAGCAGGCAACCTCTTGCATGATGTGCGCCTCTTCCTCTTACCATCCGAAGAGGGAGATGGGGACAGGTGCCCCAAGTTTGGTGGAGTACAGCTCTAGGTGCATCTTGGCCTCAAGATGCACCCGTGTAGAGGCGGACTCCAAAAGCCGAACACCTCCTCCAAGACAAAAAGGTTGGAGCTCCACAACTTCGGCAACCAGGTGTCCTTCTGGTTTCTGGATGTGGCCACCTTCAACCATCACAGGAAATTTTAGCACTTGTGACTCAAGTGCTTGCGGTATGCACGTTTTTCTCCGTTTCAAGCCTTCCGGTTTGAAGAGAGGTCCTAATCCGCCTCGTTTTTTTGTCCTTCTTTTTTTCTTCTTTTTCTCGGTAGGTCTACGACCTGGACTTCAAGCAGGAGGGGGGCGGCGCCCCGGAGATGAAGAAGAAGGTTCCGGAGCTGATCGCGTACTACAAGAGCTGGCTCTCCAAGTATCCCTTCGTCTCCATTGAGGCGATTTTTCTTGGAGGGAGAGTGCGGGGGAGCTTGACTGCTGCTGGGCAACGGACATCTTTTAGACTTTTGACTTTGTGGTTAAAATCAAGTTGGGTTTTCCAAGCTAAACCCACAAAAAGTGATTCACTTTTTGCAGGGTCAACAGCAACCAAGCTTCGAGGGAGTGCGGGAAAGAGAGAGGGAGGGAGGGAGGGAGGGAGGGAGGGAGGGAGGGAGGGAGGGAGGGAGGGAGGGAGGGAGGGAGGGAGGGAGGGAGAGATGCGCGGAGAGCCAAAAACCGAGTGGTGGGAGGATGGAGGGAAGGAAGCTGCGAAGCCGGGGGAGCTGGAGATCCGCGCCGGTTGGGTTCTGTACACGCCTCGGGGTAGAGCAGTTTTTTTTTTGTTGGGTTGGCTTTTAGGCGGGTGGTGCGGTTTTCCTTTGATAAAATTGTTGGGCCTCAAATCAAAAGGGGGAATTAGTTGCACCAAGGGCCTCTCCACCACGGAATCAAAGCGCCCCCTTGTTTTGGGTGCAGAATGTGGGTCGAGCGGTCGAGAGGGGGAAGCTTGTTCCGATTTGGCGGTAGGGTCTCCTCCGGGGTCCTGATGTCATCGTTTTCCTTCCCTGATGTTCCCAATGGGTACATGCGGCTTGATGAAAAGGTCCAGAGATCTGGGGGATGACCGTTTGTCGGGGGGGGAAGAAACTCCAAGCAGGAGGCTGGATGATATTTGAACCACGTGAGTTGCCCATGGTGAAAACTGGGGGCCTTGACTGGGGATCATTGATCAACCCCCCAGACATTTTTTTTGACTCATGAGCTCGAGCTGTTTGGTTACAGTACTCTGGCCAGCAGCCGGAAGCTCCCTGGCCAATTTTCTAAATGGAACCAAGTCTTCCAAAGGGGTTCTGGGAGCTTCCCTGGAGTCTGGGGGAGGGTAGAAGGTAAGCCATCCCTGGGTGTTTTTATGTTGGCCACAGCTCCGAGCTGAGTTAGGGTAGGACCCCTCCCCAGAAAGCTTTGATCAATCAGAGCCCGGCCTGGGCCATGTGACAAACCCCCGGGCTTCCCAGCAAACGATCCGATCAACTCTTGCGCAGTCACCAGGGCCTGAGCGAGCCTGGCCGTGTTTTTCGGGCCCGCGGCGTTTTGTTTTGTTTTTTTGCTTCCGTGGGCCGTGGGCTGCCTGCGACACGCTCCGAAGGACCCCTTCGACCAAGACGACTGGGATGCCTACAAGGCCTTCATGGCGGAAGTGGGCAAGGAGCTGAAGCGAGAGAGAGAGAGAGAGAAGACCGCACTGAGCAATTGACACATAAAAGCTTGGGTAGACTTAGGATACATTTTTACATTGACTCAAATTGAAGCAAACACTAAAATCAACTCTAATCATGAAAGGTAGCCTGTTGGGTGATAGGACATTGAGGGACCCACTTTTTCCGCGAGAGGCGAGTTTCCCATCCGTGTCGAAGTGATAAGAATATCATGAAAAATGACCTAACTGGATATCACAGAAGGGTTATGTTGCAGTGCTGTGGGTTAGTTCTATGTAAACAACCAATGTAAGGGTTCCTACCATTAAATCAACCTTGGCCACGACTGACACAGGCATTTTGATCATGGCACGCATTGACGTGTTGTCAAACCAGGCACCCGCGCTTCAGTGTCGTTTACATGGTTCCGACGACACCCCCCAGCATGATTTGCCTCTGCGTGTTTCCCCTTGTTGTCTTGCGGCTTGTTCTTCCCCTGACACAAAGAATGAGGAACATATCTGCTACATTTTGGGGTATTCAAGCTTTGCAGCCGAGCCTTGCGGATGTCCGCGTGCCAGAGGGTCCCTTGAGCAAAAGGGTAAGCAGAGACTTTCAAGAAGACGCTCCTTGTCCTTCTCCCGGCCTCGCGAGTTTCTTGAACCATGCTTGGCTCGTGAGGGTGCCTCGCATCTCCATCAGGAAGCAATGGGTGCCTCGTCGATTTTCTTGTTCCCCCGGCAAACGCATATGACTTGGCATGAGCAAAAGGCCTCAGACTGGCGCTCGTCATTTTCGGCCACTGACGGGCCGGCGCGACGGTCGGCCAACCGGGGCCTGGTGACCAGGGAGTTTGCGGTTGGTTCAGTTTTTTGCAGGGTCAAGTGGATTCAGCTTCTTCGTTAGATCAACAGTGGCGGTGGCAATTTTCAGATTCTGCTTATTTCTTTGCCAGAGCTCACCGGGTACGACGAGCTCCTGATCAAGGTGGTTTATGTGGGGATCCAATTCTAAGTTCTGGGCTTTTGGAAGTCTAGTAAACTAGGTCCCCCAGTAGTGCCCTTTTACCCTTTTTGGGGGAGGGTTCCCCGACTAAAATCGACTACAGAAAAAAAGGTTGGTACCCTTATTCTGACCTCTCTACTGGAGGACCTGGAAAACACTTGGCAGCATGCCATGAAGATGCCCGATGAGTTCTCCAGCAAGATGTCCGAAGGAAGCCCTAAAAAATTGTGCACCTGCGAGACCCGGGTGGCAGAAGCTAGGGGGATACACAAAGACCTCCAGTTTCAGACGTCTTGACCGGGAAACCTGTTGAAGTTTGATTTTTGTGTTTGGGATTTTTTTACGTAGAGATCCACGGATCCTTAAAACGTAAAGGGGCCTCTCTGCGCGGTTTCTCGGTTCTCCGGAAACGAAACCTGAGGACACCCAGATTGTGGGGGACGACCTGCTGGTGACCAACCCCAACCGCATCTTGGTTGCTCTTAGGACCAAACTGCATGTGTCTTGAGCGGCACCTTTTTTTCCCCCTTTTTTTCCGGGAAAGCAACGAGTCGGCCAGCCATGGATGTGAGGCCTTCCTCGTCTTTGTATTTGGCCACCCCAAGACTCCAAAAAAAGCTCGCGCACTCAGTGCTCATGAGAACCGGATTCGTTCGTTCGTTCGGTTTCCTCGTGGTCCAATCAGCTTTCGGCTTTTTGAGCCTTTGGTGCATTTTGCTCGGATGTTAGGACTTTAACTTTTGCCACTAATGGGTTTTCCACTAAACCACTAAAAGTTATTCACTTTTAGCAGGGGGCAGGCGTCGAGAAGTCTGTCTCAGGCATCAAGAAGGCCTTGGAGGTGGGCGCTTGCAACGCGCTGCTGCTCAAGGTGAACCAGCCCTTGCCTCGGCTATTCTCTTTTCTTTCTTTCTGTTTTTTTATTCTTGTTTGTTTCTTTCCCCAGATAGCTGAAAGCTATAGGGGTTCTAACTTCTAATAAAGAGGGGAAAGTGATTTGCGAGATTGAGGGCCGGGTGCTAGGGGGCATGCAGTTTGAGGTGCTGGTGGATGCTGCTTTGCAAGCTTGACGGCCGGGTGCTAGGGGGCATGCAGTTTGAGGTGCTGGTGGATGCTGCTTTGCGAGATTGAGGGCCGGGTGCTAGGGGGCATGCAGTTTGAGGTGCTGGTGGATGCTGCTTTGCGAGCTTGACGGCCGGGTGCTAGGGGGCATGCAGTTTGAGGTGCTGGTGGATGCTGCTTTGCGAGCTTGACGGCCGGGTGCTAATGCAGTTTGGGGTGCTGGTGGATGCTGCTTTGCGAGCTTGACGGCCGGGTGCTAGGGGGCATGCAGTTTGAGGTGCTGGTGGATGCTGCTTTGCGAGCTTGACTGCCGGGTGCTAGGGGGCATGCAGTTTGGGGTGCTGGTGGGTGCTGGTTTGCGAGCTTGACGGGTGCTAGGGGGCATGCGGTTTGGGGTGCTGGTGGGTGCTGCTTTGCGAGCTTGACGGCCGGGTGCTAGGGGGCATGCAGTTTGGGGTGCTGGTGGGTGCTGCTTTGCGAGCTTGACGGCCGGGTGCTAGGGGGCATGCAGTTTGGGGTGCTGGTGGATGCTGCTTTGCGAGCTTGACGGCCGGGTGCTAGGGGGCATGCAGTTTGGGGTGCTGGTGGGTGCTGTTTGCGAGCTTGACGGCCGGGTGCTAGGGGGCATGCAGTTTGGGGTGCTGGTAGGTGCTGCTTTGCGAGCTTGACGGCCGGGTGCTAGGGGGCATGCAGTTTGGGGTGCTGGTGGATGCTGTTTTGCAAGCTTGACGGCCGGGTGCTATGCAGTTTGGGGTGCTGGTGGATGCTGCTTTGCGAGCTTGACGGCCGGGTGCTAAGGGGCATGCAGTTTGAGGCGCGGGTGGATGCTGCTTTGGTTGTACCGGGTGCTAGGGGGCATGTTTGGGGTGCTGGTGGATGCTGTTCGCGTGTAACGGTTCGTGGCTGGTGTATCGTCATGATGTTCCCACGTTATGGTGTGTGGGTGTAGTGGCGCCGTGATGCTGTCAACATCAGGATGATGCAGAATTTCATTAAGCTGTCGCAAGATGGTTCGTGGCTGTGGTATCATCATGATGCTGCCTTTACCATCAGCATGATGCTGTTCGCATCACCATGATGCTGTCCGCATGATGCTGCCCGCATCATCATGATGCTGTCCGCATCATCATGATGCTGTCGAACTCATCAGGACCTCGTTTTTGCTTTTTCCTGCCGGATTGCTCTCAAAATCATCATTATGCTGCTGATCTCATTAGGACGTTGTCTGCGCGTTTGTTTCGTGGCTTTGGTGTCATCATGGTCTACATCATCATGATAATGCTGCGTCATGGTTCGTATCCGTGGTGTGCTATCTGGGGTCTATGCTGGTGTAATTGTGTTTTTTCTTTCTCGGAAGCGCACCAGCGCTTTGCCGCAGGTGTCGCGAGTGAGTTTGATTTCGGATCTCACTTATCACGAGTGCGCCGGGGGGGGCTGGTTTTTGCACTACAATGATCCATCCACCCATCCGTCCGTCCGTCCGTGCGTGCATGCTTCCATGCATCCATGCATCCATGCATCCATGCATCCATGCATCCATGCATCCATGCACCCCATGCATCCCATGCAGCCCATGCATCCCATGCATCCCATGCAACCCATGCATCCATGCATCCATGCATCCCATGCATCCCACGCAACCCATGCATCCCATTCATCCAAGCATCCACGCATCTTTGCATCCCTGCATCCATGCTTCCATGCATCCATGCATCCATGCATCCATGCATCCGTGCTTCCATGCATCCATGCATCCATGCATCCACACATCCACGCATCCATGCATCCGTGCATCCGCGCATCCATGCATTCATGCATTCATGCATCCATGCTTTGATGCATCCATGCATCCATGCATCCATGCTTCCATGCATCCATGCATCCATGCATCCGTGCATCCGCGCATCCATGCATCCATGCATCCATGCATCCATGCTTCCATGCATCCATGCATCCATGCATCCATGCATCCGTGCATCCATGCATCCATGCATCCATGCATCCATGCATCCATGCATCCACGCATCCACGCATCCATGCATCCACGCATCCATGCATCCACATCCATGCATCCATGCATCCATGCATCCATGCATCCATGCATCCATCTTTGAAGTTGGTTTGGGATTAGTTTAGGGTTGGATGAGGGTTAGTTTAGGGTGTAATGGATGGATGCCCATCCATGGATGTATGGATGGATCTAAACAACCCCAAGCCAGCCTAAACCAACCCGCACCCAACCCTAAACCAACCCTAAACCAACCCTAAGCCAAACATGACACCCTAAGATGAGGTGTCTAGCTATCAGATGACTGGGAGAGGGAGTCCCAAAAGTGACATGTCTGGGAAGGAAGAGCGCGCTCTCGTCTCACAAGTCCACCCTCGCTTCTCACTAGTGTCTTGGTAAAAGTGCAAAAACAAGCACGGTTGTCTCGTGAGTGAGGCACCTTGTGAGAAGTGAGGGACCTGTGAGAAGTGAGTGAAATCGGAGCACTGGGGCGAACATTGACCGGGAATAATTTTCCCGGTCACAGGGCGAACGTCTCCCATGGGTCCCTGAAACGATTCCACAGGCAGAAGATCGCCCCACTGCCATATGGGTGTGGCTCAAAATTAAACGATCGGAGAAACCGCAGGTTTTGGTACCCATGGACTTCCGGCCATATTTAAAGGAACCCTTGGTTCTAAAGGGAGCCCCTTGTGCATCTTTTTCCGGAACCCGGTTCAGAGGAAAGCCAGGGGAGGCGCGGTTTATGTTTTTGCTTTTGGCGCGTTTGTGTGAGATTTTCTCATCGCATTTGAGAGAACATTTTCAGGGCAGTTGAGGGTCCAGACGTTGCAAGATGCGCCTTTTCTGGCTGATTTGGGCGTGCCAACCTTCGGTGGGCTTGAACAATGGCTGTCCATCCTGGTCAACACATGAGAAGCTGACAAAACGGTCAGTCCATGGAGAGGGCATGGAACGTCTTCCTTGGATGACCTTCTTCTCTTGAAGGTATTCCAAGTTTGTCTGAAAAAAGGGTGGCAAAACGATCGCGCGCCAATTTAGGATCCTGCCCAACACCTTGATTGGCCGTATTTTGCTATTTAGTTCGCCCCAAAAGTCAACGGGTTATCTCACTTGAGCCCACAGTCACTGGGAACCAAAAGTCAAACACGCCAAATGGTTTTTTGGGCAGTTCACTGGATTCGTTCCCCCGCCTCCCCCTCTTCTGACACCGCCGACTCCGGCGATGCATCTACGCCCGAGCTCCTCCCTCTTTATCCATGCCCAACATAGCTTTGGTGCATTTTGCTTGGATGCTAGGACTTTAACTTTTAACCAACTCATGGGGTTTCCATTAAACCACCAAAAGTCTAAAACTTTTAGCAGGGGAGCAGGTTTCGCAACCGAGAAATCAGGTACGCAACATGGGGTGCTGGTTTAAGCAAAGGCCAAGGGAAGCCCAAAGAATGAAGGTTGCTGAAACCAAAGGGGTTTAATCCTATTTACACTTTTTTCTCTCGTGTTTGCCCTGATGGGCGGGCGAGAAGGGCAATCACTGTTTCACTCACTTTTTTTTTGGCAAGTTCATGGGTTTCCCAGTTAATCCGCATCAAAGTTTTATAAACTTGTAGCAGGGGAGCAGATTTCGCCACCGAGAAAAGGCACCAGCGAACTCCATTGAACAATTCGGGCGCACGTCTTAGGATCGGCTCCATCACGGAGGCCATCGAGGCTGCCAACATGTCCATGGACAACGGCTGGGGCGTCATGGCCGGGGGGGCCCAGACAAGGTGGTCGGTTCATTTTTTCTTCTTAGGGGCTCCCTCTTTTTTTTTCTTCTTCACCCTCCAAGCTTGTTTGCTTAACCCGGGAGGGTTGAAGAAGAAGGTTCGGAGGGTGAAAAAACAAAGGTTCCCCTTTTCTTGGAAACTGGCAAGCGCTTTGCGAACATCTACTCTGGCAAACTGGATTTTCCTCTGACTCGCCAAGCAAATCATTAGGAAATGGCGGTTACTCACCAAATCCAAGGTCATCAATTTATAAGGCAGGATCGCCTCAGCCGGTAAATAGTGGCTTCTGCAAACGCAACCGAAGGAAACAAAGGCACATCTCGACCCTCGTGGCTTGGTCGGGCTTGGATCAACGCTAGGGCTTGACACGACACCCTTGAAAAGTTGCCATTCGCTGTGTTTGGATGATAAGAAATCCTGCAAATAAATATCAGAAGCAATTGAGCCACGGTCTATGCCAAATTTGCCCCGCAAGAATCGGAGATGCTCAAAGGCTGAGTATACATATATATATATATATACACACATACCATTTACAGAACTCCTGCGAAGGCCGGGCGGAGGCATTTTCTGGGCGAAATTAGGTGCAAAACGAAGTAGAACACTCCTCAAAGTCTAGGTCGAGCCATGACATGTTAGGTTGGGATCACAAACACATGCGGCATTTGGACAACGAGGTCAACGAGTCCAAACGGGAAAAAGGCTTGGAGAATGGCTTTAATGTGTATACATATATACATATATATGTATATATGTATATATGCATCTATACTCTGCATATATATATATATATATATATATGCTCCCCCCCCCCATGATCCACATTTTCCATGCCCCACACCTTCTGCTATGTAGGCCCAACCTTCTGCTTCACAAACTGCAAGCTCCAAAGAACAACTTCATCCATCTGCTTCCTGGTGGAATCTGCAAAACATCTGAGTGCTAAGCAGTTAAACATGCTTCTTGATATGCAAACTGGTATCTTCTTAAAATCAAACATGTAAGCCAACTTAGCATGAATAACTGTCATGGTTTGGTCTGAATGCTTAATTGCAGCTGTTGGCCCAGCACATTTGTTCACTTTGTTTTAAGGCAAACTTAGGCATGTCAGGTCCTTTTATTAGGAAATTGCCCAAGGAAGTAGCTATGGCCATTGAACAATGGAGCCACGAGCCTGGGCCGAGCTCACCTTCGAGGCCAACCTCATGGCCAAATAAGGTTGGTCATTTACCGGATGGCTCCTTGGCCCGTTTTTGTAAGCTTTTCCTTGGACAAGGTCTGCTTTTTGAAGCAGATGTTTGCTGACATTTCTTTGCGGTTTTTTCTCCTTCACTTCTCTGAGGCGCAGAGGTGTTCAACTTGGACGGTGTTCTTTTCACCGTGGGTGCCAACGGCGAGAGGGAGCTGGCGGCGAACGAAGCGCGGCACTCACCACTTGAGAGCCGGGGACCCTTCTTGCAGACTTTTCTCCTCTTGGGCAATTTTCTTACACTTGCTCAAGAAAAAACATGCATGCTGCCTGCACGCCTTGTTGTTTGCCCTCCTTTGGAAGAAGGTACCAGTTTGCAAGCTACAGACAAGAGGTGCCTTTTTCTTGCTTGTGCCAAAAAGGTCCCTTGCCAAAAAAATGTATGCGCTTGCAGCAACTCGAGATCACAATCGCCCGCTCATATCCTCATCTGTCCCTTTGCTTTCAACATAGCATCCGGAGCACCTCAGCGGCCTCGTTCCATCGCCCAGTCCATGAATGAAGAGCTCCTGGACGGCCATTGCGCATTCAATGAGGCACTGGCGAACACGGAAGGGATGAAGCTTTTGCAGCTGCAAAAAGCCCATCATTGTCCTTAAGGAGGTCGGCGACATCAAGTGGGCGGACCTCCCGGCCAAAATGAAGATCACGGACTCAGTTAAGAAAAAGGTCCAATTCCTTGACATCATCCATGACTTCGAGGGTGACTTGGACCTAAAGGTGATCGAGCAACTCTGTCTCCAGCAGAGGTATGCCGAACTCCCACCGCCAACCAAGTCCCTTTCAACATGCAGCTCGTCGTTATCCCCACAGGCCCTTGCAAATGGGATATCATCAAGCACATCAAGTTTGTGGACGGCGCCAAAATCCCGCACAACACGATCATCCGGATGTGCCAGGGCACACAGCTGGAGATTGACTACCAGCAAAAATTTAGAGAGGGAGGACGAGCGTTCCAGTACATGTTGGAAGGTCTGGGTGGCTTCCAGATCCCGTATGTCAAGCTCATCCCAGCCGGCAGTGGGAACAAAGTGCCAGAAGAGACTGAGGACATCAGGAAAGGATTTGAATTCATCCGGACGAACGGGCCAGAGGAGAACTGCAAAGGCCAGTTCACCTACTGGACGGAGGAGCAAGTCAACGATCCCAATGGGCCTTTGCACAAGTGGGACAAAGGAACCATCAAGGAATACTTGCGGTGCCTAGCCGACCAGAGCTCTCAAGCCAATACAATCACAGACTGGCCGTTGACCTTGAAAAGCTTGACATCATGGGCATTGAACGTCGTCATCGATCTTGCCCTACGTCCACTCCAACGCCATCGTCTGGATTGGGAAGTCGCAAGTTGGCAAGAGCCCGGCTTCGTACACGCTGTCCTCTGTGGTTTCTGGAGGACAAGCAGGATGAGCCCAGCTTCCAGACATGCAACCACTTGGACTATTTCAGGAAGGAGAAGGGGAGGCGCACTAAGCCCAGGGTCTTTGATGATGGCAACCTCAACCTGGAACACCCCGCATCCGTGAAAGCTGTCACAGAAGTCGATGGCATCGATCGGAAGACAATGGCCAGGTACAACGCATCATCCTATGAGAAGAACCAGCTTTGCCAGGTGTGCAGCAACCTCTTTGATCGCTCAGTGGAGCCTCCCATGGCTGCGAATGTGACATCGGACACTGTGCCCTTCGATGTGTTCTTCAAAATGGTCCGCTCCTCGTTTCACAAAGAGTTCGATGAAGAAGACCTCATCGGTGTGTTCAAGCGATCCGTCTTTGTTGTCTTCACCGACATTGGGATCTATCTGAGGCTGCCAGGCGCCAAGCGCAACCCCGTGAGCCGCCAAACCAAGACAAAGGCATGGTTCCTTGTGCGCCAGACCAACCCTTGCTGCCTACAAAAAAGGTAGCTTGTCCCAGCGCCCAGCCACATACCAGGCGGACCTGCAGTGGAGCCTGAATCTCCTGCAGGCTGCACTCGCTGGCGAAGACGTGCCATGCTGCACGGAAACGCTTGGCGCAGAGATCTTTTCTGGAAGGCGGTGCCTCACGGAAGGGCGGCCCACCCTGGCGGGCATAGACGGCACTACTACGTGGTGCTTCCAGGGATCTGATAAGGCCAATGCCCAAGAGCCGCCCATGAAAAAGCTCCGGTCCGTCAAAGCCTCTTCCGCTTTGCTCACTTGTAAGCCCGAGCTCAAGGACCAGTCTGCAGAGCCCAAGGCTGAGGCGAACCTGCTACTCGTCTATTTAGGGTTCAAATATTAGAGCTTTTTCCTTTTTTCTTTGTTTTCTTTTTTTAATAGTAGATCCAAGCAGCCACCAGGTACCGATCAAGAAGGAGCCCATGGCCGAGTTCATACCCTTCCGTCGCCTACCTGGACGTGCCCTGACCATCAACATCTCTGACTCATCTGAAGCCCCATCCGCATCGGCTCCTGTGCCTCCTGGCGGTGATGCCACTTCCACGCCCGACCACAAAGAGGAGAGTGCGCCACCTTCACCATCTGGCCAAGTTGAGGTTGGCAATGTTATGGTGGACCACATGGATGCCGAAGCCATGGATGTTGTCGACCCTATGGATGAGATTCCAGGTGATGATGATTTCCAGCGATGCCTAGAACTCGCCGTGGACCAGGCGCTCGAGAAAGAGGGCTCAAAGTGAGGCGTTGGAGTTTGTAGAGTAGACACAAGGGCAAGTATTCTAAAATCACTATGATGGCAAACATACCAGAAGCTGTGTATCGATCAGCGGACTAAAAAATGGTACTGCATCATGCACTGCACATGACAGATGACACGCACCATGTTTGTTTCCATTTCAGCAGCTTCTTCAGCTCGATTTCTGGTGTGCATTTTTGATATCACATCCACAATGCCGAAGAAGGCCATGAAGTCCATGAAGGCGCCCTTCCCGGATGCGAAGCGTGGCAAGCGCTGTGTGCAGAGGCGACCAGCGGGCAAGAAATACAAGGTCGTCCCGCACGTTCGACACGGCACACCCACAGCCAAAAACAAGGAGCATCGTGTGCGGTGGGGCCGTTCGATACATCAATGGATGTCCTTGTCCAAGTCCAAGCTGATCAGGGCCCTCTACAAGGACAATATCCTCACATCCTGGAAAGGCAGGAAATGCCCGCGGTGCGGCTCAGGAACATTGGGTGCTCTGCAATACATCAAGAATACGAAGATATGGGCTCATATTGCAACCACCGCACCTGCCACAAGTTCCAGTGCATTCCAATCAAAGATAATTGCTATGCAAATGGAATTTGAATGTCTATTTCGATTGCTAATTTGAGCAGGACATCCTTTCCAAACAGGACTTTAACCAAAGTTAGTTGCAGTTTGGCAAGCACGTGGAAAGGTAGTGGACGGTAGTGGAGCAGATTTGAAAAGGTGGAAGAAACTGAGCAAATGTGCAAAGCTATGGCAGCTTTTGAGTGGACTTGCAAAAATGGAAGATGTGCAAAGGAGGAAAAGTGGATCATGGGTGGGGTGTGAGCATATATATATATATATATTTATATATGTATATATTTTTATAGCGAGTGCGTGGGTCCTGGGGGGGGGGGGGTCCCGGAAAGGAGGGGGGGGGGGGTAATATATATATATATATATATATATATATATGTACACATGTGTATATGTATGTAGGTGTGCAAGATGCGCTTCTGGATGTTTGGGCCCAGACGCTGCTCGCTTTCAGTTTCGAATCATTCAAAACTAGTGGGTAGTTCGGCCATATACCAAGAGGTTGTGCTAGGGGCTTGTAGACACGGGGCTATGTAGCCCCTTATTCTCCTTGGGGGGTGAAGTTTTGGACAGTCGTTTTGAGACACTCAAAATGGATTAGCCAAAGGATCCGAACGTCCTAAGTAACGTATGGGAGGAGCCGTGCTTGTAAACAAACGGGCCCCTCGCATGCATTGCCGCTTTGCATACGCAAGGGACACAATGTATGCAGGGAGGGGCCAAGACAACGGAAGGTGTCGTGCACTGGAAGAAAAGTTGGTCAGGTGACGGCCCTGAGGTTCCATGTTGGTGTGGGAATTTTCAGGCACATGATTGCGCACAATTTGGTTTTAGTTCCACTTCTGTGATGCCAAGGAAACCCACTGCGTGAATTCCCACTTTGGTACCCCTGGAGCTTTGGCTCCCAGCTTTGCCCCTGGCCACGTGATGGGATGGGCGCAACCACCTGGTGGGTTCTTCATGCGATTTCGTCTCTTGCGACAGCGGGAAACATCTTCGAGCGAAGGCTGTTCGACTTCCCGGCGGGAAACCAACGCAGGAGGGACAATTTCTCATCAATTCAATGGCACCGAATTCGGATCGAACTATCCGAACATGGTCAAGTGGGTTTAGGTTAACATGAGAGGAAGAGCTCTCAATCCGCCGGACGTGCCCCCAATTTACACACAAGATGTTTCACCCGTGGCTCGGCCAAGATCCCCTTACTCGGGGCTGGTAGAGATGTGAAGCAATTAAGGCAAAAGGTGTCTGTTGAGGTCGGGACCCGCTTAGGTTCCCTTTGGTTTCCCTTTGAGCTTCACAAGCTTCCTCTGTGTTGCAGGAAATTTGTTGCGTTCTTTCTTCAAGTACGAGCTTGAAACTTGGGTACACCTTCAGATCTGAGCATAGGGGTCCTTAGGCTACTTTGTTTGAACAATAAAAGTGATGATTCCCACTAAACCCAGACACACATACACACCCCATTAATCACCTGGGGTT